CACTTCTGAAGAAGCCCATTCCTGGGTGAAACGCGTTAAGTGATATTGGAGCTCTTTTTTACTTTGTTTTTATACAGTAAAGCATCATTTTTATTATAGCTTTAGTCCCACTTTTTATTTTATTCCTTTCCATTTTTATTTACATCTTTCTGCTGCTCCAACACTGGATCCTTCATATCCTAGGTGGGGATTATACCACCAAGGCTGAATACCACCAGAGCAAGTCATTGCTCGGGAAATTGTAAGTAGAATACTGTTTTTTTTATCACTTATATTCTGCTATTTGACATACTACACTATTGGGTTATTTTTTGTTCTGTTTCCTCTGCATGGCTAATGAACACTGAGAGTTTACTACACTGAAAATCTACATATCCTTAAACGGGGGTTAAACCATCCAGGTGTTAACAGCAGAGCTCTCAAAAGTGTGAGTTAGCAATCTGCAAAATCCATTTATAATTTCCAAGATAAAAAGTTGACATATTGCACTATTATGTCTTCTGTTTTACTTTTTTTCTCTTGAGGTCCTTTAAAGACTGATATTGTTAACTATAAATAGCTCACTATACGTTTTTGACACAGTTCTTTTGTATATTACTTCCTGTGCGAGTGCTGTGTGTGAACAGCAGTTGGTCAGATAACTGTAAAGTACACCCATCATTTATTGGGCAGACTAGATGGGCCGAATGGTTCCTATCTGCCGTCACATTCTATGTCTCTATGTAACATGGCTGCTCAGCCAGATACAAAGTGACATTTGTCAGAAAAATCAATATGCACCATTAACAAAAACATCACGTTTTAAATGTATAACATTTTTAAACAATGAGAAATAAAAATGTGGTGCCCATTGCCCTTTAACGTTTATTAATCCATAATAAAACCATAAAACTGAAGTAAATTTGTGATACGTATCTACGTGCTTGTGTTGTAAGAATAAATGGCTAAAAATCTCTCTCAAGTATTAATGGGACACTCTAACGTAAAAATAACGATGCATTTATGTATCTTAATGTTAGATTGTTCCTTCTATTGCTTTAAGGGCTACTGCAAGCGCCATGACCACTTCAGGGATTTTAAGTGGTCATGGTACCTGGAGCTTGTGTGTCCAGCATTTTACTATGAAATGTTGCACATAGAGAGTTTAACCCCTCCAAAGCCAGCAGCGTCATTTGGGTTGTCATCAGCCAGCTTGGAACTAGAGTTGCACAGAATGTCAGTCATTGGCCGAGAGCAGTTATTGCCAAACGGTTTGCCCCTTTACCGGGAAACCAGGCCCAGGCTTTAGTCGTTATGATGCCTAGAGTAATTCTTGTAAAATAAAGGTATAAAATGATATAAAACTTACCTTTAGTCTTACATCAGATCAGTCTGCAGCTGGTCCAGGCCGAGTCTGGCCATGGGCCGACAGGGTACATCAGAGGATCTTCCCTGCCAGCCCATGAAGGGCCAGTGCTATCCAAGCACCAGCCTTGCTGTGTTGCCATCACAGGCCGGTGGGGAGATCAGAGGGAAGGAGGCTCTAACCTGCTGCTCCACGAGGTTCTGAAAGTTCCTCTTGCGAGCTTGGAGTTCCCCTCTTTCTTGCCCCACCCCCTTCTCACTGGGCTGCTGCGATTATAAAATGCCCGGGCCAGATTATTTTTCCCAGAGCGACCCTGATCAGTTATGATGTCCAATCCAGCACTTCTTATAGAATCTGTGCTTATCACAAAACTCTGACAATAAAATACTTCTCCTAGAGAAGCATTATATCCAACACTTCTCTGTGAAGAGCAATATGAGTCTTTTCCAAAGTTCATCATAAGGAAGTGCTTCTAGTGGCTGCCAGTCTGACAACCACTACAGGAGGGTTCTCTGGCAAAAGGGACCTAGGCGCTGAAAACAGGTAATTGGTTAAAGGGCTATTTAACCTTTCATGGCTGGTGGAGGTTCCAGGAGGGCTCACAGAGGCAGAGGGATAGTTTTGTATTCCTAACACCATAGTGTTCCTTTAAGTCACTGCTGGCCATGCATACAATGAGGTTGTATTGTTTCTGCATTGATGAAAGGTCCGAAATTTAAGCAGTGATGATAGCTAGTCTAGCCATTTGAAGTTACTATCAAGATTATTCTGTCTAATAATTCTAAAGTTTGCTAAACAGGCGTTTGTCTAAGTGCTAGGAAGATATTAATCAGAATATTTTTGTCCCTAGACAAAACAAAAAAATGCAAATAAATACTGCAGTTAACCCCTCGCTGCATTATCAGGAGGTGTAGTCCAGAAGGGCGAGGCAACTTCTTCCCAAAAGAAGGACGTGTTTTGTTTTCTCTGACCTCTAAAATAATCTTTTTTAATAAGTAGTTAAAGAATTAAATTAATAGGAGCTTTGACACTGTGTGGGCCATGGTCAGACTGTCCAAGCCGGCCAGGGTTAACAGACTGTGCGTGCTGCTGACGTCCGATGCAAAGTTGCACAAAAAAATGATATTGCTAACCAGGAAGATCATAATCCAGCCGGCTGATAGACAGCACATGAAGGCTGCCCAACATATAGCAAAAAAGGTATTTTTTTATATGTGGAATAAAATACACTTAAAAAGAAAGGATGTAGGGGGGCGGGGCCTGCCCGCCATGCTGACCGGTCGCATGCGGGAGAGGCTCCTGCAAAAACTGACCTTTTTGAAATATAATATGGCTTTCACAGCCTTAATTTGAGCCGAGGGGGAACTGCACTGTGCTCTAGCAGAAGTTGGCACAATAGCAGGCTCTGAGATCGGGAGCTTTGGGCCCCCATAGGCTAGACAGGGCTTTTGAGCTTGCGGCCTTCATGGGAGAGAAGTGGGCCGGCCGGCCGCCGCCCTGCTCACCTGCCTGGCTGCCACACGACTACTCTATGACACATCTCACAGGCCCCTTCCTCCCCTCCCCCCCGTTTGGACTGGGGGGGTCATCCTGGTTTCCACTGGAGGATAACCAATGCGGTCCTCAACGAAGCCTGCAGGGCGTACTCCAAATGCCCCAAACCTAAAATGGTTGCCGCACTGACTAGCCGACACGCGGCAGCCAGAGAAACCCCTCGCTACCAACAAGGGGACTGAGGGAACCCCTGGCTCCAGCAACACCTGTTACAAGCTACCAGATTCTACCTACCCAAGCCTCGAGCCAGGTGATATGGCACCCCACATGGTAGCGCTACACTCTGGAAGGAGGCCCCACAGCACCAGCCTAATCCCTGGCAAGGTCGGGGTCAGCAGCTCACCTACCGAGCTGGGAACGCACGAGACACACATCCAGCTCCTGGCCCACCACCCACTACTCCACATCTGAGCTCAAGACTGGGAGAGAGAAAAGATAGCACGACAAGATCAGCATGGGGCATGGAAGAACAGCTTGTCGGCTGACCACCCTGTCTTCCAGAGACACTCAACTACCTACCCGATTTGGTGTCTGCACCCAGTGGACATACCCACAAGCTCTCATCTGGACACTCTGGTTGCATTCATCGAATTTAGGTTCAGCTGGTTAGCCATTTTTTATTTTTTTCTCCACAAGCAGGGGGCACAGGAGGTTAAACTCTGTTCTATTAAAGTTTTCTCTTGATTTTATCTATACAGTGTGTGGTACCCAGTGGAATATTAGCCTGTCACCGTTTATTAACATGTTAACTGAACAATTCTAGCCCCTCTTCACAGATCCATAGGTATGCCCCTCCTCGTTCCCTCCGCTCTGCCCGTGACCACCTCCTGACTGCTGCTCGCACCCGTACGGCCAACTCACGTTTTCAGAACTTCTCGCGGGCGGCTCCTTTCCTATGGAATAGCCTGCCTACCCCCATCAGACTCTCCCCTAGTCTTCAAACCTTTAAGAAGTGCCTTAAAACCCATCTCTTTAGGAAAGCTTATGGCCTCCCAGAGTAACCTCTACCATACATACATGTCTCTTGCTCTCTCCTATAGGGCAGTGCTTTACTCTCTCCTCCAGCTCTGCTTCACTCCCACCTTATTTGATATTTCCTGTCCTAATGTGTTTTATACCCCACCTCCTATAGACTGTAAGCTCGTTTGAGCAGGGTCCTCTTCAACCTATCGTTCCTGTAAGTTTTCTTGTAACTGTCCTATTTATAGTTACATCCCCCTTCTCATAATATTGTAAAGTGCTACGGAATCTGTTGGCGCTATATAAATGGCAATAATAAATAAAGAAATAAATAATGTGATACTTACTCATACCTCCATGTCTAGCTAGTTATGTAAGTCACAAAACTAACTGTATGCATCTTTAGTTAAATCTCTGATGCTAACTTATGTTCTGATCTCTAGTAGCTAGACGTGACTGAAGAGCCTAAATGTACTTTCATTAAAAAATGTGCAGATACTCTACATGACATTACACAATATTGTGACGATTGCAAGTCTGATGCTTGTCTGAACTGTCGTGGTCATACAAGCCTGCATGTAACACTATTCACAATAAAAATAATTCTTTTTAAAAAAATAGAAAGGATGTAGGGACAGGGTCTTTGCACCGTAACCACATCAGTGAGATAAAGTGATTATAATGCTTACAGGGTTATTCACTAAAGTCCAAATGGCCCCATACAAAATGGGGCAAAATCATTCTATGCTGTATGAGGCCATTTGGACTGAAAAAATCTGGACATTGTTTGAGGAATTCAACATCTGGAGTTTGCAATTCAGGTCCTGACTGGGCTTGAATTTGGTCCGGATTTCAAAGCTTCTGAACGCCGCCAGACCTGCTAAAATATGGGCCCAGAGGCCTCAACTCCAAACTATTTGCCTGCTGGCAGTGGTAGCAGTCAGCAGACAAATAGTTAAAACTCCCTCAGCACTGCAAGGGCTAAATGAACACTATAGGGTCAGGAATACAAACATGTATTTCTGATCCTATAGTGTTAAAAACATTATTTAGGTTCCTGGCCACCCTTAACCCCTTAAGGTCTGAGCCAATTGTACAAGTTGTGATCAGAACAAAACGTAAACAAAACCTTGAATTTGTGCTATATATCTGTTCAGGTGTAATTCACCTCTTTCATATTATGTGCACCCACACTTATTATATATCATTTTGTTCAGGAGAAACAGGGCTTTCATGTCACATCAAATATTTTTTGGCCAGTGTTTGTACCTAAGTGGCTACTAGAAAAGACTGGACATACCACATTTGTAATACATTGGGTTATCTACTTTTGCAAATGGTATGCCATCATGGGGTAATTTTCATTCTTGGGCCACTATATGGTCTCAAAGGCAACATAACCAGTCTGGCAAATTTCAATGTGATAAAAAGGAAATTCAAGCCTTATATTTGACTCAGTAACTTTTAAAACACCATAAAACCTGTACATGGGGCTACTGTTATACTCGGGAGACTTCACCAAACACAAATATTAGTGTTTCAAAATAGTAAAACGCATCACAACAATTATATCGTCAGTGAAAGTACAGTTTGTGTGTGAAAAATGCAAAAAATTGCATTTTTATTGATATTTTTGTGATATGTTTTACTGTTTTACAGGCATGAGGGTGACAGCCTGAGAGCTCACTGCACATGCACTTCATAAGCCAGCTATTACGGCCATGTGATTGCAAGGACCATGCGGTTCTGACCCCACTCCCAATCCGCCTCCTTGGCTGACATCATCAGAATTGACGATATCAGCCAATCCAATGCTTTCCTATGGGAAGGCATTTAATTGGCTGAGCTTGTCAATTCTGATGATCTCAACCAAGGAGTGGAAACAAATGCCATGCTGGCCAATTAACATCTCCTCATTGAGATGCATTGAATCGATACAGCTCTATTAGAAATGTTCAGTGTCTCCATGCAGAGCATAAAGATGCTGAATGTCAGCATCAACCAGGAAGCACCTCTAGGGGCCATGTGAGTGATCAGCCTCCACATTAAGAAAATTAAAAAATAATAAATAAATAAAAATCCTATGTTGTCACTAACCCATATTACTATAATGCAGGTATCTTACCTCCATATGCCCACACTTGCCATAGAGCAGCTGAAGGCATATCTGCTGAATGTTTAAACCTAGCGACTGGGCAGTCATTGCTTCACAGTTGCTAGAAATGGTCCCATTGGGGAGGGGGGGGGAATGGCCCCATGGGGGGGCATAGTCCCCTTGTAGCCCCACCTGTGAGGACCTAGTTCCTAATATTAATAGAGGGGGTTCTAGTGTCCACCCTGCCCCCAACCCATGAGTGACAGTTGGAGGCCCCTGTGACGAGACCAATCTCGCCACTGTGCATTGGAGGAGCCTGGTTGCCCGCCTGCTGCCTTTAGACTATGGCCCCATGTTGAAACGCTTGATTTTCCCCTGCAAAGACACGAAAGCCGGGTCATTCGGTGCTTACCCTGTTTGAGCGGTGATACCCCAGATAGCAGTGCCATGGAGCCAATTCGTATAATGAAAGACTATGGGAAAGACTTTGGTTTCATGGCAATTGAACTGTATGTGTGGTATCTGAGCACCATTCAGTAATAATGTGCGCTCAGAACTGAGCTATCTGGGGATATGTTGAATGTACCTGTTTTATGCAATGGCTGCACAGTTATATATTTTTATGTATTTTATTGTCTTTTGCTGCCATGTGTTCAATGGAGTTTTGCCTCTGTCCTTGGAGATAATTGGATTACTTCCCAATTATCTCCAGGACAGAAGACTCTGTGGAACTGGTTTTGGGCAGAAAAGCCATGCTTCATTTGGTCACAAAGGACTACGATCTATCTTTTGAACCACTGGACCAATTTGTATGATTTTGACGTATGTTTGTATTTGGAGTATGCTGATTCTGAAAATGTTATGTGAATGTGATGCATACTTTTAAAATAATGAATAATGTGGAAAAACTGTATTTCTCTGCCTGTGAAATTGTGTAAGGTAATTGTATCACAGGCAAAGGGGAGGATTTTGTGTGGGAGTGTCTGAGTGTATTGTACGTGTTTATTGGTTGTTTTCCAAAACCCTGTGGGTGGTACTAATGTGTAAGAATGTGTATATAAGAACAATAAACCCACAGCTCTGTCTGTTCACTGCTTGACCTTCAACATGGAGCTTTGTCTCGTTCTTCGGGGGATTTATTGTATGCTGTTCCAGTTCGACTGCTAGCAGTGTAAACCTTTCGTATGGTTTTTCCTATTCGGCTGTTTATAGCATTCGTATGTTTGAGAGCATTCATATGCTTCTCCAGTTCTGTGGATTGGTGTCTACAGTAGCTGTCTGTATATCTGGAAGGGAATATCTCCTAAACTGTGTTTAACCCCTTTTATGCCCGGGGTGCCGTTACAATTCCCCCTTTATATTAATAATTAAGTGGGGGACCTAATGCCCCCCCCAACCCCCAAGCACCCATCCCGCCGGGCTCGAGGGGTTAAGGGGTAAAACCAGCGGCGTACATACTGAGGTCGCAGCTGGACCCGGCTGCCCTGCGGACCCCTAAGACCGGATACCAGCTGACACCTTCTTTTGCAGCCCCTGCCTGTGCGGCAAACCGCCGGGGCCGCCGTCCTAGGAGGCCATTGGGTGGCCCCTGCTGTCAGGGCCACCCGATGGAGATGGATTTTCCCTGTGATGTCAGACAGAGCTGGGAGGAAGTGACTGCATGTCACTCCTCCCAGCTATCTGACAGAGCCGCGCGGGAGGAAGAAGGAGGGAGTCAGGATGAGCCCACAGTGGACCCCAGGGAAGTCACCCTCCTGCAAAAGGTAGGAAACAGGAGGGTGACTTAAACAATTTGTATGTGTCTGTCTGTATGTGTGTCTGTATGTGTGTGTCTCTGTATGCATGTGTCTGTATCATACAGACACATGCATACAGAGACACACACAGACACATACACACAGACATGCATAGAGACGCACACACACATACATATAGACACACACATACAGACTGTATGTATCTGTGTGTGTATGTGTCTGTCTGTATGTATCTGTGTGTGTATGTATGGGTCTGTTTGTATGCGTGTGTGCCTATGTCTGTGTCTGTGTGTATGTATGTGTGCCTCTATGTATGTCTGTGTCTATATGTATGTGTCGGGGGGGGGAGGGCACGGATCAGAGGGTGGGGCCCCATGGATAAGTTTCACACCGGGGGCCCCAGGTATCGTGTGTACACCACTGGGTTAAACACTTACCTTTCTCCAGCGCCGGGCTCCCTCAGCACTGGGGACTCTCCTCCCTTTTCCGACGTCATCCTGCCGAATGCGCATGCATGGCAAGAGCCGAGCGCGCATTCAATCAGTCCATAGGAAAGCATTTCTCAATGCTTTTCTATGGACGTTGGCATCTTCTCACTGTGAAAATCACAGTGAGAAGCGCGGAAACACCTCTAGCGGCTGTCAGCGAGACATCCACTAGAGGTTGGATTAACCCTAATGTAAACATAGCAGTTTCTTTGAAACTGCTATGTTTACAGCTGCAGGTTTAACTCTAGATGGACCTGGCACCCAGACCACTTCATTGAGCTGAAGTGGTGTGGGTGCCTATAGTGGTCCTTTAATTATAAAGTGGGGGGTGACATGCCATTGTCCACATCTTCAAATAATAGCATTTCCCCCTGGTCACCTAGGGCTTCCCAATCAGCTAGCCCCCCTACCTTAAAATGAATAAAGTCTCTACCTACTCCCTCACCTTATTAATAATGAGGAGGGGGCCAAAAAATCTAAAACCTGCTAGAAAAAATAAATAAATAAATATATATATATATATATATTTATGATCTTCTAAATCTTGTGTTCTTCAGCCCCCATAAAAGCCGGGTTAAAATGCAGAATAACTGATGCAACTAAGTAAAATTTAAAAAAGGCCCAATTGCAAAAAAACAACAACAAAACAGTAGAAAAAATTCAACACGTGCTGCACAATTTGTTGGCACTTTATAAATAATTATAATAATAGCAGGGAAAGCCCTTAGGTAGTTTCCCATGCTGTAATAGCTATTGCAAAGTGTTTTGCAATATGACCAAAAGCGCTCTGATTGGTTGGCTTGTAAGCTAACCAATCAAAGATCTCTGACAGCCAAGTCTCAAGACAGGTCTCACTATTTGGACTGATCAAATAATGCAACAATATTGAATTTGTATATTTTATGATGTAAAAAACAGATCAAATTCGTATCTTGGTAATACCTTTTTTATATTTTATGACTATATTTAACACAGGACTAACACATTCAAAATTAAACAGACAAAGAAAATACCTGAAATGCTGTTTATAGTAAAATTTGATGATAGTCCTGGAATTTTGCAAACTGAAAGTAAATTTGGTGTCAGAGTTCAACAGATCCAGTGTCATGTCAATCAGGAGACATCATCAATGTCTCCTAACAAACAGGGGTAGGCAACTTTCGGCACTCTCGGAATACTTCACCCATGTTGCTTTGCTAGCATTATGGCTGTATTATGCATTATGGGAAATGCAGTCCACAATATCTGTAGTGCCAAAGGTTTAGTGTGTGACATGTGACAAAGTGTTTTAAGATAGTCCAACATTCTGATGCTCCAACTACAGTGTAAGCAGCTTGCAAGCTGTCTCTGTTGCAGGAGCACGCAAGGACAGCACTCTGCCCTACTAGACACTAGACATAATCCTGCAGATCTTTGGATCTCCTCTCCATGAAACCTTCTCCACTGCAAACATAAGCAACGGTGGAAGGACAGGGTGTGCAATCCAACTAAAAATACATTTTATTTCTGACATTATTCATAAGGACAGATCTGTTTTCTGTAATCCGCACTACGCTTTCCGAGTGGTGAATTTTTGAAAAAAATAAATAAAAAGCCAGATCAGATTTCTTTTTCTGTTTTTTTTTTTCTTAATAGAAACAGGCATTCACAATAGTATCATTTTGACAGTGGCTGTCTTCTTCTATTGTTTTGTAACACTTTAAATTAATAATAAGAAAATAATCTTAATCTTGGTGCACCAAGGGTTTAAACAATACACAGTCATATGGAGCGATTCATTCATGTATCAGTCAAAATTAATCATTTTATGCAAATAGAATCTTTCTTTGACACGCAGAGTTATGTTCTTACACAAATGGCTGTTTTCTCTTGTGATGGTACAAAACATTAAAATATCTAAGGGGTTGTTGTTTTTTTTATTTTATTTATTTTTTTATTAAAATTTAAAACCAGCACTTCCATTGGTCTTGTTGTTCATACCGCACAGCAAGAGTAATTTTTGGACTTTAATAGAATTTCCCAATATTACTTACATGCTATTTTCATGTAAACAAAAACAATTTTGTGCCTTCCTATATATCTTTCAAGGGATACAACCTTTGGAACCATTTGTTTTTTGTCTGGTTTATGTACGGGTGCTGATTTACCAGATTAGATCCATAGACACAAAAGTATCGGTAAAATCAAGAACCAAAATCTCAATGCAATCAATTTTTACAATGTTACATAAATTATGGGAAACAAAATCAAACAGATTGCTGTGAATCCATGGGGAAAAAAATAATTTAACAGTTTTGAAATAAATATTGTATCCAGAAATCATGCATTCGTAACTTTCAAGTACACCTCGTCACACGGCTACGGGACCTAATAAGAATCAGGTATTTTCTGCCACGATATATAATTCTTTATATTTTGTGCTATTTTTTGCCTTTTTATGTACTCTTAATCAGGCTTGCCTTTCAGTACTGTACTTTTTATTTTGTATTGTTTAATACAAATATCTGCTAATTATTATATCTTCATTAAATATATTTTACAATAATATTTCTATATTTCTGCCACCATCATACACCTTGGCTACTCCTTTAACAGTTTCCCACTAATACAGGTTCAAGAAAGACCTCTGCCCATTTATAATGAGCACCTATACGTATCTTGTTTCAAAAGGTACAGGTCAAGGGTTGAATCGACTACCCTCAGCTGTGGATATCAGGATTTGACGATAACATAGACCCTAAAGCACCAAACACATATTTATTTCTTTTTATTTAATGGCTGTCATAATAAAATATTTTTACAGAGACCAAAAATGTCCAAATTAGTGCAAAACTGTTCCACATGCACCCGGGAAAGGAAGGAGAAGGGAGGGGATCTGTCTGTACATTAGGGGAAGATATTTAGGGAAGGAGGGCATGTGTTGCATCTTTCTTTGAACACAACATGCCACAATTGTTTAAAAAAAGGATGGGATTTCAATCCCTTGTGCAGGTGTGGAGAATGGTTTGCCCTTGCTGCCCGGGGGCGGGGGGTTGGGAGGCGGTGTAGAGGGTTACATTTAATCTCTTTCCGTGCTGGAAGTATTGGGCAGTTTTCGGGAAAAACAAACTCTGACATTTAGGCAACTGGCAGTGTCCTCTTGGCTACACTGTGCAAGTGGGCGACCAGCCGATCCAGTACAGGAGGCCAGGCATGAGGTGAACAGGACCTACCATGAGTATTGAGGGTTGGGTTTATAGTCATTATTTATTATAAAACTAATACCCATGCAGCACCATTGCACAGAATAAGACACTGGTACAGGGAAATCCTATATACACAGCAGGGATGGGGTGCAGGCAACTTTAACAGGCCATGGGGGAGGGGTAAGGGGCTAATTTCACCCCCTCAAATTGCTAATCTTCCGACTGCTAGGGTGCTGTTAAAACACACCACAGAGTGTGACACAAGGAAAGAATTAGGCTCCCCCACCTCATCAACTCTATATGGTACAGCAGGGGGAGCATTGACACAATGGCACATTTGAACAAAGCCCTTAGTGTGTGTTAATATTTGTGCACAAATTAACCCTGTCACTGCCAGTAAGGTACCATCCTTGTGTAGTGACAGGCAGAGCAGTACGTCTGCTTAAGGAGCACTGCCGGCAGTGACCTGGTTAAATATGTGTTTTCATTTTTTTATTTTCTCTTTTCTTTCGCCATATATATTTTAACTATATACAGTTTGGGCCTGGGACGCAAGGCAGTGAATAGGGTTAGCTAGATCTCAATGGGATGTGATAACAAACAGACCCAAAACGCTTTAGCTGCCTTCCTCAGGTGAACGGGTGTCAGATTTGAGTTTGACGAACTCCTTGGCCACCTCATCGTTGTTCCGTTGCGACAGGATCCGTAAGATGGTCAGTCCCGTGTCATCCATGTGAATGCCTCTGCCCAGAGGAAGCCAACACGCACAGCTACCTTTCTGCGCTAGGTCTCGCAGTTGCATTACAGCTGTACCCACTGTTCTGTCTTCACGCGCAAAACAATAGTCTTTGACACACACCTGCAGTTCATAACACTCAGGACCGTGTTCACTGCCCAGAGTACTATAGAGTAGAGAGAAAAAAAAGGAGAAGAGCAAAAAAGGGTAAATGGAATGTAGATATGACAGTTTTCATATTCTATTCTATACATGAAGATCCAGATTCTAATTTAATGCAGAAGCTATTCTTTGCCCCGCGACTTGTTGGCCTCTGCTCTCATACCCGCCATGTACTCAATCTCTGACGCAATGAGACATCATGCCCAGTTCAACAACATAAACCTATATAATGCATTTACTTTGTAATGCTGTAATCAAATGAAAGGTCTGTCTTCAACGGTGTCCAAGGTCTGGTGGCAAATATGTAAAGCCAAAGGGTTATAGCAGAAATCCTGATAGACTAAACATATAAGAGGGGAGTCTTTCAACAATGTCAAAAAAAATTGTGACTCGATGACTTGTTAAATCTCCCACCAGCACATCCAGGCTTCAATAAAGGGGGGGAGGACACTGCAGGACAAGTATGACATATTTCTCAGCTCCTCCTGTCTCTATGGACCAGAATCCACTGAGTCTGGGTAAAAAACATGGATGTACTCTTTCTATACTTTTTCATGGTTGGTAGTTATGTCCCAACATCTGTTATTTCAAGACATTTATAAATGAATGCAAGATACCATTGCCCTCTTATCCCCTTAAGAACCAAACTCCTGGAATAAAAGGGAATCATGACATGTCACACATGTCAGGTGTCCTTAAGGGGTTAAATGGTGTTTCCCACTCTCCAACCTTTCTAATCACCAGCTATCCTTGGTATACAGGATTTGCATAGTGATCAGACTTTATATAGCAAGGAACTTGGAGAGTACCCTTCCCTCCCTGCACATAGTTTTGCCCAGAAATTGGTACATCTGTATTCTGGAATGCAAAATATTGCCACCAGGAATGCCCTCATTGCAGTGAAAACCTAAACTCTTTTTTGGTTACTATTCCTTTAATGTTGGTTTGCTGGGTGGAGCACAGCAGTCCAAATTTTGGGGAAAATACACTATTGCAAATAAAACATTACTGCTGGAGAATATAGAGAGCAACTGATATACCAGATAAATCCAGTAACATATATATCATACACCACGATACATGCAATCACGGATATATGCATTTTAAATCAATGGGTTGCTGAATAAGGATCGTTAGATTTCAGTACAACATCATGGTGTGACGCTACTCACCCGGTCCTCAAGTTGGCCAGAATTCTCTACTCGAGCCGTGCCACTCGTGAGCAGGTGGTAGGAGCCAGCCATAATGAATGGTCGTGCAGTCCGCCTCTTTTTACTAAGAGCACTGCTCTTATCACATGCACACTCTTGAAGGGGCAATGAGAGCACCAAGTCATTTCCGGTGCCCCCATGCACGCAGTTTTTGGGGGTGCAGGTATGATGTGGACCAATCAAATGTTACTTGAAGGTATTTAAACCTCCTTAGCACTGCACACTGTGCCCTATTATGGTTTTAATATTATATTCTGGTATTGACCTTTGGCTTTGTCCCTTGCTGTCCTAAACTCTGCATTTTGGGGTATTACAACGTGACACCCGGTACGTTCTAAATAAATGCATGGAAGACTTTATGTTATGTATAACAAGCTTATGAAGGCAAGGCACTCTCTGCCAGAGTGTGGGCTACATTTAGCAAATTGAGTATGACTGAGGTATGCTCACAATTGGAAGCTCTCGTTGTATTTTGGGGCCCAACTGTTGTTCTTGGACTTGGTTGTAAATTTCCTCTTCTTGTCACTCAAATTTGGACCAATCATGTTTACTTCGATGAAAGGACGGAAAATCCCAGAGGTCTGCCATTTCAGGTCATTTGCTGCAACAACTGGAGGAACAGAGAAAGGATAAGAATTTAATGAATAAAGTGTCAGCAAGGCACACCTGAAACTCGTATGTAGTTATGAAAAGTTACCACCATGTTCATGTTTGATAACCAAACAATTTAATTTCTCCTGCAATATACAGATCTATGTGCTTGCATCCTCATTGTGTGATCTGCCTCCCCTACATTACCTTTAACGCTAATCTTGTGCTCCCCCGTTCCTGGGTGAGTGAACAGCTCGACATGGATAGAAACCTCTCCCACTGAATCATCCACTCCGGATCCTGGTAAGATGCAAGAGTAAGAGTCAACACAATTACTTCAAACTAAATCTCTATCATATTCATTAGCTTAACTGCTGGCAGGGTCTCTGTAGAACTGAAAATCTGAGGGCTAAGAACTAGATTGGACATGCCCAAAACATTATATACCCTTTTTACCATGTATTTACTCCTGCCAGCAGTCACTCCATTTGAAAGGGGAGGATCCATATCCCTAGGAATTGATTTACCATCCTACTTGCAACTCAACCTCTGCAGGGCAAGTTTGTAGGACGTTTTAAGACACCTGCAGTCTCTGCATGCTATCCCGGTGCAACATGCATCTCATTTCTCCTCCCACCAATGTATAATTTCACCATGTTTCATCTTCCCCAACCCGTAAGCCCATTCAGAAGCCTGGTGTGATGTGCCTTCCCTCAAACCTTTGATAGATCATAAAATAAAGACCATAAGATATCTGACCCATTTTCTCACAAATTGAACTGGGTATATTTGACATATATCAGTCTTAGTAAGGCTTATTAGTAAGATCAGGTTTAAGGAAGAAATTAAATGAGCAGCCATAATTGGAGCAGCTACTTCTAAAATGTATCCAATTATTATGATGCATTGCATGCTTTTCACAAGCAAGGGATCATCCTGCCAAGTCTTATGGCTTATCTTGTTGACCACATTCAATCCTGGATGGGGATACCCTACAACGTGCCCAAGATGCGATACTGGCAGGAATAGTGTAAATACTTCAGTCCCACCTGGTCTGGTCAGAGCAGTAGCATATTTTTTTATTGTAATCAGTGTGGTATCATTCTAGCAACACATGTTTCTAAGTATATAGATATTTTTTATATAAGTAAGGGGCATTCCCTTTGAGAACTTCTCATCTTTCCTTCCCAAAACTAGATATGGTTGTTGAAATTAAAAAAAACTGGTTAAACTGGAGAATATTGCATAAATTTACTGCCCCTACTATCTGAAAATAGATGTAATCCAGGTAATTGCACTTAAAATCATGCTACTAAATATATAGACTGCCAAGTGGGACTGAAGATTCAACATACTGTCCCCTTAACCTTTTTTGCAACCAGAAAGGAGGCCCAGCTAGGGGTGGAGCAATGCAGGGCCCCCTCGCCTGGCAGGATAGGACATGCTTCCCAGTTATTTATGCTCCAACATACCCTTTTCTGGATAAATCTCTTCACTAAGTGTAAACCTAATACCTTTTCCACCATGAACTGAGAGTAAAGAAGGAAAGAGACATAGAAAAAGATGGGAGAGGTGTAAGGAAGGGGATCCAGGGTATATTAGAAGGGAATAATATATATTCTTATATACATGCACCATGGACAAATGTAATCCCCATTACTGTGCCATATAAAAAACAAAGATGTTTCACAATCATTGTGCTTTTTTACACACTGTTTGCTCACTAATGACCCCAGATCTCATTTGCAAAACATATATTTCCACAAAATTTATTTTTATTTCCAATTAAACATTTAATGAAACTGCACACTAAACATTGCAAACATCGGCAATAAGAGAAAAGGTTAATCTAGTTCAATTTAATTTAGCTGTTATTCAATATTTCACAATTGAGTTGGTTCCCTGTTACATTTTTAAAGTTATGCATTAAAACTGATGCCTAAACAAATCAATAAAAAAAAAAAACTTAAATTATTTGAAAAAAAATAAATAATAAAATTTATATAAAATAAAGACTTCACAAAAATGATCATATAGAAAAAAAGTAATTGGATGTGAGCCACCTCTTTCATTTTGTACTACTTAGACTTGTGCACGCGCAAAATAAGTTTTCTCTGTCAGAATCGATTTGTCTGAAAAAAATATTGGTTCGGATGAAGTGACTTTCTTCCATGTGGCACTTTGTTTCGGACAAACTTCCTCCATGTGGTTATTTCGAAAAAAAATATTTAGTTAACCAAAATGGTGCAGAAATGCACCTATTAGCATATATAATTCTTACTTCTCCTCCTTTCTTCCCTCTGTTGGTCACTTCTCATTTGATCGGTGAATAAAATCAATATTTAGTGGCAGCCCCCTAACTATTAATCATCTTTTTTTCCATTCTTCATCTTATTTTCCTACCACTTGATTGGATAGGAGACACAGCCAACATCATTGAGCAGTCCTCTTGTCCGTCATGCCAAACTAAATAAATTGACCTCTTCTTTATTCAACCTCAGCTTTTCTGGAGCCATAGACAGAATTCTGAATCACCAAACAAACAAAATGGCTCTTCCATTGCCCAGTTAGTTTCTTTTGTGATATGTCCATTTGGTGTTTTGAAGTTCGTATGAACTGCTAGTTGCCCAAAATTGAATCAGGATTTGCTTCAAACTGAGTGCACAAATCTACTGCAAATACTCTTTTCAGGTTTGCATGAAACTTGTGTGGTTACTGTATGGAGTTTATTCACTAAACTTGGAATTCAGGAAAGTCGAGATGGGTCATATAAAATATTAAATATATTGGTGTTTAGAATGTTTTCTTGTATTAATATGTTAATAAGCCTCCAGCTTAACTTCTCTGTATTGCTCTAATGATCTCTCCAGGCATGCATCTTTCCTGTTCCAAAGCCTGGTCAAGACCTTTTAGAATGTGCTCAAGCGTGGTCTGTTGAAGCTGTCATAGACTTTATTTTCTTCTTTTTGGTTTTTAGTTTCTTACACCTACTTCATTTACATTTACCCCACTTCCCAATTCACAGTGATCTATTTTTGGAAGCTAATCGTGCATTGCATTTTCTTCTGTTATAATGTTCCAATAACACACCCACACATCACCAACTGTTAATTAACTTCTTCCTGAATCTTTGTTTCTTCCAATTTTGCTCTACTGACCCAATATGGCTTTAAATAATGCTATTTGTTATTGGCTCTGTAAAATATATCCCCACGCACATACAATGTTGGAATGGAACTTGAACATTTGAATGGCAAATGAACAAAAAAGAGCTACTAAAGGCTCAATTTAACGTGTGATCCAATTGTGGACAGTTTGGCTCTATCTGCAAACATCCATGACGAGGTTTGCTGCACAACCTTCTCAATGTTTGAATTAGACATTTTAAGAAAATAATGGGATATAACAAAAGGCTGGCAGATTGCTAGTGGCGGTGGTAGTGGTGGTGGTGGGAGGGGGCATAGAAAACCAACCAAGGGCCATATGTAGTGTGTGTTCAACTGCAGAGAATGATGGATCTCGGCTGGGTTGTTTCAGCTGAAGCCAAGATCAGAAAAGTACATTTAACTCACTTCACAGAAAAAAATGGAATTAAGAGGGTGGCAATAGGTCATCTGTTTGTTACCCACTTTTGGCAAGAAACCTTGGCATATATCTCTGAACCTCTGCATCTGATGGTCTTCACGTGGACTGAGGATACCAAACTGGGTTTATGTTTAGACCCAACCTTTATTGCCATGAAACAAATTTGCTCCAAATCGAAGCCATATTTTTTCTTGAGTAGCAGCAGAGATACACCAGCTAGTAAGTAGTGTTTGTCATAAGTAAATCCTCTGCAACACTAAAAGCAAATAGCAAAAGGCTCTATTAAATCAACGCTCTGTTGTTTCAGTATGGAGGTGTGAGTGTGTGAATACAATGAAGACTGATAGGGAGGAATGATTTAATGCCCATTCACAACGTACGTGCCATGTGCTACTTTTTTAAATCGGTTCCCATAAATGACACTTCAAAATGTGTACAATCTAACCTTTTAAGACTTACAGGGTATGCCCCACATACACCAACTGATCAAACTCTGTACTCCCTCACCTCTTATTTCTAGTGAACGAAATACCTTGATTTTGCAAACTGCTTTCTCTTTTTGACAGAGTGCGATTAAGCCCTGTGCTTTGTAGCATTATGCAGCCAGCCTATAGCAACGTATTGGCTATAGTGACTTACATAAGTACCATTATTAAAGGGGGGAAGGAGTCTGCTGGAGTTACTCAGTGATACTCAGTACAACACTGCCCAAAATGCAACACTGTACTAGACATGCGGAGCTGGACATGACAGGAGGACAACATCAAAAACTTAACTCAAACATGTTCACATAGTGAAAGTATGTTACATTGCTCAATTTAGTTGCTGGTCGATTCTTCTATAATCTTACATATAAAAATCGATAGTCTCAAGGACCGAACACACATTTTAATTTTAATTTGCTTACCCTGGTGCAGCAACCAGCCGTACTTATGTCAAACAAAGAGAAGCGCCCTCTTGGGGATTTTTAATTCTCCCCCCCACCCACACACACACACAAATTAATCTGTTTTCTTTTCATAATTTCCTACCTTTAACATTGTCATAACTCTTTCCCCTGATCCCAAACTCACACACATCGGAGATCACTAATACCAACATTATAAACAGAGAATGATAAGAGGACCTTACCCTGAGCAGACTGTGTTTGGACGAAGGTTTGGATAAGTGTGTCGGTAGCCTGTGTGTATAGAGACAGTGCATAGCGTAGGGATTGCAGTGCTGGACTCTTTTCAAGGAATGTTTTTTTGAGACCAACACCTCCAGCATGAAAATATTGCTGAAAAAAAACAAAAAAAAAAACACACAAGACAATACAATGGATAGTGATGTATACGATACACGAACGAGTTTAGTTTAAGTAACTGTACTCACAAAAGATAACAAAGAGTAATGTAATTCTAGACACACAAAAGTCAATAAAACTGGTTGTTTGTGTTAGTAGTATAAACTATATAATGAGGTATAATATAGTAATTATACTAAATTCCAATGACACAGAAAGGGGGTTCTGACAACCCCAACTACAGAACAAAATAAAATAGTACTCCAGGACCAAGTGGATTGATGACATGACTGCTATCCTTGATCATGAAAGGAATGGACTCTAGTGAGACAAATATATTATAACTAGAGATGCATAAAAGCCACAAACGTAGCAATTCCTTTAATTTACTATAGGAAGTCTCAGGATGACATGAGCAATATGCACAAAACAAACAGTCACATTGTCACATGTGGAAAATAATAGATATACTGTATACTAAGTATGAAGTGCCTTCATTACAGGTTCCATGGCACACTTCATTACCTTAATTGTGTCCAGGGCGAGCTCCACCACTGCACATTGTTTTGGTGTCAGGCTCTTTGCCTCCTCCCTAACCATGTGATCCTATAAGAAAACCCAAATCACAAACGCATCATATTACTACAGTACCCGTTGGTGGGTGCCATTAGCTTCATTAAGATTATTTCATTACACGGTTAGAAAGAAAGTGATACACTAATGAAAACCGATTGCACTCATACCTTGAGTTTAGATAGCTGTCCCAGCTGATTGGCAGCATTCATTATGAGATGGGACCCCTGTAAGAAATCAGATTCATACAAAACTGTTACAAATCACATACAGACAGATTTTGCTTGGGAATCCAAAAACAGGCTTAATGGAATTTGTGTGTGGAGCAAATAGCTTTTCCTCAAGAAAACTTTTAGACAATTAAATAGTCTAACCATATAAATCTCATGTTCATATGGCCTCCCAAAATTATTCCGTCACCATAGAACCCCTCTTTATAATTTATCCTAATAAACAATACATAATTTTGTGATAGGTTGTAGTAACACAAAATTACCCATTTCAGACCACCGTATTTTATAAACTTTGACTATACTAACTATACTATAGAGTGCTGTATATTTCTTCCCTGTGACTACTGTAATTACTGGATAGATTTTTTATCTACAACTTTTATTACTCCAAATAACCCCTCTCCATAATATGTTTGTTATTTATAGATTATCTAGAACAATGGACGTCATCTTCTGCTGTATCTTTGTCTAGCCCACCAAGGTTGAGACTCAATATCTTGAGTAAAACATATATAAATGTCCCATGTCTATATATCACTTTCTCTATATGTAACTCAATATAAATTAATCTTATTATTCTTTGCAATCTACACATAAACTTTCTATAAAGCATATTGTTTCACAAATGACTTTTCCTGCACTATATTGGTTGCGCCTTATAGTCCTCCTTGTTCCTTATAGGCCTCCATGTTCTGTATAATTCGACTCTACTATAATTTCTGTCACTCTATATATCCAAGGCCTTGACTTTTTTTGGAGCAGGTTTTTAAGCTAGAAATCTGATTGCCATTATGGAGACAAAAAGGATTTCCCACCCTTTATGTGGCATAATTGGTCATCACTTCAAACTGGGATTTATTTGAACTGGACGGGCTTGAATCTTTTTATCAATCTCGATTACTATGTAACTGGTGTAGAACGTCTCAGTCTAATCCTTACAATGCAACTTCTCTCCACCCACAATATTCCTATTTGCTCCATTCCATCCATATATAATCTCTTCATTCATTTGTGAGAACATTAATCATTTGTCCTTTTTATAAAGACAAAACTTTTACACAGACAGCAACACACAAGACAGTGCAGGAAGGAAATAGCATCTTAAGACAATTCATTTTTCTAATCTGTGTTGTAGTTTTCCACTTAATCTTGACCTTTGTAACATGTGACCATTCTATAACTAGCACGCTTTCTGTAATCATTTTAACACCACCGCCTCTCTCTGCGCATCTGTGTATAATGGAGTGCATTAAGTCAACTAGAACCCAACTCAACCTATGTTAAACCAGGTAATCAAAAACAGACTTACAGCTCTTATTGGAATACAACTCCATCACTTGTTTGCCAACCATAAACAGTGCTAGGAGGGATTATATCTAGTTATAGTCCACTTTGTGGGAGCTGATGTCTATATTTGACTATACCCGTTTCACACTGTATGGCTGGGGAAACAGAATAAATTTTTACTCTACATTGTATCCTTCAGTATATTTCAGTGGTAGATTTCCATGTCTTTGTATTGCAAGACTGAAGGAGGTGAGGTTAACTTGCTATCTACCAAGACACAATCCCTTAACAACGGAGAAACATCACCAGTAAAGTGAATACAGTCAGGAAACACCTGAGAGAGTCACACTGGACACAGAGATAGGACTGGGGTTTTTAGGAGGAATAAGAGGAGCAAGGGTAGACAGACAAACAGACAGACAGACACACAGTGTCCTTACATCTGCATGGTACGTCAGCTTCACCCTGCTCTGGAGAGAGAATTGCGTGATTAAAATATGAGTGTGGGTGTGAAATACATCTCTACTATTAGACAAACTACAAAGATTAAATGCACATTACTCAACTACACACACACACACACACACACACTAGACAAATACATACCAAAATTCATATTTACACAAACTATAAACATATCGTTTCGACAGTGCAAAACTACACAATACCAGACAGCTAAAAACCCACACACATCTCAAGTTTCCTCATTTCTTCTACTCTAAATAGCTCTAGTTTGCAGTGCTCTGCAAAGAACCACACTGCATGGAATGCTCATGTCTATCCAGTGCTCTGTTTGGACTCTTGCAGTGCCCTGCTGACTTGACGAGCTATTTAACGCTCTTCAATCTTGCAATACACACAGGGAATGCGTCTGTATACACATTTACCTTCTCTAGGCCCTTCCCATGTTTTCTCAGCAGCGTTCCCTGCAGAAACACGTCAGAGTCGGTCACTGCTCCGGGACATGTGTGACACACAAGTGTATGTCAGCAAGTGTGAACATTTGTTAAGAAGGAAGATGGCTTGTTGTCCAAAAATTTTGGGTGAGGGTACCCATAGTTGAATAAGCGTGAATGAATATGCACTTGTGAGGAGTGCGTTTTAAGCATAGAATATAAAATGTAAATGATAGACCAATGCACTGAGAAACACGAGCTTGAAGGGTGAGGATGTCCACCCAGGCGGTATGAGAACAATAATGGAAGATATACAGGAGTAGAGTGAATTTCTTTTTATTGATACATGATTGCAAGTAAAGGGTTACTATGCACGGATACAAAGAGTGCTTTTCTTTAGATAGTGTGTGAATGCGTAATAGAGAATGTTTTTTATTCTGTTACACTAAGTGTGAAATCTGGCAATTAGACCATACTAAAGACAAGACAATGAAGTAAGCGTGTCACACAGACAGCGTGCGTGTCAGGGCAAGGAGACAGAAGGAGTAACAGCAGAGAAGGCACAGGAGGCTGACAAAGGCAAGGACACCTATTTCTGATGTAGGCTATTTATCTATATAAATAAATGATTCAATGTTTAGTCCCCTGTATCCCTTTACCAGAATATAACGGGTGCTGCAAGAATTTTATTGTTTTGTATAATTCTTTTGAGAATGTAATTTTATATAGTTCTGCCTTCTAAACTCTATCTATCTATCTATCTATCTATCTATCTATCTATCTATCTATCTGTCTGTCTGTCTGTGTGTCTGTGTGTCTGTCTGTCTACCTACCTACCTATTATCTATCTATCTACCTACCTATCTATCTGTCTATATCTATCTAGCTCTATCTACCAACACATGATTAATGTATCATGAAACGCTCCTAGTTTGAGATTATCTGTGACAAGGAAATCACATGTTTTACTTATTCTTAGAACTAAATACAACAATAATTTACCTCTCACATGGAAAACGATTTACATCCAACTGCCTCATCTTAGTGTTGTGTAAATGGTGATATTTATTTACCTAATTACTCACTTTTAAATAAGGGTTTTTATTCCTGAACAAAATATACGTATATGTAGCGTGTAAACACTGCATACGTTGGACGTCATTGTATGAAATGACATTTCAGCTAATAAGAACAAACAGATTTTTTTTTTAGAAATTATGGTTTTTGCAACAGTTTTGTTTCTCTTGACTTTTCCAAAATTAGACGTAAGGGTCTGGTCTAAGTTTAGAAAGTACCTAAGTATAAGTATTGTATGACTCAATACTGCATCATGCTCTGTTTAAATCTGAGCATCCCAAAATATTTTTCTATTTTAATGCTTGAATACAGAATTTTTATCTCTAAAGGAAGAACTAGCGTAGAAAGGATGGATTGAAAGTGGACAGAACCACAAGTGTTTTAGCTACAAAATGCAGTAACACATGCACCAGCACTGACAAAGTTGACAGTACAATAGATACCAGTTGCCAGCTGATACAGACATAAAAGGGGCCACCAGAGCAGAGGTAAGAACAAGGAGCAGAATCACATACGACAAGGACCAGCTAACTGAGGCCATACAGAAACACAAGATAACTACTTACTATCATCTGCATGGACGGTGAGCAGAGGAGGAAAAGTACAGTCAGAATTCATTACACAGAGTTATGTGTTACCAATAGCTTATTGTCAACTATCCATGCGCCTATAAACTCTGCCAATGCAAAGGAACAATTTTCTAGCCCAATCATATATATAGGGCTCTATATATATTTTGATACAGTTATCTCTGCTATCTACGCTCTTGATATTGTACAGTGCTTTTTCTAACTGACATGCTAGGGATCCTACTAAGTCTGTGTCTGTGTCAAGTAGACCTGACTAACGTGGAATTAGAAGGAAAAAAAACTGTCTTGCCATTTACTACTAGAAAATTATTTTCTTTTTGTCAACAGATCTCAATGCAATACCACCCAATCAAAATGTAAAGAATACTGCACCAATAATCTATTCTGAATTATAATTTTAACACAGCAATACAAAATTCACAAAATATTGATTTTTTTTTTTTATTAAGTAACATTTTTTAACCTGTAGGCTCTTACCAGAAATACATTCAATCATGTTTAAACTCAAACCTAGTGTTTTGTCTTGTTTCATATATGTTTTTAAATAACTCTTTTCTATTTAAATGGCAATTGCTGCCTCTTGAGTTTAGCTCCACTGAGCTAACTAAACCAGGAAGTAACTGAACATATTGTCTGATTGACAGCCAAGGGGGTGTAACAAGGTTAATTTATAAAAGCCTCAATTTCTATCGAAACCTGCACTGTTTGTAAAATGAAAAAAAGAGGATGCGCTCGTCACACATGATGAACTATAGCAAGCTGAAGTGCTTTAGGGGTCTGGAATGCCCCTTTAATGTGTGTTAGGGTTAGTATTAGAGATGTTTTAGGGATATGGCTGACCATAATAGTTTGGAGTGCATGTCTAACACTATTTGACATCACTGCTGAACTACCAATTCTTAGGACTTAATGGTGCATTCTTTATCTTAATAATGCAAGTCGTGTTTCTTAAAAAATATGCAAACATCAACAACGGCTGGCCCCATAGTTTAGCCATCTATTGGTCCCATTAAAATTATATTTTCTTAAACTTTTTACCAATTTCAATATAGAAACTGAGTAAAACAAACTAATATGAATGGGAAGGCACTTGAGATACAGGACAAGGTCTGAATGATCAACACGTGTAATCTGTAAAAATAAAATTGATCTGGTACATTTGATCTGGTCTACACATAAATAAAAGGATTATTTATCATAAAGTCATAATATCCAACCACATAACCATAGGCAATAATAATAATAATCAAGATGAAGATATTGTGGGGAGTGGAGAATACTCTGATAAATCTTTGTGGTTTCTAATAAATGGTTACGGATTACCTTACACTGATCATCCTTGTTTTCGACTTATTACTTGTTCCATTTCGCATGTAAAAGGTTTGCGGAAAATACTGATGCTTAAAAAAAATAAAAATAAAAGCACTGCAATGATGCTGCTTTGAAATGTACAGCTTTATTACAATAATTTTATTTTCTAATCTCATCTAATTTTTATTGTTTATCAGCGGAGGTTTTAAGGTTATCATTCCTCATTCGTTTACCTATCAGGGTCTCGGGTTTCAAAACCCTCATCTTTACCTCATGTGGGCCTCTCTTCCTTTAGTTTGCAAACCCGAATTTTGTGATCTGTGCACATTATTATAAAAACAATTATAGAAAAATGTAACTATATACAGCCTAACTTAAACATAAAGTTAGTAGTTCTGCTCTATAATCTCTATGTATCTAACGACCACTATAGATGTTATAGCTTGAGAGGTCAGGTTGGGGCTTAGCCTTACACTTTGTTGGTCTGTCGAGGTCAATGACTGTATAAACAATCGCAAACTATGACTGCGCCCCCATCTTTTGCAACTCCTGTACCTATGTATCTGTGGTTCGCAGACCCAGGTTTCCTAACCCGGGCATTCTATTATTATGGAAATATGAGAAGATACTTAGCTATTTAAAGCTGGAATTGAACATAAGGTTATCTATAGACTGTGTTCACATTACGTTACCCATTCTATGCAAAACCAGACATTGCAATACGGAGGCAAATGTATAGAGAACATAATGGCAAAAAGTAACTATATACAGCTAAAAGCATAAGGGATTGGGAGGCTCTACTCTTCGACCTCTATGATTGAGCCAGAGTACCAGCTGGTCTCGATGCCTGGAGTCTGCATCTCCAGAGTCACTGGGGAAGAGCCACCATCACCTGTCCTGTGCTCTGCAGGATTTAAAAGTCCAGAGGATCCGTGCAGCACATGTTAAAAGAGGGCAGTAGCAGAATGAGTTCGTCTGCAGCATAGTGTTGCCAGAGACACATCTGGAAAGGGTTGAAGAGTGAAGCCCTGCTAGGTAAAATCTAAGGTATTTCTAGATCTTCTCCTTAAGTACGTAGTTGGCCATGCAGCAAATCACATCATTTGGAGGGTCAGCAGGTGGGCTTCGTGGTCTTAGGGCCCTATGGGCTCTCACAAATCCAATCTGAGTATGAAACTCTCCGCCCAGTAGGTTGTTAAATATCTCTCTAAGTGTGTCTCACAGTTTTGATGGCAAGTCTTCACTTCAGGGAGTCCACTGAGGCGTAAGTTGCTGTGATGGCTCCTATTATCTAGGTTCGCTACGGGGTGGGCCTTTTTTTGGAGTAGTTCTGTCAGGCAAGCAAGTGTATCTGTCATGGCTGACTGGTCCACCTCCAGCTGCCCACGTAGTCGTTAAGGCCTAAGGATATCATCCCAGATAAATTGTAGGTCAGTCCTAATGGAGGTCTGGAACACTGTGTTCACCTCTCTTAGGTTGACCTTTGTGGATAAGGCTCTTACTAGGGCTAGCCAGTCAGCAGTCCCTGGGTAATCTTGTTCTTTCTAGGAGGGGTGTGGCAAGGACGGGCCAGTCACTAAGTCAGACCTTGAGCCCTGTTCTGGCATGGTCATCAGGTGATGGGGCAAGGAGGGGGTCAGGTCGGGTATTTTGGGTTCCAGGAATCAATAAACTCTCAGAGTGTTCTGTGACTTCCCCATTATCTCTGTAGGCAAGGAGAATTGTGAAGGAGTAACACGCTCATGCAGCCATCTTCCTTGGTGGCTCAGCCACGCCCTCCCTTGAAATCTTTTATGATTGGTCTAGATGCAGGGATAGGCAACCTTTAGCACTCCAGATGTTGTGGACTACATCCCTCACAATGTTCTTACACCCATAATGTTGGCAAAGCATCATGGGAGGTGTAGTCCAAAACATCTGGAGTGCCGAAGGTTGCCTATGCTTGGTCTAGAGGATAGGAGGGACTTAAGGATAGTGGGTGTTTAGGCTTAGGAAGTTCACAGGATAAAGCCCACTCTGTGACAGCATTATCAACAGAAACATAATGGCACTACATTTTCCCATCATTATAGTGTGGATATAATGAACAGTGACATTTTTATATTGACTGTTAAAAGTAGATAATTTTCTCTGCTCCTGAGCCTTGGCTAGTCTAACATTACCAAACCAAAGTTGCCTGACCTAATCCACTGTTAAACTACTGTTGCTGATTCATAGCTGCCTGTCCGGAACCCTGGCTAGTCTTACATAACTGAACCAAAGACAGACATACTGTAGTAACACACATGGACACAGCTATTCACATCCATTTCTAGACAACACATTCATAGTTTTGATAGTGTTAAGGAACGTGACACATTTGACACCTAAAGTGTACTGATGGGTATATAAAGCGTAGCAACTTTTTTTATCAATAATTTTTAAGCCATTGTGCTGTGTACAGAGAGAATTTGTAGCACAATAAAAGAGACTGTATTCGTCATAATATTTAAGAATGTATAGTACCTAGTGGGTAAGGTTACGGACTGGAAGGTTGGCCACAATACAGTTTATAGCAGTGAGAGCTCGCACAAGGCTAAACCATCTTTACCATACAGGGTTCTCACACTACAATAGTCCATATGCATTAGTTTATCTCGGTTCCTAATGTTAAAACCGGAAAGCCTTGTGCTAGCAGGTTCTCATGAACCTTTAGAAAACATTAGATCCTGGGTTAATAAACCTAATAACAAAGGGTAGTAGCTTGTATGAAAATAACTCATTAAGTGGTTAAATCTAAGTACACACAATGAGAATAAATATACTTCCTCTAAAAAAATAATATAGCAATTCTTAAAGTATATATAAAAGATACAAAATTAATATTATGTAACAAATAAAAACACAAGCAAGGGAATATAATGCAATCGCAAGAACAATAAAACTAAATATAGTTTTATTCTTCTCCCTATACTCCTACACCAATGTCAAGCAGATAAATTGAAAGAAAAAGTTGAGACGTCTAAGCTGTCCATATATTAAATGTAAAGGAATAGCAATATTATGCATAGAAGGTTGTTAAAATAATGCCAAATACAGTAATGGGAATTATCCTTAGAAGGAGACATTGACATTATTCTCTAAAAAAACTTAATTTTGGAAAACTGAGCAGGTGATTGTACATTTCAGGGTCAAAAAAGTCAAGGTGGAAAAGAGGGAGTTACCCATTGTCGCAACACAACAAGAAACCCTACATTTATTACACACAGCATGAATACGAAAAAGCTCATTTGTGCTAAACCCACAAACTGTAACATTTACTATATTTCATTTTTGCAGGAAGACTTTTTTTTTTTTTAGCAACTCTAATGTGATGATAACTCTGAAAGTGCACAAATTCTGATGTCAGAAGGAACTTGAGGAACATTCCTAATTCTGGTCTCCTTTGATTTAAATCATCTTATAAGAAATGGAAGGAGGTAGCAAAAGCCTAAAAATAAGACTATATTGAGATATAGGCTGCCTGATCAGAGAGAGTGCAAAGATGTGGTTTATGTAGGAAATGGGAATAAGTGGTCAGAAAGTGGCAAGATTGCTTTCTGTTCCTCCTATTGCAAGCTAGAACCAAGGTAGAATTGTCATTAAAGAGTTACTGCATAACCACTACAACCTGCTGAATTAAATATGCACAGAATTGACGTTAGCCAGTCTGGAACGCTAGTTCCAGGCTGACTGATGACACCCCAATGACGCTGCAAGAGGTGGAGTTACACTAGCAGGCAGGTTGAACTCCGTGTGTGCAGCTTTTCCTACTGAAACGCTGCACATTCAGACTCCAGGTACCATGACCACTTCAAATCGCTGAAGTAGTCATGGTGTTTGCAGTATCCCTTTAACCCCTTAAGGACACATGACATGTGTGACATGTCATGATTCCCTTTTATTCCAGAAGTTTGGTCCTTAAGGGGTTAAGGCCTCTGTGGTGTGGTATACTGAAGTTCCACCACCTGGCAATATCTGATGGTTTCAGTAACATTAGAAATAGTGCCTGAATGGCACAGGAAAAAGAAAAAAAGACCAAGTTATGTCTAAATTAAAGCTATACTAGCACAGAAACATTGACTTTTTTTTGTATTTTGTAAAAAGTGCAATGGACAGGAAGATCTCAATCTGTATATCTAAGCTCTACATTTGTCTCTTCTCCAGCTGCTAGGATGGACCTCCACAGTAGACTGAACGTGTGTTTCTAGTAAAGACTCACCGTCTGGTCTGTCAGTGGAGGAAGAACAATAATTTTTTCCATAGTATTCATCACAAGCTTCCAGAGCTCCTTCAGAACACGTTTCAGTACAGTCTTCTCACAAATCTTAGCAAATAGGGTCAGGCTGAAACGAAAAAAAAAAAAGAATACTCATCGAGTAAAAGGAAAAAACAAGAAAGCAATTTAAATTGTACAACTGCATATTTTCCATTATCCAATTATTATTCCAGTATCAAGAATTTCTCGCCCATCTTAGTCTAAAGTTTTAACCCCTTTCTATTCATTAGGAATTAAAATACTAGTTTTAATCATCAATTAACAATATGTAATAAAACAGACAGGTCAAAAGCGTTCCAGCAAAATTGATTGCTGGTGGCAGTGAACAGTTTAAACAGGCTTGGCTTATGGTGCCTGGCTATTTTGCGCCTGCGCCAGATACCAGCCAGTCGTGAAATGCCATTGCAGTTTTTTTAGCCTGCTGGAGTTTGTGCTAACTGGCTACCGGCGCGTCTGCCTATACGCCAGTGAGTGTTGCTATTGGTACCGGCTGGTCATTACCTAATTCACGGGTATCCAGTAGGCCGGGGCCATTATTTAGATTTGTCATAATGTTTCGTTTGTTATTATTACGATTCGGTGATGAACGTAGCTGCCGAACGGTATCACGACTTCAATATTGAAATCTTGACCAAATTGGTTAATAAGCAGATATTCCAGTTATCAGTAGCAGTAGAATTCTCCTCTCAGACTCTCCCACCTCCTGGACAGCTCACTAAGAATGCAGCTTCACAATGAATGGAAAATGGATGCTGTCCAGGAGGTGGGAGGGTCTGGGAGGGAGGGTCTGCTGCTGATTGGCTGGAATGTGTCTGCTGACTGTGAGGTACAGGGTCAAAGTTTACTCAATGATGAGTCCGTGGTGAACCGTTCGGCGAACCGTTTGGGACATCACTAGTCAGTAATAGTCGCAAACATTCATTCAGAGAACGATATGACAAATCTAAATAGTAATTTATTTTCTGGATATATTCCATTGTAGGATTAGATTATTATTATTATTTATAATGCGCCAACAAATATCGCAGCGCTGTACAATGGGTGGACAAACAGACACATATTTGTAACCAGACGAGTTGAACACAAAAAATACTAATAGATAAAAAATACAAATGGTAATCTTTCTTCCATTTCCGGAAGAAACAATTTAGACATCTGAAGAAAAACATATAGACACAAAATGTAGACACCATAAGTACTTCAACCTGTTTAAATAGTTATGGTACCTACAATGTTCCTTTAAAGCCTGTAGTCAGTTTTTATATTGCTGGAACCTTTTGTTACTTCTCAATCTGTTTTGTTACATATTTATCTTGTTTACTTCTCAATCTGTTTTGTTACATATTTATCTTGTTACTACTTTAAAAATTCCACTAGATGACAAGTTTGCGAACCGTTCGGGACATCACTATTACTGACATTTAACCAATTCCATTCTAATGAATATATTTTTCATATGTGTCTCTCAGTAAAATCATGCTCTAGCAAGTATATATATATCCTTCTCACTTGCTGTCCAAAGGATCCAGTATCGGCTGTAACACATTGTCTGCATCTTGCGCGACACTGCTGCAATTACTGGCTGGTACGTTGCCTGTCCCCTTCACCTGGCTGAGTATTTCCCCCATCTGCTTCACGCACTCTTCAATGTGTGGCTGGAAACTGTAAGTTTGAGGAGTGGACGAAGCATTGGTGAAAAGAGACAAAGAAAGCGAGACAGAGATCAGAACTCGCACACAAGAACTCAATGTTCCATGATGAACATACTATAATAGTCTTATCTTCACTCACCTGGTGGCAAATACACTGCTCAGCTTATCCAAGACTTTGTTGAGTTTTACCTGCAAATCTTTTAGAATGGTGCTAGTTTCTGGGTCCAGCTTAAGGAGGCAAAACAAGAAACAAGGTAAAAAAAAGAAAAAGGTAGGACACGGAAAGTAAATTAATGAATGTGACCTGAAACTTTGGGCCTTGCGGTTGGTGTTACACTTCACTTGCCAAGGAATTAAGTCCCATGCGGTTCGATGTTTGGCTATTTTAGAAAAATTTCAACATTTAGTTTCTACTTTTTATACTAAGGTCCATGGGCAGGCATATTTCGCCCATATGAGCCCTGGCTATCAGCCAGATTCTCCCTCCTTTCCCGTCTCACTAATAGATTTAAGTCAGAGGCATGGTTTAACGTAACTTAGAGATGTAATCATTCACAGGTTACTACCTGTTGTTCTAAAGCCAAATTACTCTCCTGTGCCACTCTCAGCAGGACAACGAGGTCTAACGGGATGCCACCTCAGATATTTTATTTGTTTTCCTAATAGTTTGTGTTATTTATGATTGTTTTTGTTTCTCTATGTAATGGCTGGTCGTAAATGGTCTTTACCCCGCAAGACCCCACCGTGTTAGCTAATGCACATTTAACATAGCTTAGAGTGCCTCAATACGAGGCCAGACCCTAGTAGGAAATCCTCGAAAAGTTCCTCTTTATCCAATCATAAAACCCTTGGCTCATGGTTTATTTTTCGGGATATGTGTTTTAATGTCTGCTTATGTCTATTTTCTACCTTTCTTACAACTTTATTTCTATGTCTATTTTGTATCTTTTGCATTTTACCGATCTCACGCCTATGAGCTGAGCATATATAACATAAAAAAAAAAAAATGAACTAATGTGCCACCAGTTTTAATGGTTTCATCACTCCCGTTGTATTATAATTGTTTCACCTACATGGCAGCTGATTTTGGAAATTGTGTGACATATTACACATTCGTATATATTTTCAGTGTAACTCTGTCACTACGTTAAATGTATGTTCCAGCCTGATTTTAGAGGGCGTTTAAACATGGTAAAATGTTCCAATAAATAGGCTGCTCTTAAATAGACATGGTGAGAGTGACAGGTGAATGAAAATGACAATAGAGAGAACTGGACGAATTAGACGTAGAGGTCTTACCTCCTTCCCACCCATTGCTTCAAACATCTTCTCCAGTTGGACCCGTAGCTGTTGAATGTTATTCATCAGGATGCATGGCTGTAGAATTTTTGTTTTTAAAAAGTATAGTGTTAACGTAAAAAAGTATAACGTCAGCTTTATCTATGTTATTACTGTTTTTTACAAATATTAAACCATACTTCTGATACGACTGTGCTAAGAGCTGATGCAAGGTCTTTTGTTTACACAGGCAAAGGTGTATTTAGCTGTGTGTCCCCCAACTACCTAAACATTGCATAAACTACATTTACACAGAGTACCGTGTACAAACACAAAGATTAGTGGTTTGGAACTTCGTGATACTCATCCATGATACAAAATTCTGTGATCGGCATTGCTTTGGAGGTCTGGGTTTTGCACATTACTTTGACCTGTAATATGCGGTGTGTATGAATGTATTACAGAGCTGCACAGCGGAAAGAAAGCCCCGCTGTGCATCAGTTTATCACAGAATTCCACAACAATAAATCTTACAGTAATGTGCAGTCTGTATGAGTGTATCACAGAGCTCCTCCCCATTAAAACTCACAGTGGTGTGCAGATTAGAATATCACAGAGCTCTAAAGCTATATCAAATATTTCTTTAAGGATATTCAAAATGGAAATGTTGTGTTTACTGTACATGCATTTTTTTGTGTTTTTAAGTTCCCTATTGTGTAAAAAAGCTTATTTAAACTTTATTTGTTCTAATTGTTTATCCAGGATTTGTTATTATGAGTTTTGTGTTGTTGCTTCCGTATGTCATCGACTCGGGGGAGGTGTTTGTTCTTCTCGAGTGCAAAACGTTTCCGAATTTCAAGGTGTTGGCTAATTAGTTGAAACATCAGAAATGTGTTTTCAGTGACATGCCAAGTTCTCTTGGATGTTTAATGGTCCTGTTTATGTGTTAATAAATGTGATCGCCTAAGCTTGGCTTCTTAATGTAAGAGATGTGGCACAATGTCAATGTTGAATAAAAGTGTCGTAACTGAGCCATTTTGATGGGCATTGTCATCTTTAATGTCTCATAGCAGAGGTTTAGTAGTATACACAAAAAGGCCCCGCACTGTCGCATACAATCCAGGTCCTCCATCCCCAGGGTTGGCAAATCCCAATTTAGCAGATATGAAGAAAGTCAGGTCCAGGCATTTAGGATATTGCAAAAAGCAGATTTATTGCAAAAAAGGAGCACAAATGTGCAGGCTAAAACATTGCTCTTTGTTCCAATAAATCTGCTTTTTGCAATATTCCGAGTGCCTGGACCTGACTTTCTTCATAGCAGAGGTTAGCATAATGATTGATTTACCAAATTACAGACTGTGATCAAAGCCATGAAGTCCCTCTAGTGGCTCTAGTGGCCTGTAGAGTTGGAGTTAACCCACAAAGGTATTTATTACAGTTTTTTTTTTTAAACTGCAATAATTACCTTTGCAGGGTCAAGGGACCTGGGCATATGCACCTACACCACTTCACTGAGCTGAAGTGGCCTGAGTGCATATAGCGTCCCTTGAAGGACCAGTGACAATATATGCCATCATAATAAACTGGTATTCAACCCCATCATCAAGACTCATGATATTACAGTTTTTCTCTATTCTCTTGTCCTAAATGGGGATGGTATCATATTCAAACATGGAAAGACCAACTCAGTAGTCAACTGTATGGCCGTATAGAGGTACTAATGCTAAATATACAAGGTATTCCAGACATTTAAAAGGGACCAGTCTGTGATGATGGCAAAATGTTGACCCTTTATGGTTTAATCTTCCATGACATCCCTAAAAAAGAGGTGCTCTAAATAAAACACAACAAGCCATATAAGAAAACTTGCCCTTATTAAAGGAATGCTCAGACTAACAGCTACCAGTGTAAGTTAGTAAATAATTTGTATCAGCTATCAATGCTGAATAAAACAAACTCTTATAATATGTTCACTGGCGCATGTTGCTTATTGATCACTTATAACACAGGGAAAATAAACAGTATGAAACAATATATATCCCCAGAAACAACTGTGCAAAGTTTGCCTGTAACAATACTTTTTTTTTTAGGTAAAAATAGGTGTTTGTTACTTGGAATCTGTAAAACACGAGATTTGCAAATTAAATACAAGCTATAAAGTAGATACATCACCACTTTCTCTTCTTTTTTATCTTTGGAGCAGTATGAAGCAAAGTCTTTGGAGATTATTTCAGCGTACTGTAGAAGAATGTTACTGATTGTCTGCAAATAGCAAGAAATTAGAGAGAGAAAGAGAGAGACAGTTAAAATGCAAAACAAAAACAAAAACCACATCTAGTATGTGTCACACAGATCTGTAGTGTACGCTAGTTAGTCACATCCATCGTCAAAGCTTTTTATAAATCAATTGGGCACTTTAAAATATAAAGCTTTAAAAAAAAAAATTGAATCCTGAAATCTTATAGGCAAAGTAAATATCGTGATGTACTAATTGGCCAAGGTAGTGAAAAGTGAAAGAATGTGAACTCAATAGAAAGACATTTAGTAGGTTATAAAAAAATAAATAAACAAATATATAGTACAACAAAACAACATGGTTAAGTGATATAAAAAATAGCTAATAGTGAGCTATGTAAAAAAGACATATACAGCCAAATTATACACTAAGCTGTGAGTTGTCAGAAATTAACCAATGGTTTGCAAATGTTAGGCCTAAATATTACAACAAGCTTTTAAATTTTATGTACTTTTTCCAACTTTCAGTAGACCAATGCATTGCAGTATCGAGAGACATTCAATTTAAGCAGGTCTGGGTTTGTAAGCTTCATAAGGGCAATAAAATCCCTACAAACAAGAATAAAAAACAAAAAACAAAGGGATTGCACGTAAGTAGGAGATTCCTCCCATGAAGTGGCCCAGCAAGGTACCCACAGGATCACATTTCAAGTTCTGTTTTTATTTCCCAAGAAAAAAATGGGAATTGGGGGTATACCCAGAACATGTATATCCATGCAATGGTGCTGCCGTAAAGACCAAAACATATACATGGTTTTATCTCCCAACCACAAAGTGTTTCTATAGTAATGGATAATGATTTAGTAAACAATACTAATTAAAACATAAAATACATACATGGCATAAGTTCACCTACATGTATATGGCTATTTTCTCTCATATTTGGTATGTTTGTTTGTTTGTTTGTATTACGTAAAAGTGAGTAAAAACTAAAATAAACACTAACAGGTACTGAACCTGATGATTTAGAAGAAAAACAAAAACAACAAACAATAAAAAAAGGAAGCAACAAACGAACGTAGTCATTATTACCTTTGCAAATCTGCGCATGTAATGTCCCACAATCTGTGGGTCTGGGCATTCTAGCTTCTTAATGATTTCGAAACTCTGGTTAAGTTGTGAGAAGACATCCACCACAGAGCAGGAAAACAGTGCATGTTCTGAGGTCTGCTGGAACTACAGGAGAAGATGGAAAAAGAGTCGATGGGAGCAATATTTATATACTCATGCTCTACGTTATGTTGACAATGAACCAGCAAATTAAAAAACAAAGTTACGCATTATGTTTATAAATATGATCCATAGGATTTGCTCGTGTCCGCTTCAAAGTGAGATCTTCTTACCCCATCTTTTTTATCTCTCTCTAAGGCTCCATGTAGGAAGTCTCGGGACACTTCTTCATTCTCATCCAACCACTGGATAACGAATGGCTCAAACCAGCTATAAATGGTTAGAAATATGCATGTCAATCGACAAGAAAGTAAAGGCTAATTGTATGCTGGAGTCACACGTACATTTTCACATGTACGTTACGATGTTGCAACTACAACACCATTTCAGACAGTTACTGCAGGTAAGTTTATAAGGCCGAGCTGTGTTAAATTGGGAAAGCTGAGCTGCATGTCCCTTAAATGAAGTTTATGCAAATATGCTCAGCACTCTAATTGAAAACAGGGGAAGAATCTGAATTGGCTGAGAGAACTCAACCAGTTCTTGATCACTGGAGAAGCTGCCCATATGCCACAAACAACGGTCAGTACATGCATAACCTGTACCTGTACACAGATTAGATACCATGGGCATACCACAGTGTTTTTCAATCTTTTTAATCGAAACGTCACTTACGCTGGGTATTCTGGAACTTTACTCTTGAACGATGGAAGCTCAGTAACATATTCATTGTACAGCCACTTGACTTTAAAGTGTAAGTTCATGTAGTCAGCGCTCTTACAGAGGCGATGCTTGTCATGCTCTATGGAAAGGAGACATAGCAATAATGGGTTATTAGGAATCTCTGAACTGTCCAGCCAAAATCAGCAAATGGATTGCAACTATAAAGAAAGCACATGAGTTGGACATAATTTCTGTGTTATTAACAACTGGTCCTCCATATCCACTTGCAGGTTTTTTTCTACTAAATTGGAAACTGCCGCAAAGACAGATATGCTTCCAGTTTGGCTATTTTGGCCTTAAATTTGAAATTTGAATTTATTTTGAATCCCCAGCAATCCTCCCTTTAGTGAATATCCCTGTATGTTTTCACCGTGTATATCACACCTCAATGACAATGAGGAGTCCATAAATTAACCTGCTATTTGTAGAATTCATATTGGGCAGGTATGATATCAATTCAGGACTTAATGAGAAAACTAAATAAACTAAGTATACTTTTCCTGGTTAAATAATAATAATAATTACAATCGGTGGACTAACAGATACGTATTTGTAACCAGACAAGTTAGACACACAGGAACAAAGAGATTGAGGGCCCTGCTCAATAAGCTAACATGCTAGAGGGAGTGGGGTAATGTGATACAAAAGGTAAGGGTAGGGTAGAAAAGTAGGTTGCTAGGATAGTATTCATTGAGGGCTTAGTGTTTTGTTTTGATGACAGTTTCAGGAGAAGAATCAGGGTGCTGAGAGGGAAAGCTGTTCACAGTTTAATTGATATGCTTCCTAAAGAAGTAAGTTTTCAAAGATGAAGGAGTGAACATTGGGTGAGAGTCTATCAGAGAGGGGAAGGGCATTCCATAGGAGGGGGGGGGGAGAAAAGGGGTAGGAGAAGTGGTGTAGCAAACTTACCTTCCATGGCATATTTCATATCCTGTGCAAAGAGACTCCACATGACTTCAGCACTAATCTTACCAACATTTAGCTCCTGTGGAAACCTAGTCAAATAGATACGATTGTTAGACTGCGAAAACCACAAAAGGGACAAGAAGGTTGAAATCTGACAAGTCAAGAAAGAGGAACTATAAGTTTATATCTTTATTTTATCTCTATTTCTCTTTATTGGTTGAAATTGGTTGAATGTATAGATGCAATTAGAGAGAGAACCCTGGTTGACCCGGCAAATTATTTTTAACACCACCGGTAATTAGCAGTTCTGTGAAATCCCACTAATCTATATCCCCTCACCAGCTGTACATCCCACATGTGCTCCATGGGTATAAAAGGCTTGCTGGACTTGTATACAAGGAAATCAATAAAGATAAGAATGTCTAACCATTCCTATTCCATAGAAAGAATCCCACCCAGGTGTATGGACTATAAATAAAGGGATCATTTTTGTGGAACAAGGAATGCTGTACAGGCTTATATTTACTTAACAAATAATGCCATTAAAAAGGTTCATATTTTCTGCATATTTTACATAATTCCCAATCAGTATGTTTTAGATAACACATTTGTGTTATTTGGTTTCCCTACAAATTTTTAATTTTTCAATATCTCCGATATTTTGTATTTTATCCATTGAGGCCTCCTTGAAGAATATCTTCATACAACATAACTGTTAGGACACTTACTGATTCAGGCATGGCGTATATGAATTTTTATCTTCTTCTATGATGGACACAATCAATGTGATAAGTTTGGACCAAAAATCCAGGTTCTTGATACTTGGACCTTGCTCATCAGGAGGCAATTCACCTTTCTTTGCCTTCAAAACATGAAACATAGTATTAAAACTGTTATTGTATTCATTCTAAAAGCACCAAGAGAGTCTAGAAAATAAACAAAGGCTAATATAAACTTGGCCCAAATTAAAAGAATATACTCTTATAAAAAATATACTGCCTCAATTCTGGAAAATGTGTTGGTAAATATCAGGCTGTACCACTTACAGGATCACTTTGATATTCTCGACTATATAATTCGTGACAGTTATTGAAAATGTATTCATAAGTAGAGTTAAGACACGCTTTTACGCAGTCCTTCACCACTTGGCTGGCCCGCGGGGGACTTTGCAACTCTTGGACCTGCAAGGGGAATTTGAAAAAAACAAAACAATGTATGAGAAAAATACAGAGTACAGCATTTAGAGAAGGAACACAGACAGGTGGGCCGTAATAGCGGAAAAACAGATGATAAGATAAGTGGGAAGAGAATATGATTTAGAGAAAACAAGGGCTGAGAGGGAAGGTATCCAGAAAATACTTTGTAGCTACTTCACACACCTCAGCCCTAACATTCCAAAACATTCATACACATTCCACATCTTATACTGTCTACTGGCTTTATGAACATTCAGTATTAAGCCATCTGTATCGTACGATGTATTGATTTTTTTTAACATGTTTATTTATTTCTACCAACTTACTGAGCAATATTTAGCAGAGGCCCAAATAATTCATTCTACATGTCTATCACATACCTCCCTTTATTGTGAGTGTGTTTGTGTCTATCATCATTCTCCATCTCACCTTCATCCTGAAGAATGTTATACTAGTAAGAAGATCAACAGTAGATTTGAGGTCTTGGAGTCTCTCTGGGCTGCTAGCAGGGAAATTATTCTATAAGACAAGTGCATAAGAACACGTTTATGAGTTGGACACATATATATATTGAACATGTAGTACATTACGAGTATTTTTCTCTTGTTGATTGGTATTATATTGCAAAATAGGTGGAGCTATTATCTCAGAAGTATGACACGGTGGACATCAGATATGTGAAATGTCTATTGTATATGTGACTTCTTATTATGAGATCCTGAAAAGAATTCTCCTCCCCCTATTAATGTAATATGATCAAAGGATATAATGAATTTGTAAACATAATAATTTAGTGTAACTGCAAAATAAAGTAAGTTTCAGTGGCTAATGCGAGCTATATTTGGGCATTTCTATTTGAAACATTGCGGAACATTGCGAAAGGATAGTTAGATCTTAAAGGACTACTATAGTGCCAGGAAAACATACTCATTTTCCTGGCACTATAGTGCCCTGAGGGTGCCCCCACCCTCAGGGTCCCCCTCCCGCCGGGCTCTGGGGGGAGGAAGGGGTTAAACGTACCTCTTCCTCCAGCGCCGGGCGGGGAGCTCTCCTCCTTCTCTCCGCCTCCTCTCCTCCTCTTCGGCTGAATGCGCAGCAGGAGCTGCGCGTGCATTCAGCCAGTCCATAGGAAAGCATTCACAATGCTTTCCTATGGACGCTGGCGTCTTCTCACTGTGAAAATCACAGTGAGAAGCGCGGAAGCCCTCTAGCGGCTGTCAATGAGACAGCCACTAGAGGCTGGATTAACCCATTTATAAACATAGCAGCTTCTCTGAAACTGCTATGTTTATAGAAAAAAGGGTTAAACCTAGCTGGACCAGGCACTTAGACCACCTCACTAAGCTGAAGTGGTCTGGGTGCCTATAGTGGTCCTTTAAAATGTATAGCTTGGAAAGACGAGACGGGGGGATATGATAGAAACATTTAAATAAATAAAGGTAATCAACACATTAAAGGAGGAGACTATATTTAAAAGAATAAAAACTACCACAACAAGAGGACATATTCTTAAGTTAGAGGGGCAAAGGTTTAAAAATTATTTCAGGAAGTATCACTTAAGAGGGTAGTGGATGCATGGAATAGCTTTCCAGCTGAAGTGGTAGAGGTTAACACAGTAAAGGAATTTAAGCATGCGTGGGATAGGCATAAGGCCATCCTAACTATAAGATAAGGCCAGGGACTAATGAAAGTATTTAGAAAATTAGGCAGACTAGATGGGCCGAATGGTTCTTATCTGCCGCCACATTCTTTGTTTCTATCTAAGGAGGTAAAAATAAGAGGAGCTTTTCAATCCCCGGGAAACAAACGTTCATTCTTACCCGGTACATGGATAAATCAATACGCAAAGAATTGTGCAGTTGATCGAGCAGCTTCACAAATCTCTCCTTCTGTAAAATGATACAGAAAACAGACTTCAGTTAGCATAGCCATACAACATAGTAAGCAGAATCAGTGCACTACCTGTACTTATCCACATGTTCATTATCACACGGATCATATGTGGTCAGAGTTTACAATTCCCCCAAATTATCAATTTGTCTCAAGAAATGGGTTTAGAGCACTACATTTAACACCAGAATATAAATTAAAAAATTCTGATGGATTATATCAGTTTTTAGAACACAGACGGCAAAGCATGGTTCTGGGTGCTTCTTACTCGTCTATAGTCTCAATTTTACAGTAAAACTTAACTTACTCCAAAGTTGGAGGCAGAGAAGCGATCTGAGGCAGACACGTTTGTGGACGCTGTGGTGTGGGCATAGTAGGCATTAATGTTGGCAAGAAGGGTGCTCATCACGGCTGGTACTCCAGGACACATATACTTAGAAGAAAGGCAGGCAAAATGACTGCAGGGAAAAAGAGAAAATCAAGAGTGAGATGGACAGAGATCCAGAAAATAAAGCGAGGATAAATAGTCTTAGACAGTGCATATTAAAAAAGAATTGCAGGGAAATTACAAAGAAATAAAACAACAAAACCTAGGAAAAAAGTTGCCAGGAATGTTAAGATTTCCTTTCAAGTCACGTTCTCTAGCCATTAAATTAAAATAAAAATAAAATACTTTATTCCATATACATACTTGAATTAAGCAATTCTTTATTCTTTACTCCCTCTTATTGATTATCACCCACTACACATATTGTGTCTCTCCACTGGTCCTAGTCCCAAAATTTCACTTTCCGTTTCTCCAACTTCCCCCAAAACTTACGTCATGGCTTGGTATATGGACTCCACTCCATATCTCATTGCAAACTCATCCACAATTTCCTGAGCAGTCTCGTCAAAGTAAACTTTCCATGCGTCATCCCCTTTTGCATCTGGAATCTTCACCACTCCATTATTTTGTACATCCGTTAGGAAATGGAATAGGTTCTGAACGAGAGGTTGAGAAAATGACATGGGAGTAAAGGGTAAACAAGAGACACTTTGTGTCAAACCCCGTAGAACAACTTATTGGATTAATTCAGTTGGACTAATAGTTGAAGAGCCAATAGGAGAAGACCAAGAAGAGTACAATTTATATGCGCCTACCTCGTGCAGACATGTATATTGTACATGATATGGTGCCACTTTCTCCTCTCCTTTTATCTCCACGCTGATATGCAGGCGGATGGCACCAGATACCGCAGATTTGTCTGTGCGCTTATCTAAGAAAAATAAAAGATAAAGAGTTTTACCAATGCAGTGCACAAAAACTATAAAGTAAAGCTGAACATAAATGAAGATTTATTTCTGCATTTAGCTTTTTTTCTGACAGAGCATTTACAAATCCCTTTATATTGTGGCAGTCCTCGCATGCATTGGCATAAGAACCAAAGAAAATCTTGGTGAGGTTTGGGGGCAGTGGGTTGGGCAGTCTTTCATAATACTCCCAGCCCTACTTAGAGAGAATACATTAATCCATGCAGTTTTCCATAGGCAAAATTGTTTATTATCACTAGCAAGTCTATTAGTAGAGTAAGATAACCAACTTTTTACCATATTATTTTTTTTATATCTTAAAGCTTCACCAAGACTGGGGGGAGTATACCTCTTTCATACCCCCCAACTAGATTTTCTGTGAGGGAAAATTCATCCCACCTGGGTCCTACACCCATGCTCACAAGCCATCTGTCTTCGAGGAGTTATAAAAGAAGCTGAGTGAGGCCTTACAATGGTAAGCAGTACATTAAAGCTGCCAAGCAGTGTTCACCGGTGCTTACTCACCTAGGTTGTACCACACATCCATCTCTCCACTCAGGGTCCGAACTTCAATGATTGTCTGCCCTAGGAAGTCATCAGACTCCCGTTTGAACCTCTGCTTTACACGTGATTTTATATCATCATCTTCATCCCATACGCGAACCTTAATACGGTCTGACGAGTTGTGGCATTCGCTGTTGGGTGAAGGAAGAAAGGTTATTACAGTACATGCAGCCTGCATACTGGAGGGGTTTTAATACCCTCCATCCGAACACTGACGTTTCAGATAATCCACGTAGAGTTAGACTCCTAAACCCACCATCATCATTGTGCCATAAACTTACAAGTGGAAATTCTCCTCCCAGACAGGGTTAAGATTTCCGTAGATGGTTTTCGTTCTTTTCTTGGTTTTTCCCACCTGGACAGTAACATATGGATCACTGGAACCTGTCTTATCCTTGGCTTGCAAACCTTGAGCACACACCACTGTAACACAACATAACTCTGTGTTAAATGGGTAAAGGAAATTTCCCAGTAGTTTAACACATAAAGTAGCACCTGCATACTTTCTAATTTTTCTATCCACTCTGAAAAAAAAATTATTATGGTGCAATAAAAAAATTTGTGTTTGCACTTTTAATTTTTTCCATTTGCTATTAGAGCGCTAACTGTATCACCTCCTAGCCTCTTTTTCATTTCTGATACTAACTTCTATTTTTTTCTCTCGCTTTTCTGCTCTGCAAAACTCTCTCCTTACCAGTGATGCTAATCTTGGCTGACCATTTAGAGGTGCCGTCTAACACACTCTGTTTCACCGCTTTGATCTGTTGAGCATGTGTGGCCTTCAAAACTCCAAACACTTCCTGGATTAGCTCAAATATTTCTGGCTTGTTTCTCTCTCTGATCTTCATGCGGTCCTTCAAGACCATGATTATATTCTGTGTTCGATCTTCTGCCCCATGCTTTGAGCTTTTTTCTGCTGCCCCTGTAAAGATAATGAGAAATGTAGTACTCATCGTGACTCAGTAAAATTATTACGGATGTAATGGAAAATAATTATAGCGCAATCAAAGTGGAACTGCCACTTCTTTGGAAATGTCTCTATGTAATAAAACATTGAAAATCACTTAGTAACTTGTGTTGACTTTTTTTTCATGTGATGCTTCATTTTCTTTTGAAATGTATATTAACAAGTAACATTACAGTTCTACATTTAATTTAATTTTTTTCACATCTTACAAAACATATTTGCTAAATATAGGGGATTGATAACCAGAACATTGAAAGTCCTGAGACGTAACAGTTCCTCCTTATTTTATCTATTCATAAAATAATTTACCAGGAAGGATACATTGAGATTTCTCTTGTTTTAAAGTATGTCCTGGGCATACTATATACAGATGTTCCTCACATACTGACCGGGTTCTGTTCTTACGACCCGGTCGTAAAATGAATTGGCCAGTAAGTGAGGTGCATGCGCACCAGTGTAGGTCTATGTTCAGGGACATTTCCCCGAACATAGACAAGCGGCAGAGCAGGGAATCCCTCAAATCTATATTCGGGGAAATTTCCCTGAACATAGATTAGAGGGATTCCCTGTTCTGGTGAGCTTGTCTACGTTCAGGGAAAATTCCCTGAACATAGATTAGAGGGATTCCCTGTTCTGGTGTGCTTGTCTACATTCGGGGAAATTTTCCTGAACATAGATTAGAGGGATTCCCTGAACATAGACCAGCTCTTTAACATGGGGAATCACTTGAATCCCCATGCTAGAGATGGTCTTAAGTGCGAGCCTTCACAATACAGGTAGGTCGCAAAGTGAGGACCACCTGTATATGAGAAATGTACAGCACACATGAAATTATAGCAGATATTAGAAACCAATGAGATTTTGAGAATGAAACAAGAATGCGCTACCTATAGATATGTTGGGATGAGATACTCTAAACTGACTACATTCATGATTATTGCATATTGAATAGACCAAAAATAACAAAATTTCGAATGGAATGCTAGCAGATCAAAAAGTTGGCAGTACTTGGTAATTTAAAGATGATTGGATGCAACTGAAGGATACACAATTCACTGATAGTAAATTAAACATGTTTCTAGCATGGACATCTAGACAGATTATCTAGTCACTATTAGGAAATATTTTAGTGTGATGCTTTTGTAACTGCAGCCAAGTGAGGGGAACAGGAAGAGCCGATCTTACTCTGTAGACAGTCGGCATTCAGAAGGTCCTGGCACTTTTCGTGGCACTTGACTCCACACTCTGTACATCGCATTCCCTGCCTGGCAATGCCCCACAGGAGTCCCTCACATTCATAGCAGTATGTGGGTGTAGTGGCAGTCCACACTTCAAAGTTGTGGGGGGTTGTGCTGGAGATCGGGTATATTAAAGCTTGCAGGGTCTTTTTGTAAACATGGTTTTTCTGAAAAGCGTCACAAAGCACACTATGATTAGATTATGCCTAAACCCATTTACACCACTATTGGCGAATACCTATATAATACATCGTTTCAATTTAGATGGTAGTACTTACTAGCTCTTCATTGTTTAAGGTGCTTGTTGCAAGTGCAGATGTTATCCCTGCTTTCCGCGACTGGACCAGGGACTTCAGAAAAAAAAGACAATAGTTGTGTCAACAGCAGGATACAGATGTGTTAAGGGGAAAAAGAGACGGAATCAATGTACCAGTAAAATGTAGATTTTTGCAAAGAGAAAATGAAAAACACATTCACATACATTTAAGTATAAATACCAGAAGACACCATTATTCATATTCTGAACAATGAGAACAGCAGACTAAAGTCACAGAAAAATCCAGAAATTATTACGTGAGTCAACTATTTTAGTATAAATCATGCAACTCATTTCTTTCATGACAGCAACCACTACAGGTTTCAGACTCTTATATTAAACTGTCTGTAGATGATGTAGACTTTTGACAATGTAGGCTTCTGTGATTTAAGATAATTTAAAAGGGACCACCGTAAGCTTTAATGAACCAGAATTGTGGTTTCCTGGCTGATTGGCTGTAACAGGCAATTTATGAGTTAGTAACAGACGTGCAATGTGTACAGATTACACTATACGGATTATACAAGAGCGTAGGGTCATATTCAACCCACCCTGGCACAGGACCTTTGCATGAATGCATCACATGATAAATACTAATGGATAAGAAATAATGAAGTCGCCCTCTACAAATTAAAAGGTTCCTAGCTATGTGGGGCTCCCTCTGCCGGAATGCTAAGAAAAGGTCTTCGGACTATAACAACAAAACGGAAAGACTTTGAAAGGAATTTATCGTCCCAAGGGCCACCTACTTTTTTCACAAATCTAAAAAGGCCAAGTATCTTTAGCTATCAGGAGAGACATAGATGTTTGAGAAACACAAGTATTAACATGGACTACAATTACAAAAATGCAATATGGTTTAAAGCATTGATTCATACAGGTAAGTTGGTAACTAGGATAAGTTGACACCCCTCCCAAAGATAAATAATTGTTACTGTACTTACCATTGCCTGGGAGAAAACATGAAGGCATTGGATAAAAAACAAAAGAGAAACCATCAGATAATCAGTTTGCCCATAGTATACAATGTAACAAAGTAGGGAGCTTTCTCCTTACCTAATGCTCTTCAAAATAGTTAGCTATGACATTTTTATGGTCAATATGACAGTTGTTATCAGCGATTACCAGTGGAAAATCTTTACAGTAGATCAAAGTGTATTGCTTTATCAAGTTTACTTAAAGGTGCTCTTATCATACAATGGCATAGATAAGATTGTGTAGGTGTTAGCATAGCATAGACGTAAAGCAAAGTGGGCCCTCTAAGCAGCTCCAACTCATAACCAAATACACAGGGGAGATCAGTCTCAAGGCATTTCTATGCATTAAGTGATGGCACTTGCTATGTCACAGGAAATCCAAAATGAGCACTCAACAAGCAAGGGATTAAATAATGAGAAGGCCATGGCTTGTAGTGGACATAGCCGAGGACATGGATCCATGGGGGTAAGGACAGATACAAGGGCCATGGCTGTGAGGGAACATGGCATGGTTGTCCATGGACACAGGTGTGGTACTTCTTCCTGCTTGACTGTGGCTGGGAATAGAGTCATGGCAATGGGCAAATGCTCAGAGATTGGAGGAGGGAGGAGGAGACATAAATGTAGGCAGACACTAATTTGGCTTGATTTCAGAAAACATTGTTTAGAAGCTAGATGCAGTGAGATGGAAATGGAGAGAACATAAAACTGACTACAATGGACAAAACCGATGACAGGTGGAAAGGGACATGATAAAGACGGAGACATAACTGCAAATGTACAGGATTGTGGAGCACTTTTGGGATCAAAGTTGTAGTGAGATGTGGCTGGTGATGATTTAAATTCATGCAGGAATGGACAAAGTTGGACAGGAGGTCTCCATACATTAAATATGCCTGGTGAATGGCATTTGGTGGAGATCGATATGGGTATAGGAGTGACTTAGTAATTGAAAGTACATACAGGTGGGGTACAAATATTGATCAGGCATAAAGGCAAAATACAATCTAAATCACTGACTATTTAAATGTGTTTATAATCCTGCATTAGTAAAATATACTGGTGCATATGAAAATGAAAAAGCCCTATGTATAATATTAAGTGCAGGTTTGTGACACATTTAGATGTCTATGTCCAGTTAATGACACTTACCAAATCACTGACCAAAGGTATTGGCTTCCTCTTCCGTATATCTGGCATACTGTCAATAATTATGAGGCCACCAGCAGGCCTAAAAGTATACAAACACACATAAGCACAGATGAGAAAGATTATAGAAAATCAAAGCAAAGAAGCATATTGAATAATATTACAAATAAACAAAGCAAATTTATCTATCTATCTATCTATCCTACCTCAAATGAAAAAGAAAATAAATAATGACTTAGATGTGTTTTGATTGATAATTGTATGCCTAGGAATAAAAGCCCAAATCTAGTTTAGAATCCAGAGTATGATATTATAATGTCCATATGGCATTAAGAACATTCAGACGTACAAGATGACTACAAGACAAACATTTAGGAAGTCAAGACTGGATATATCATGAACCAGGTCAGGCTGTTGTCTTCACTTCAATCTTTAAAGGGTCTTTCCAAGCATAATAACCACTACCATTACCACATATTAACAAGGCTGAAAAGAGACATGTGCACATCTAGTTCAGCCTTTTTCACATTTGTTTTTATCCAAAATCAGGCAAAATACCTAGTCTGAAGCACTTTCAATTTTGCTACAAACTAGGAAAAAAATAATTCTTGGCCCCAGAATGGCAATCAGATATCTCCTTGGATTAACAAGCTGTTACGCACTAATTCAAAAGTATATCCCTGTATATTATGTTTCTGCAAGTATTTTGCCAATTGCTGTTTAAACATCTGGGCAGACTCTGATAAAACCACCTCTTCAAGCAGATATTTCCACATCCTTATTGTTCTTACTGTGAAAAACCCTTTGTTTTGCCTTAGACTAAATCTCCTTTCTTCCAGTCTAAATGCGTGACCTTGTGTCCTATACGTAGTCTTGTTTGTGAATAGATTTCCACACAATGGTTTGTATTGGTCCCGTATATATTTGTATAATGCTATCATATACCTTCTGAGGTGCTGTTTTTCCAAACTAAAGGAAATAAATTTGTTAACCTTTCTTCGTAGCCAAAATGCTCCATTCCTTTTATTAAATTTGTAGCCCACCTCCTTGCCTTTTAGTGCCATACTATCTTTCTTTAGAACAGGTGCCCAATATTGCACAGCACATTCAAGGTGCGGTCTTACCAGTGATTTATAAAGAGGCAAAATTATATTTTCATTCTGAGAATTTATGCTTCTTTATATACACGCCAATACAGTACTGGTTTTAGCAACTGCCGACTGTCAATTCTCTGCAATGAAAGAATTGACATTAGCCAGCCCGGAACTCGAGTTTCAGGTTGGCTGATGACAATACAATGACAGTGCCACCTCCAACAGCAGAGGGGTTAAATTCCGTGTGTGCAGCGTTTCATAGCGAAACATTGTGCAGACAGGCGCCAAGCACCATGAATACTTTAAATCACTGAAGTGGTCATGGTGCTTGGAATAACCCTTTTAGTTTGCAGCAGATGTATAGCACACAAGGTTAAATTACTAATACAGCCTCACTCATTCTCTGTCCATGCTGCAACACATTTATATATATATTTTGTTTCTTTAAAATAAAAAATGCTCTTTATTTACAGGAATCTAGATCGTAAATCCTTTCAGGGACTATGTAAATTAGGAGCTTGATTATTATTTCTATTATTTTATTATTTATATAGCGCCATCAGATTCCGTAGCGCTGTACAATGGGATGTAGACAAAGCGAAAAAAATGGAGAAAGGGAAAATCAGCAGAACTGAGCAGAAACATGTAAAAGAGGTAGAAATACTTTAGAGACAGAAAGATTATTTTTTAAAAATGTTAATTGCTCATTTTTACAATGTTATTTACTTAAGTGTGAAATTAAAGTGACTTTAAATTTTGGAAATGTAATTTGATTTTTCACTTTAACCCTGTGAGTATTTTACTACAATAAACATATTATGAGACTGGCAAACATCCTTACCCATCTTTAAACCACAGAGACTTGGACATCTGTCCACTCCCCTCTCCTCTTGCCTAAGAGAGAAAAAAACACATGTTATCAGCATATAAATTACACATGGTCATGTAACACACAAAAAAAATACACACTTGATCTATAACATAACAAAGAAAGAATGAGAACTCTGAGGACGGACAAGAGCTTAGAGATAAACTCAATAGCTTGCCCTTCGGTACATCCCCGCTCAGGTCTCAAAATATTTTTTGCTCACTTGTGCTATTACAGAGAGAAAGTATCTGAAGCATATCAGACTGGTCCAACCCGTACGGGCAGTCCAGATCCGATATGCCAGCAAGTTCCCTCTGCACGAGAGATACAGCAACCCCAGATGATTGTTTCGTCCTTCTTTTTGGCCTGGTCAGTGAGGTGTAGCTGATATCCTTCAAGGCACAGTGAGCATGAGGTCCATGTCTGGATTACCCTTTTAACTTGGGGTGAGACAAGTTAATGCATTAAGTTTAAATGATAATCCAGACGTGGAACCCTTGCTCACGGTGCCTAGAGAGATATTGGCTATACCTCATTGATGATGCCTAACAAGGCTGAAACGATAGTCTGGGGTTGCTGTATCTCGTGCAGAGAGAGCCGGCCTGTATTTCAGATCTTGACTGCCCTTTTGGGTGGAGTCAGTCTGAGATGCAAATGGCCTGGTTCTCTCTGTAAAGGCACAAGATGAGCTAAAACTAGCTTGTGAACTAAGGGGGGACCCACAGAAGGGCAGGCTAATTGAGCTGTTGTCCAATCTCAGCACTCTCTTGCGACTTGTTTTTTACTCTCCTTGATCTATAACATACCTATCAACATCCTATCAAGCATAAACTTACCATACTCCTGCCACCACTGACCAGCATGCATGTTAATATATTTAAAGGGACACTATAGTCACCAAAACAACTTTAGCTTATTGAAGCAGTTTTAGTGTATAGATCATGTCCATGCAGTCTCACTGTTCAATTCTCTGCCATTTAGGAGATAAATCACTTTGTGCCAGAGGGGGCAATAGATCCCCACAGTTATTATATTTTGAGTCCCCAACTGAAGACAATATGTGGGAGCTGGGAGGGACAATAAGTTCCTCTGGGTTATTATATTTATAGCACCTACCTGCCACCAATGGGTGGTGGCTGGGGGGACAATAGCCTCCAATTACTGGCCATGTCCCCCTGATTTATTATTTTATCAACCTGTAACAGGTGCCCCCTGTATTGGATTAGCAACTGGGCATCAAAAGCAGCAATAGCCGGCCAGTCTTTTATAACAGCAGGCAACCACTGGCTGCTCGCTGTTTAACAGGCATGTCCATACATTAGGTATAGCGGGCTGGGGCAGGATTTTAACCTCTATTATACTAGCATGGGGGTCATAATGGCCCCCATAGGCTTTATTTACTTAATCCCTCTCTGGGCACTGTCTGTGGGGGAGCATGGGTGATTTAGAAAGTGATGATCAGCAAAGCTCCCCAGCAATTTGTAAATAATTACAAATAAAAGAATGGAGTCGGTTGTTCACTTCTTGTAATTAAACAAATGAATTGCATGTATTACATTTTGTCCAACAAGCAGTTTGATCTTCATATTTTTAAGTTGTGTTTTGCATTTGGCCATTCGTCTTCCAGAAGAAATGGCAAAATATTTTAACAAAAACTTATTTGTCTGAAAACAAATGCCCAAGTCTATTCTCAAGTAAACGATGGAAAACGACTGCTGCTGATGAGTTTCTTTGAAACTGAGCATCTCAGGAGTATTAATACAATATGTACTGAATTTCTTGATACCAAAGTGACTCCAAAAAATGTTCTCCAAAAGCGTTCCTGAAATTCTTTAAAGCGGCCCTGTCATATTTAGTTTTTTCATTTTTATTTATATGTACTACCTTTCTTACTCGTTTTATCTTGACATCACCGTGCATTATATTAACGTTCACTACATAGATATCTCAAGAGAAGCCGTACACTCCTCACCTACCTGGGTTGAATATCTCTGGTCTCTGCCTACAAGGCAGATTGATGTTTGGAAAGATAATGTGTGCAGGAAGGGGGTGGAGAGGGCATGCCGCTCTGAATGAAAAAAATCACAGAATGACACAAAACTATAACACAAAAATAAATAAAATTAAAATAAAAAAATTAAAATAAATATGAATTACACAAAATGGCAGTCAGGGATAATGACAGTAAAATAAAATGGTAGGAATAACATGCACCAAAACAAAATACCACTGTTTTATTATGTACTGATACGCCTCAAGGATGTAATTAAGCCAACTTTAAAAATATATAACTTTTTGAGCTTAATAATCTGCAGTCAACTCATTTTAAAGGTTAATAATACCAAGTAACTGAGTGATGACCGAAAGGGACACTTTACACAACTTAACACAACTTAAGCACTTTAGCTTGCTGAAGTGTTTGATGTGCAAAGAGTGTGACCTCTTTTTTTATTTCATTTTACAAAAAGTGAGTATTTTAATAAACTTTTATATATTAATATTGTTACACCCTCCCCTGACAGTCAATCAGAAGGTTGGTCATTTTACTTCCTGGTTTGTTTAACTCATGAAGCTAAATTATTTCCCATAGCAGTCATCATTGATAACTTTAGGGAAATAAATATTTCTGTGTTGGATCCCGCGGGATGGTAGATGGAAGAGGACACCAGGGACAGGTTCAGGTAAGTAGATCTCTGCTTTCCCTGCCCATCATGGACACCGAACCCCCAGCAGCAATGTCACTACTTCAGTATTTACTGAATAACCCCACAATCAGGATCTCACAACAAACTATGAAGAAACCCACGGAGACTAAGCTCTACTGATTTTATGTCAAAATGTCATGTTATGGGAGACCAAACACGTGCTAATAAAGAACCAAAGTCTTTGTGCTTGACCAAATTAAAAGTACAATGATATAATAAAACATGAAAAAGGTTATTAAAGATTGCATGGATAATGATAGTAATGGGTCACTTAAATGATAGCCAATGAAAGTGTTGCTTGATCTACCACTCTGGGCTACGTTGATTAATGTTCATTTACCTCCAAAATATAAACTTATTAAACTCTTTCACTGCAAATTGACTAAACAAATGTTTTCTCACTCGTTTAGCACCAGTGGACTAACTAAAAGAGGCAAAAGATTTGGAAAATAAAAATAAATAAATATATAAGTAAATCAAAAGAAAGAAAAATGACAAACCAATGGAAATCTGTGATAATGTCCTTTTTTTCCCCATACTCCAAATGCGTAGGGGGCATGACACTTTTGCCCTAAAGTAGATTTGACAGTTGTTCTTGGTATTTTTTTTCCCTCACATTTAAGAACAAGGAGCTGCCCAATTTCTAGGTACCCCCTTTTCCTCAAGCAATCAAACTGTTAGGAAGGGCGAGACGGTAACCAGAAAACCTTATTGTGCATATGTGTATGTGAGTGGGTGAAGGTTTGATTAACTAGGGTTGCTAATAGTAGAACGAGGCTTGGGAATGATTTAATGCCGCAAGCAATCATATTTACCAACTGGCATTGGAAGGATAAAATACATAACGTCGTGCCTGGCAGTTGGGACGGACAGCTGTAAGACTGGGGGCAGTCTATTGCTTCTCAATTATGGTTTGTGCTGGATAGATATATCTGAAAGACATTACCTAGCCAGTAGAAAAACTTGACAAAGTTTTCTTGATGAATCAGGTTTAAGGTTAAACATTCGTGATAAAACATGAAAAACCTACATACTGTTAGCCAATCAAATAAACTTATTTTAGAATAGTCGGCACACTTAGATAGCACCTAGATAACAGTGAAATTAAAAGTTAGGTTCGATCCAATCTTCCTGAAAGGCTGGTCTATATAACAACCCCCTATAATTCTTGAATACAGTGTTCTTTATGACTCTCTCCATTCTGGTTTCAACTCTTCAAATTTTACTACAAGTGATCAATAATTTAATTAGGGCTACATAAATCAAACAAACTCCTGCCACTCTATACTAATTCTTTTTTTCCACTACTACTGTTGACACTTACCACCCATGCCTTCTTCTCACCCTTCATACGTTTGGTGTTCATGACGACACTGCTTTTTCTCTACTTACCTATCCTACCTTCTACATCTCTAAGATGCAGACAATATGAGTGAAGGCTCTAACTTTCTAACGTTCTAACTTGCTGACGATGTAACTCAAGGTTCTATTATGTATCACCATTTGTCTTCAATCTTCATTGTCACTTTGACAGTATAATAACTCTTGCACACCATGACTGTCTATATGTTGAGGACACCAAGCCCTCCCAATATTTCTCCTTCCATTCTGGATCATGTTCTCTGTTTGCCCTTGAACCCCCAATGTTTTCTGTGCATGAATTCTTTAGTGATGCTCTGTTTTTATGGCACTCTTTTCCAGCCAAGATTGCCCTCTATTTATTAGTTTATTTTCACTTGGTCCTATTTTAAGTCAGGACATCATCCTACACTATATATTTGGCTTCGTCTTATCACTTTCTTTAATTCTGAACAGATTAATTGATGGAAAGTATATAGATTAAATGATACTAAATATAATAATAATAATATGAAGTCACTTAATGAGGAAGGATACATTTAGCTTCTATCAGGTTTCATAATTGATCCTAATAACCAATAGTATTACTGAGATAAATGATTTAGAACAATAGTAAAAATTGGAACAAATCATGAATACTAGAAGTATGAAGATACCATCATTACAAGTTATTTGTCATGTTCATCTTCACTGGAAAACCTGGAAGGTTATAATTGCTTTGATCTCTCACGTACCTCTCGAAGTTGCAACTGCACTTTGTTGAATGCCCTCAACCAATTAGCCTTTGCTCTCGCTGCGCTGGAGATCTCTTCCCTGTAACTGAATGAATTTATACATTACATTTAGGTAAATTCAACCCCTACAAATTCAGTTATTTTCATTTCAATTTAAAACATACATTTATTATATTTGTTGTTTTACCTCTGAACTTTACAATTTCTTACTAACTGGAATTAAAACATAATATTATTTCCCTACATTAGATTTCAGTAGTAATTCTAAATGTGTAGAATTATCTTGTCTGATTTTGTTTTAATTTTTTTTTTAATTTATAGTTATATATTTGCATTTGGAATGTGTTCAGCTGCAAAGATCTCATTGTAACAAACAAATAAAACTATAACTAATAAAGTCGAACTTCCAAAACACGTTTCTATATATAAACATTCCCATTTCTACAAAAACAATGGAGTTTATGAATTAAATCAGGTATTATAAAGATTTGGCAAGGGAACTGCAAATTCTACGCCAAAATAGCTGAATTGGAAAAATTTGCAATTCACTTGCCAACTTTCACAGTGAATAGCCCCAATTTGTGCTTACACCAGATGTATCTTAATGCCTAAACTTAAATCTATCTACCATTAATGCCTCCATTTTACCAAAATGCTCAGTAGAAAAGTACCATTTTTTTTTAAAGTTGTGTCATCTATGATTCTATCCATTTTGCACTGTAATCACTGTTTTGTCTTTTCATATTTTACTTTACATACAATTTTATTTTTATCCCTCACCTCTCAACTGCTAAGGGCTCCTCCTCCTCAGGCACTGCTTGAATTTCAATCTTTTCGGGTACAGCTTCTGGGGTTTTTTCTTTCTCCACTGGAATTTCCGGTGGGGTCTTTGCCTTTCCTTCAGATAAGTATCCTGCCTCCTCTTTCCCATAACTTAAACGTCTTTGTTCTTCTTGTACCGGAATTTCATCATCATCGTATACGTCACTGTCAAACATGTGCCCCCCTCTGTCAGGGTAACCAACTTCTTCTTCATCTTCTCCAAAATCTTCAGGGCCCTCTTCTTCGTCCCAATTTGGAGAGTCCTTCTGGTAGCTGACTGAGCTGTGGCAGGAGTGATATGAGTCTCTGTCTCTTTCATCTTCTATCTCTGAGCCTTGTATGCTGTAGTTCTCTGGGTCAAAATCGTCAGACAGCTGGGAGGAACACTGGCTTATATCATCTGATGAGGCATATCGGCTGCTTCCCATGGGGCTACAGGATCCAAAAAGTAGGTACAGAGGGATGATGGTAGCATGGTGAAAACACAAATAAAAATATTGCAACATGTACACATCTGCAAGCTCACTCAAACACAAAAACAACATTGCATTAAAACAGAAATGCTAGCGTCATAGTCAATACAGGATACCAATTACATTCAGAGGACATTCAAAATTTTGGATACATTGAACACGACTCAAATCAAAGTAATTTTTTTTTACCAGTCATCTGAAATTTTTGTGTTTTTTATTTTGTTTTGTGAGTTTTTAAAGTCTAGTTTTGTTTGTATATTATTTGGCATTAATTAAAGGCATTATATTCTTAAAAAACAACAACTAGCGTAATACATTATAACAATTACTTACAAATGCATTGTCCTACTAAAAGAATGCATTTAATCATTACCAGAATTAGTCCTTAACGAGTTGACTATCTATTTTTAAATTAGAACAAATTCACACGACAATGGCTGAACCGTGTGTGCTGTGATGTGAAAATCTATGATTGCTACTGCAGGCATTTAATAAGCTAAACTAATGCAGCGAGCATTTTAAAAGTTCTTTTTTATAGCATATATATCTTAGCCTTCTGTTGAGCTCATTACAATAAGAGCATTTTGGGGACTTATCTAAGCCACTTCCTCTTTCCTATACAAATTATAAACATGTCAACAATATCTGAAACATGGGAACAATCAAATAATCTGGATGAACAAGTCAGGTGCATGTTATTAAATATATCGTAAAACAAAACGTCCTTAACCATTTTACACCATACAGACATTTTGGTACCTTATGGATCTCTTGTAGATTATGGTAAGTTTTGTCTCTGGAACCTTGTGTGCTCTGGATGGTTTTAGCAACTAAACATTCTCTGGCCCAGAAACGAGACATAAATCCCTTAAATATTTTAACATTATAGAAATAATAAATAATAATGCAAAAAACAGCATAGTATAAGGGTAAAAACATACTCATTGTGATTATTATTATTATTATTATTATTATTAAACCTATATTTAGAAGAAAACAAAAGTGTAGGTAGTACAGCCTTAATTAATTTTAAAAAATCAATTAATTAAAAGTGCAGTTGTACAAAATACTATGACTTATTTCATGTGATCACCATAGGATTAACATGATTATTTAAAATATGGCAATTGAACCTAATCATCAGAGTGCGTCAAAAACGATTAAAGGACCACTCTAGGCACCCAGACCACTTCAGCTTAATGAAGTGGTCTGGGTGCCAGGTCCTTCTAGGGTTAACCCATTTTTTCATAATTATAGCAGTTTCAGAGAAACTGCTATAATTATGAATGGGTTAAGCCTTCCCCCTAATCCTCTAGTGGCTGTCTCATTGACAGCCACTAGAAGCGCTTGCGTGCTTCTCACTGTGATTTTCACAGTGAGAGCACGCCAGCGTCCATAGGAAAGCATTATGAATGCTTTCCTATGTGACCGGCTGAATGCGCGCGCAGCTCTTGCCGCGCGTGCGCATTCAGCCGACGGGGCGGAACGGAGGAGGAGAGAAGGAGGAGAGCTCTCCGCCCAGCGCTGGAAAAAGGTAAGTTTTAACCCCTTTCGCCCTTCCAGAGCCGGGCGGGAGGGGGACCCTGAGGGTGGAGGCACCCTCAGGGCACTATAGTGCCAGGAAAACGAGTATGTTTTCCTGGCACTATAGTGGTCCTTTAAACAAAACAGAAAAAAAAATACAAAAGTGAGAATTTCCAAAATGTGTCCCTTAAAGAAGAATTGAATCTTCATTTCCTTCTAAAGAAACATTTCCTAAACTACAGTGACATCAACAGCCTCAACGCTAACTGGCTGCAAATGGCTATTTGCTATTATGAGCCCCCAATGAGCCAGAATAGAGGGACATCAAATGGATCTCGTTTATCAGTAGGAGAGAAGGAAAAAGAAGATCGCGAAATCCTAGATCAACACATACAGGGTTATTTACTGAAGTGACAATTCAAAGTGAATTTCAACTTTGAAGCCAGAGTAACCAAACCGAGAGCATAGCTGACTTAGAAAATATTTCAAATTTGGATATTTTGACCTTAAGTTCACTATGAATTCTCTCTTTAGTAAGTAACCCTAATAATTTATTTACAACATAACAGGGTAGACTGTTAGTCATACAAGGCTTTGTTTTTTATACTTTAACAAAATATACATTGAAAATATTTCATTATTTACAAAGCCCCCTATGACACTATACTGGCTCCTCACCACTATATTATTAATTGAGAACACTTACAGCTTGGGTTCCTTATTTTATGCAATACCATGTAAAATTGTTTAGTTACCTGCTGCAATATCAGTGAAACAATTTCTTCGGTTATCAGCATATACCGGCTGGCTACACAAACTCAACGGCTAATGCCTAAATGGTTCAATCACTAACCAGGAGATATTGTCCTGCGGGGCAGTGGATTTTAAGATCAAACTCCATTCTGCACAATTTATACAGGGCATAGCAACAAATTGAAAGTCACATTACAATGTATATACAAAAAAAAAGAAAACAGATTTGTCAAACAAGGCTGAGGACCTTCAGCTACCAAACATGGAGTCCTGAGAGGACACACTTTATAAGATATTCAACTCTTCTAATTGCTACTTCTGCTCTAAATATACAATTTCCCATTTATATTTAGTAATTTATATTCATGACAATTCTTCTGCCTAGTAATATAGTAACAAAGCACTGTGGCCAATTGAACGTCAGGCTCTGTTGCATTCAAAGAAATACCATCCAGGACACACAAAGTGTATGCTACTGATGTAAAAATCATGTGGACCATACATTGACCCCCGAATGACACAAATTCCCCCACCCTAAAGCGCGCATGCAGACAGATTTACAGAGGCACACCCCAGGACAGGCCGATACCAACAACATCTTGAATAGTGGTTTTGTTTGCTGATACGGACTATTATTGAAAATTACTCTACTATCTCCTTCTGACTTTAACTATAGTATTATGACCCTAGGCTTTGCATGTTTACATTTGCATTTATTCTTATTTAATTACTAGGATTTAACACAATGAAAAATAATTAATCTTTTTTTTTAAATTATTTAACCACTACTTGTAAATACACTAAATGTTCATATTACACTATTTGTAAATGTTCTGTGTTCGGACCTTAGATCCCGGCTCTGAGAGTTAATTGGCATGAGAAAAGGACACACTTGTAGCTAGTTTTGGCCCAAGCCAAGAAATATGCCCCTTTTTGACTGATCATGCCCTCTTTCTGGACATTCTAAAATATAAGTCCCTGCTGCCCGTCTGATAAAAAAAGAATAACCTCAGAGAGGCAGGGAATAGAAGTAGAATTTTATACCACATAATTTTATACCAACATTCTCTACATATTGCAAATTAGTAACTATAGGTTTTGGAATGTCCATTTAATAAGCTTGCTAATGTTCACCACAAGGCCTAAGGCAAGATGGGAAACGTGCCTCTAACCTCAATATATGTCACTACAGCAACAAGTTGTATGCGAACCTCACTATTTTTTTAATGCACTGGATGGCATTAATGTTACCCAGGGTGAGAAATATTTATTTAATTATGTCTTTACTCCTGCCTTGAAAATGTGCTGAAGATATCCATGATGAATATAGTTTATTTTCTCTTAAGTATGTCTTGCAATTTTGATGACACAAAATAAGAGAAGATTATTCTGTAAATATATTTCTCTCCAAAATGCTTATGTGGCTGAAAACTGGTGCGAGGAAAGAGACATAAAGCTCAGTTGAACCCAAATAAACATAAAAAGAGAATATCCTTAAGTGGCATCGTATGGCTAATCAGTAGTCTTCTGACAAATAAGGTCCAATAAGACCCAATAATAGTCCCTCAGTAAGAGATAAACATTGCTCGGTCAATGGCCAGAAATGATTACTTCCTTCCCAAGAGTATCGGCCTGTTATGGATTATGCGTGGGACGAGCACGGCACTCTGCAGCACTCACACTGCAACACCCAGGATTGACCCACCTATCGGAAAGGTCAAGTGATTGCCGGCTCTCCAGGGAGTGCTGCCGGCTGGTGAGGCGACTTGAACCGGAGACAGACTCCACATCACTGCGCCCGTTAGTGGCAGAGTCTGCACTATTGTAACGCCTGCCATCCAGGGAGAGAGGAGACAGGTAAGAGGGGGTCACACACAACCCCTCCATCCTGCCCTCCACCAGGAATCAATGCTTGCAAATACCGAGTTAACATTATCAAATTATTGTAAGTCTAATATTACAGTATAAAGTATCAAACTCATTATGCGTAGTGCAGTTTTTTGCCTGGTGGCTGATGTACCTGATTGGCCGATGGTCTGAGTAGTCCATCTCGCAGCTGTTCACAGAGTCTGTACAGGAACCATGGGAGTTTTGTTGCTGACGTATAGGGTACTGATGCACAGAGGCGTTAGGCTGAGCTGTGGAGTAGTAGGGGAGTGGATTACTGTTGCTGGTCTCACTGCGATAATCACTATCACGATCATCCATGGCACTGTCAGGATCCTCATTATCTGGTAGAGATAGGACACAGAAAAACTAACAGGAAAGTACAGAGAGGAAGACTAATGCTCAATGACCTCTAAGTCCGGGGAATTTGAGAATAATGTTGTACAGTTCTGAGAAAGTCTTATGAAATTAGTAGTCAGTTGAATTTTAAAGATTAGAAGATTCATCGGCATCAGAACAGAAAATATGCGCCAAAAAATCTAGATGTCAAGAATCCTTGGATAGAGCAATATGCAACTTTGAATGTACAAATGAGGTACTCCAAATGAGACAGGGGGATCAGGAAAACATGGAACAGATTAAGAGATGGAGGTTTAATTAAATGGAATGCAAACCATTAAGAAGCTGCTGGAATGGAAGAAGTGATTGATGCAGCGAAATGACATACTAGCCATTTCGGAAACAATCAGAAGTAAATGAAAACAAGACAGTAAGTAAACCACACATAAATAAAATATCGAGAACACTCAAGAAAAAAAAGTAGAGCAAAAATAAATAAATAGATGGGATCAAAAAAACTATAAGGACAAAGAGGAAACATTCTCAAGGAGCAAGTCTATAAGTAGTCACTTTTATTGAAATGAAATACAAAAATGTATTGTAATCAATACAAGTGTGTAGAATTCATAAAACAAATATGAAAATAATGAAAAAAAAGATTGTGTTGTGGATTTTGCATGGTACTGATAGTGTGATCAAGATTTACCCATGAAAACAATTACATGCAGTTTGAGTTGCTGAAAAAAATATATGGAGCACATTAATGCTTTGCCATGACTATTCTTCAGATATTCTGTCCACAGAGAGGGACAAAACAGTTTGTTGAATAGTAAGTCGAATAGACTAGACGTCACCCTCAAAAAATGAAATATGAGATAGAGTTAAGGAAATTAGAACCAGACTTTCAGTAATAATTAAAGGATGATATATATAAATTGAGACACTGACATGGACAGAGCGTACAGATCAATTTATGACATACATAATAATCATTCCAGACAGCAAATTAAAGGTTTACAAGGTCATAAGAAACTATATTACGTTATCGTGAGTGAGTAAGCAAGAATTGGATGGATCATCACGATTTGAACGTGGACTAAGGATTAAGAAGCAATATGGACACGACTAAAATAATTTTATTGGCAAATGGCAACCAAAGGAAAAACGAGAACATTTAGCTGGAACATAAACAATATCAAATATATAGGAAAATTACTACTAATCAAGCAAAGGAAATAACATATAATGTAGACAGTAGAACAGCTACATGATGACAATGGATAGCATATTGCGATTGTCTCAGGTATATACAAATTAGAACAATACACACATACAAGAATAAATGTATCTGTGTGTTTATATATGCAAATGGAGATATTTTACATATCCCGTCCATGAGCCTTTATTTATGTTTGGATCACCCATTTTTTATGCAATGTGGTGATGATTATAAAAATAGTCATGGTTAATTTTTTATATGCTTGTAGAAATGTTTTTATATATGGATGCATTATTTGATTTCTATGTGCAAGTAGAGACATTGTTATATATATATATATATATATTTACAATGTACAATTTACACCGTAGATGTCTCAAAAGACTAAACATCCATATTGTTGTATTTCTTGATATAAAGACTTAAATCAAGAATGATAATTTTAGGCCAATTTGTTACCTTTAATAAGTTTTATGTCAACAATTAAACATCCAATAATAGTTTAATGGAAGATTATTAGAGATAATTTAACGGGGAATCAGTTACAAATTATTGCCGTTGAAAGTGAAAGGAAACTTGTTACTAAAGATATAAAAAAGTATTATTCACTCTTCTTTGGGAGATGTGCTAAAGAACAGAGTAACCATACCTGGTTATTCTGAAAAAATCAACTTATTGCCAAGTTTACTGTGAACTTTCCTTCCTCTGGACATAAGTGAGACCCGGTTGCTCTAAACTCTCCACCCATGGTTGACTATTTCCCCCCCCAACATTAGACCTAGCCAACCCTGGCAATTTCATCATCAGGACAGGGAGGACTCTGGATACTTGAACTACCAATTCCAATGTATGAAAATGAAGAATACTTACTACGTTGTTCTCCCCAGCCAAAGTAATCAGGTATACCTAGCAGGAATCCAAAATATGAGAGAGATTAGATACTAATATAGCTTTTGCTAGCCAAAACACCACCTTCTCTTATCTTGCCCTTTTCTCCCTATTGGAGAACTTAATTAGGCTTATAAAGTATTTTATAAAATATAAAACAAATGTTAAATTCTTTTTTCTTAAAGGGACACTATAAAGGGACACTATAGGCACCCAGACCACGTCATCTCATCGAAGTGGTATTGTGTGCTGTGTCCCTGTCCCCTTAATCCTGCAAGTTGAAAACATTGCAGTTTCAGAGAAACTGCAATGTTTATATTGCAAGGTTAAGACGGCCTCTAGTGGCTTTCTTTTAGACAACCACAAGAGGTGCTTCCTGGATTATCACTGAGTTAAACTGTGAATAAGGACATCTTTAGCGTCTTTAAAATCCTACAAAGGAAAGCATTAATTCAGTGCGTTCCTATGGGGAAGCCATAATGCTCACATGAAACTCATCGTGCAAATACGCATTAGGCCCTCTATAGGCGGAACCCCACAGAAGGAGGAGATGGAGTCAGCGCTAAGGGACCTCGGCACAGGAATTAAGGTGAGTGAAAAAGGGGCTTACATCCCTTTATACACGCAGTGGGGGTGTCTAATAAGTTAGGAACCAGGGCATACGATAATGTTAGGAAAACAGTTACGGATTCCTAACGCTATTGTGTTCCTTTAAATTGTATTGTCATAACCATTCTAGTGGCAGATTTTTAACATATGTTAATACATTCTATCCATCCATCACATAAGATGACAATGTAAGATATATATGTACATACATTTATACATTTAAAGATGTACACATATGTAAATAGATTGAAAGATACATTGTTAAAGGGACACTCTACTGCCCAAATAAAATTTTTCCAAAAACTGTTTAGTAGATATACCCCAAATGAAAACTTGAATCCACTTAATTAAGTATTTTATCTGTGTATCTAATAATATCTAATAATATCTAACATCAGCTTGCTAAACCTGCAGTTCTCTTGTCTGCTGCCTTTGTAAACTCTCCCCTTCTAACCCCACCCAGACACTCTTGGCTGTCCAATCACAGACTTCCCAATGAAGCTCAATGAGAAGTCTTTGTAAGTCACGTGCTCTGGGCAATTGCTGCCTCTTGAGGTCAGCTGTATTGAGCTAACAAAACCAGGAAGTAACATTACCTGTTGTCTGTTAGAAAGCCAAGAGGGTGTAACCAGGTTAATTTATAAAAGAGTCAATTTGTATAGAAATCTGCACTTTTTGCAAAATCAAAAAAGAGGACACCCTCTTACCACATAAAGCTATTTAGCAAGCTAAAGTTGCTTAGGGGTCTGGTGTGACCCTTTAATTACAGATGGTGCACTGTACAAACATAATGGTGTTCTATATAAAACATCACTCTTAAAAGATCTATATACATGACCTCAAAGAAAATTGACAGGAGGACATAAGAGGGCTGCTTGCTATGTGTATTTCCATCATTTTTCACACCTACGTGCACCCATATATATATTGTAAATAACTGCTGATAGATGAAGTCACATTTTAGATTTTTTTGTTTCTATTTTTAAGTTTATCCTCCCAACACCCTGACCTCATCAACATTCATAGGACACATATATATTATACACAGACATGTACATACAGCACTGAGAACGATGGTTGGGAAGGGGATCATCCTGCTCTTCTTGAAAAACGTACTGAAATGAGAAAAGCCGATTAGGAAACCACATCATAATATGAAAACTGGGAGCTTCACATTTGTGTCAGCAGAAATTCTTATCTAGCAAACCCTGACGATATGCAATCAGTGATGCCACCTTCCATTAATCTTACACATATACTTAGAAGTCAAGTCAGCCATTTTCTATTATAGAACTTTGGCCCGACAGCCTTGTTGAGGTGTGACAAAAGTTCGCAGTTTTTCATATAAACAAGTGACTGCCACTATGGACTTTAGACTAAAATAAATTCAGTAGGAAAGCAAAAATGGTCCAGGCACTCAAGGAATATTAGATGGCAAGCTTGATAAAGACCTCATTTGAGGTCGAAACGTTGCTGCTCTTACTTTATGCACTGATCTTCATTAAACCCACCATCTAATTATCTTGTGTGCCTGGATCATTTATGTTTTCCTACTGATGTATTGGGGCTTGCCAGCCGCAGGTCCAGATCTGCACCCTGGGTTGGTATCAAAGAAGTGTGCAAATTAGTAAAATAAGTTTAATAATTGAATCTATTTGATGGCCGAGGGCAGCCTTTAAAGCAAACATGTCAAACTCAAAGTCTGGCAGGGGCCACATAAACAAGGTCTAAGTTTATGTAGGCCACAAAAAAAAAAAAAAAAACCCTTACATTTTCATTGAAACATAGGTTTATTTTAAAAAAGAAAACCCCCAGCATCCCCCCTACTGAACCACAGCATCCCCTCTACTAAATCTCAGTCCCCCCTCTACTAAACCACAGCACCCACCTCTACCACTCTGTGCCAAATTTGATCCTCCGGCTGACACACACACACTCACTGACAGACACACACACTGACAGACACACACACAGACTCACTGGCAGACAGACACACACACACACAGACACACACTGACAGACACACACATACACGCACACACACACTCACTGACAAACACACACTTACTGACAGACATACTCACAGACAGACACACACATACTCACAGACACGCACACACATACTCACAGACACACACACACAGACAGACAGACATACTCACTGCTCCCTCATGCAGTTTAGTGATGCTGGGTGCCGGAATATGACGTCTTATTCTGGCGCCCGGCTTCACTACAGACAGCGCGCGTAAGGAACCAGTGAGGATCAGGAACACTGAGCTCCCTCGCTGGCCCTCTTCCCCGGCCGGGTAAGTCTTAGCAGAGTAGGCATCTGCAATTTGGGGAAAGCAGGTGCCTACCCTGCTATAACATCAGCATGTACCCACGGCTCGCCGGGCCGCAAAGATGGTCCTTGTGGGCCGCACAGACCCGCGGGCCACGAGTTTGACATGCTTGCTTTAAAGTATGTTCATGCTGGATGCTATGTGCATCCAATGCTTTTCTGTGATTGCCATGCATGCGCCTCTACGAGAAGCAACCTATGGGACAAAAGTCACCAGTCTTAATGGCTTTGATGGACGAATGGCTATCCTGGCACTAAAATAAGTTTTATGGCTTTTAGTTTTTTATGATTTTTTATAAACCAAGGGGGCAGTATTCTAAAAAGAACACGGAACAAATTATTTTAATTTATACTATGTGTCTAAGAATAAGTTTGATACAGACTCAACATCATCACTCACATCATCCTGAACTCTCATGGCATTGAGTTGCTCGAGTTTCTTGGCCCAGTAGCGAGCTTCCTCTTCAGGAATATCTAAATAATAAAAAAAAATATATATATATATTTATATGCACTGAGTTATTTGTACTTTGTTTTTATCCCTACTATGTCAGTGGCAGAAAAAGGAGCCAATTTAAAGCAGTAGATGATGTATACTTAGTAAAGGAAGGAGGACACATTCTTCACACCTACGTGTTAAACCCAAAGGTTACATTGCAATGTTTTAGTGACAAAGAGGAAAATCTGGCACTCCACAGAAATCTTTCCCAATAAACCGATAACTAGACATATGCAAAAATGTGTTTTAAAGCAATACGTCTGAATAAAATTACTGGTAATTGTAGAATGAATAAATTCAGAGAATTCAGTTCACTTATAAACAAACCAAAGTGATCGAATCAGAATCCTTTTTTTTTTTGGTTATAGTTAAAAGGCTTTTGAAGCAACCACTTTTGTTAAATTTTTTGTTACATTTATGAACAAACCGTATTTTCAGAATTGATTCCTTTGATAAATACCAAGAATTTTATTTGGACAGGTTGCAGGAAATACATTTTTGCGGATGTCTACTGATAACATCGGTCTTCGATTCCACATGGTAAAGAATGATATAACAAGGGTAACGTACCTATATCGTCTGAGTTACTGTACTATCCTTTATTAATAAAGTGAAAAAAACACGACATTTAAACCATTTGCAAACCAAGTAACCCAATTAGAGCCAAAACTAGTTAACGAGACATATTTTTCTGACCAGTGTCAGTACACAATGTAAAGTTACACAAACTGCTTAATTCACCTTTATAATAAGCTTGATATATTTCATTATAAGAATAACAAGCACTTCCTCAGTTTAAAAAAAAATAACTTTAATATAACAGTTGTAGTTTTTGTCTTTGCAAATTATATTGGTATGTATATATATATATGACACAGAGGTGGCCATGTTTAGTGCTTGGAATTTAATACTCCTGACTGCATTTTTGGTAGGACATAAAATGTTCCGTTTAAACTATTCTCAAAGAGGTTCAGCACCTAGAAGATGCCTTTCGTTTTGAGGTGTTACGTGTGGTTATTTAAGATGTACTTTTATTTTTATATATATGCGCTGTTATTTTACCAAGAGGAAGCTCAAATCGCGTGTCCAGCAAGATGCGATGAAACGTCGGATCTTTGGTTCCACAGATTTCATTGTCTGTCATTATGACTTGAGAGTCAAGTGTCCACCATTCTCCAGGACCCTCCTGTGCAGGAAGGAGAGTAAATGAATGAAATAAAATTGTGAAATAGATTAATATTAAGTAGTTGTTTTTTTACATGTGTATACAGAGGTACATGAAACCTTTTTTAATCAACATACATTTTGTCTGGAGTTAAAAAACACTATTCTACATTATCAATCACAAGTTTCTTCGAAAAAAATTAAGTAGATCCTGGGATTTTTGCGATCTTCCTATCACAAAAACTGCTAATACATTTGATATAGATACTATTAATAATATAACAACAGTCCTAACAAACTATTAATCCTCCCACCATGTTTTGAAGGGACAATCCAGGCTGAAGTTGCCTCAATTTTTAATCCACAAGAGAAAAAAGACATTAGCTAAATATGTCAAAAGCTCTTGCAAATGTATTGGATCATGTGAACCTGATAATTTCCTGAAAATCCCGGTCTTACACTTTTCCGATGCAATGCTGTGCAAATCCATACCTTCCAAGTATCCCTGTTTAAGAGAGACAGTACCGATATTGGGTCCAAATTCCCCTGTCCCTCTTTTCTAGAGCAGCATTTGTTTGAGAACTGAGTTAGAATGCAGAAGTGCTTCTAGTGGCTGTCAGGAAGACAGCTACTAGAGGTGTGTTAACTCAATGCCATGAGAGTTCAGGATGATAGGGTTAAATCTACAGGACCATGCACCAAGACCACTTCACTGAGATGAAGTGGTCTGGGTGCCTTTAGTGAGCCTTTCAAAATAAGACAAAATTATTTATCAGATCCAATTACAGAGTTTCACTTCAGCTATACCTACTTATACAGGGTTCCACCAGGGGTCCAGTTCCCCTTGTGATGAGCCAGAGCGGTGAAACGCGCGTCAGGGGAACACACCAGCTATCCACAATGACTCTACACCATATTTAAAGCAATCTCTTGCTTTGAGGCTCGGTACCAGCCGCCGCACTATCTTTAGAAATACCACCCGAGCTTCTCCTGGCAGCAGCAGTTAAATACTTACTTTGTTACCAGTGCAGGGTCCTGGCGGGAGGTTCTGTGCATGTAGCGTGAGGGTCTATGCAGGTTTTTACTTAAGGAGTGCCCTCAAAGGCACAAGCATTTAGGGTGTTTGGGAGCTAGGATATAGATATAGATATTCATATCCCTTCCTTTCAAATACAGACTTACCAGTGCTTCTAGGCAGAACATCTTGAAACTGCAACCTGTCATTGCATTATGCTCTCTGCTTACAATTGCTTAGACTACAGAACTGTATCAGTTACCCTGTGTAGACCTTTTACACTATAATTTAGTAGACACAGTCTTGTTATATATAGTGCTGATTTTTCCTTCTACCCATAACAAGTCCCTTGTCCTGTGCAGCCTCTTCTCACTACCATTGAGAATAACTGCTTAGACAACAACTCCCATGTGGCTATCTCCTGACCGCATTAATCATTAGAGCAAGCATTTCTCACAGCTCTTATCTTGGCAAAATTTGCTATTTGGGTTTGCTATTAGATACTACTTTCAGACTTAGTCTTGGGATCCAATGTACATTTATGAAAAAATCAGCAGCTAGCGGTGACTCTGCCTTAACATCAAAAACTGAACTATTACTGTGGCTAATATGCACAGCTAAGACAATCATTTGTCTGCTATAACAGTATTGTTCCTGTATTCTGCGTTATCACAGCACTATACTAGACGCTTGAAACGGATCAGATTCAGTGACCGTTCCATTTTAGAGACGCTATATTCGTTGCAGTCAGCTGAGACTCTACCTGTACCTGACAAGTCCAGCGATTGCAACTATACCCCACTATTTCGATATTTAACTATTCGTTACAATAATATATTTTGCTATAGGTCCTGATTTCAGTTTGGCACCATTGCCACTCATTCATACCGATACATTGTATCAGAGTGAGCTTTTGCATATATTATGTATCCAGACTTACCAGTGATTGTACTCACCCAAACCTATTATTTAGTTATTTTTGTGTTTATTATATTTTTTGGGGATTGTATACATAGCGTGTTTAGTTTTGGTTTTACTCACCTCATTTATATTTATCTCTATTAAAAGTTAAGTTTTATATTCTCTTTAGGTTTGTACCCGTTCCATAAATGTATAATTTTTCTCCCCCCTCTCCCTCTCTTCTTTTTTCGGAACAATATTTCTCCCTCTCCGGAATTAGCAGGGACTCCCACACTTTAGGGAATTCTACCAAAAATCCGACTTTTCTCCTGTCTCCCCTTCAGTTGTTTTTGTTCTTGGTGAAATTCCCTTTCACCAGGGGTTAACCCCCATTCAGGAAATTGTTTATTTTAGATATTGTTTCTCCCTTTAGTTTTGAAGCTACACCTATGCATAATAACTAAGAGATAATAACAGAATATTTAACAAAACAATTGAGTATTTTTATATTCATTATAATAAACATTCCCTGGATCTGTCCACACACCTCATTTCCCTTTAGATATTCCTTCTAGTCTCTACAGCAGGCATAGGCAACCTTCAGCACTCCAGATGTTTTGGACTACACCTCCAATGATGCTTTGCCAGCATTACGGGTGTAAGAGCATTATGGGAGATGCAGTCCACAACATCTGGAGTGCCGAAGGTTGCCTATCCCAGCTCTGCACGTTTGCAGTTTACTTTCACAATCTGTTCCTTTCTCTCTGTCTCTGTAGCTCCTTCCTATTTTATCTTTGTCCTCAGCTAGCCCAGTCACCTGGGTATTAGTACTGTCCCTTGGCAGTTTTAATCATCATTTACTTATTGCATATTCCACAGTAATATGTTGTTGGCAGAATTACATACAAATAAACAATGACAGTAATATTTTATAGTACAGATTACGGAACAGGGCACACATGCAAATACAATTTTACAAGGCTACTTGAAATCACCTATCTCAGTAAACAAAGATGGGAATTCATATCCACCATATGGCCATATTGTGCTAAGCTCAACACTACTTCACTGTACCCCAATATCGGTGGGTCTTAGACTAATTTCAATGTAGGAGAAATTTTCAACAGTGCTATTGCTAAATAAGCTAAAGTGCATCTTAATTATCTGTTGTAAGTGCATTGTTCTTTACGATAGCACCATTCCTGAGATGATGTTTTACAGAACACACGGGAAAAAATAAATGAAAAGAAATGCTTGAAGCTGCTTACACAAAGAGCATTCTAGATTTTGTTCTATCGCCCTGGCTAGATTATAACTGACACAATTTTGGACAAGTAGTCCAGCATTTTAGAGTCCAACAACTGGAGAACAAGAGTTGCAAAAATGTTTACCTCGTTAGACTGCCGAATGTTACTGAGCGGAATCCATACAGTTCCCACCATCGTGTCCCAGATCAATCCCTTGTTCCACACTTCCACCGTCAGGCCAAGATCTAACCTATTAATTTCACTGGAAACACATACCAAATACATGGAAGTAAAAATATTATCTAGTATAAAAATGCTTGCTCCCGGGATCTTGTTAAAGGGACACTCTGCCATTTAGGAGTTAAATCCCTTTGTTTATGAACCCTAGTCACACCTCCCTGCATGTGACTTGCACAGCCTTCCATAAACACTTCCTGTAAAGAGAGCCCTATTTAGGCTTTCTTTATTGCAAGTTCTGTTTAATTAAGATTTTCTTATCCCCTGCTATGTTAATAGCTTGCTAGACCCTGCAAGAGCCTCCTGTATGTGATTAAAGTCCAATTTAGAGATTGAGATACAATTATTTAAGGTAAATTACATCTGTTTGAAAGTGAAACCAGTTTATTTTTTCATGCAGGCTCTGTCAATCATAGCCAGGGGAGGTGTGGCTAGGGCTGCATAAACAGAAACAAAGTGATTTAACTCCTAAATGACAGTGGATTGAGCAGTGAAATTGCAGGGGTATGATCTATACAATAAAACTGCTTTATTTAGCTAAAGTAATTTAGGTGACTATATAGTGTTCCTTTAAGCCCATGCCATAACACCAAAGTGAATAAGATTTCCAGCCAACTGCGTTATATTTTTTTCAACATTTTCATTTCTCTATGTATTGTATTTTAAAAAACAATAAAAAATGTAATGAAAGTTTAAAAAAAGTTTCTCATATAATTTAATGGTATCCTGCCAGTATGTCCCATGTAGAATAATTCACGTTGTTTGTGTTTCTACTAAGTGGTTTCCATTCCATTTTATAGCTTTATTGCGTTTTCTGCTCTTCCTGAGAATTATCTCACTATTTCCTGCTTGACATTAACGACAAAGAAGGGTGGAGCTATATTACAGTTTCCCAAATATAACACATCTCTCACTATACAAAAAAAAATGTGAATTGCGCGATTCTCTATAAGATTTCTGCTCTTAATTATATTAACCCATTATCTCAAACTTTTTTCACATGCTCTCAAGTTTGAAAAATTATTAATATTTATGATACTCACAACATAAAGTCCTGTTCCCAGCAGGGCAAGTTCCCCCGCACTGCTATTGTTGTGCTCTTCACATTTTGTACTTTCAGCGTTACGTAAGCATTAAACTTTTCTGTCAATGTAAAGGAAAAATTAGACTTAGACTACCCCTAAAAAAATAGTTTTTTTCATGATTAGATTTAGCCTTTTTTATTACTATTGTTACATTGTCAATCTTATCTGAGATTGGGAAACTGTATGACCACTCTTTGACTCTACGTAATTTATTGGTGTTGTCAATTCCAGTTTTGGCATGTCTATGCTTCTTAAACGCTGTTACTAGAAGCTGCCTTTGCGCATGTATTATCATTGCTAAAACATTAGAATCACGGGAGGAGATGTGGCACTGGTTAACTGTAGACTGACAATATTTTCAAGTAGGTGTCTTGTTTTTGTAGATGTGAATCGCAATAAGGAGCTGCTGGCTTGCACTTGTCTGTCTAGTATATTGAATAACAAAATGACAATCTTACCTTGAGCGCCATCAAACTGCGCCTTTTTCACTACAAAAAAAAATAGAAAAGAAATGGAAAGGAGTTATCTCTGGAACAAACATAACTGTAGAATGATGTTAAAGCAGCAGTAACATCAAAAAAAGATTATCAAATGTTAATGTTATGAAGTATGCCTTCAGTTACAGAGTAGACCTGGGAATAAAGTGCATTCCAGCTGAGACGCTGGAGAATTGCAAGTCAAACTAGGGAAACAGAGAATAAACACTGAAAACTCACAACCTAGAAGAAATAATGATTGCTGACATATATTTAAATAAAAAAAATATATACAAATAATACGGGGCAAAGCTTATAGCAGGACAGGAGAACTACGGAGCGCCTCTATTAAAGAGTTAATTTGATATATTTTTTACTGATTTTACCATTTGGTTTCTTACAATTGAGATCTCTCCCACTTTGTTGATCATGGTGAGTCAGAGATCCAAAAAAATAAGCGATATTATGTACACAAACACTCAGATTTGGAAGCCAAAACCACAAACTCATACTTCCTTCCAGCCTTCCATGAGAAAATACTACAATGTGACACAGGGACCTATTCCAAACACTCTTGTAATTAAAGATCCTGGAATAGGGTGATAATACTACTCACTCAGCTAATGGCAATATTAAAGCTTTCAGGAAATTATGTTCCATAAAGAAATGGGAGACCTGAAAGCCAAAGTGGCCAGTCGTGCTAAAAGAGTACTAATCTTGGAGGAAAAGAGGAAATACATTGGCGATCTCACTGCTGCTTCTGGGAAGGTTCCAACAATCCCTAGAAGATTTAGAGTGAACGGAAGAGTCTAACAACATTCTACATATATGAGACATACCAACACAAGTTTCTGCTGTGGAAGAAGATGCGGATAAGGCAAGGCATCTGCATCTTCATTTTTGGAACCTGGCCTCTACGCTACATAAAAAACAAAAAGAACCAACAAGCTTGTCTGGGCTGGACTATTTTTGCTGACGATAAATATTGAGTTTTTTTTAGTCAGTGCCGATCAATTGTGATTTGGTGAGTAGCTCCCTCCGAGATGTGCCCACATTCTACATGTTAAATAGTAACTAACTCGCTGTCTCCTACTTTATCATAGCTTTCATCAGGAACCATTTGGAGCAAAAATAAATTTAAAAAAACAACACACAGTGTTGGAAGCAACCATTTTTTAAATATAGTTTTTGAATCCGGAAGTATTAGAATGTGTAAAGTTGTGAATTGGTACTGCAGTTCCTTAGAAAGTCTCTGTGTGACATCATTCCATACAAAGTTGTCTCGCTCTTTTGGTCCAACAATAGTTGCTAATACAGGGAAATTCTACACTCGCAAGAACCAATGTCTTTGTTGAGAGACACGTGTGACAATCCTGCCTTTACAAACAAAACCAAACAATGGCCAGCTTCTCTCGAGTAGAAGTATAATGTGTATATCAGTATATGCGTACATAAAAAATAAATACGTGGCATAATCCAACACGCAGGACTAAGTGTCTTGTGATATGAAGACATTTTTCTATTACACATTATTTGTTTTGGATTTGCTCTTACTTATATTGTGTTTCTTTAAACACTACTGCCAATTTTAATATTTTATTTTTCCTTTCTTTTTGACGTACTAGGGTTTTACGTGCACTGATTTCCTTAGATTTTATTTTCTTCTTAATGTAAGGTATGTTATCTCAACTAACTTCATAAACCTTCAAATGATATCCCTCTCCACAGGTCTGCCATTTCCTGGCTAACACTTTGTTGATATTTTTAAATATGGGCACCATACCTAATTTACATCACGCATTTTGCCACCATTCTATTTTTGCAAATAGTAGGTGCTGTCTGCACCAATCTGAGGCAGACCAGGACATGGATGTCCAAGATTTAAGATTAAAGTTGGTTTTGTGTTTTTTTTTATGATGTCTCCAGGATCCCTTGATGGTACTATTTCCCCATAGTACATAATTAATTGCTAAAGGTAAAAAAAAAAAAAAAAAAAAAACATTGACCATTAGCCATCTCTGGTATAAACCTTCATCTTGTTTATAAATTATGTATTTTTGAATTTAGCTAAACAACACAATTATCGAACAATCAAGTGAAAAACAAATCAGGATATTTTTTAGGCTACAGTTACTCTATTCAGGATATAGACAGGGTTAGGGTTAAGGCTACTGAGACTATCGGGAGTTGCAATCCAGAAATGTAAAGTTTTCCCCATTAATTTTGAGGAAAAACATCAGCATTCATGCAGTATGGTATTCTAAAAGACAATCTGTCCTTTTTGATAGTATTATTATTATCACTTGACCTCACACCTCTCTTTGCTATATTAATTCTTTTACATTCTTGGAGCCTGTTTATATATTGCAGATTATTCCAGATTATTGAAAGTATTGGGATACTAAATTCAGGTTTTTATGGTTTAGCTCTAGCCAGACTGGCCGTAGTCTCTCGCTGTTCGAGACTGCAGAATTGCATCAGCAGACAATCCCAGCCACATGTCACTAACCATCATGGCACCGAGGCAAAACCAGCCGCCATTAACTGTCATGTTTAAGGGAAGGGTTATTGATATTAAAAGAAAGACACAGACGTACGTACTTAAACTATAGAAAGGCTGCAGTCTTTTTTTGAGGGGGGGATAAACTTTAAAAATAACCATTTAAACTAAATACAAACATAATTGACAATAACTTCATACAAGCCACTTGACCTTTAAAAACCTAGGTTAAGTAACTTAAGCCTATACTTGCCAACTATCCTGAATTTTGCCGGGGATAGTCCAGTTTTTCTTTTGGTTTTTTAAATCGTTTCATTTAATTATTATTAAATTTTATATTTTTTTATTTTTAATGTATGTGGATCAAAGCTTGGGGCAGAGCACTTAATTACGTAAATGTAAAATGACCGAAGGCAGAAGGAAAGCAAAAAATTGTATTTAAATGGCTTTGGGATTATGGCCACCCTCATACTCAATGCGAATCAATTTAGTTCAGGTGAATAGGCCTCTCATATTGTACGTAAATTGAGGTTGTCTGGAGGTGAATAGACACTTTTGAGTGTGTGACATTCGTATGCCTTATATAAAAACATTCATATGTCTCTATATATTAACAGCATTCACACACCATACACAGAAATACACACATGTATTCTCACACTACACAGATCTCACTACACCCAGAAATACACATAATTCAATAATGACACACATTAAATATTATGTGGTTGAAATTTCATTTTACAGGGTTTTTACAGTGTGAATTGTCAAGAATTCAAAGTGAATTCCGAGTTAATTTTAAGCTTTATTCTAAAATGGCCAAAGTTCCTGTCAATTCACACGTTAAAGAATAACCATGAGAATATTATTAACTTTCAACTTCCTTTTTGTTTTTTGGATTTTAGCATATATCATAGGGCACGCAAAAACCCTTTTTGTTTCATTCTGCCTACCAGTTTCAGAACACTTGTAACCTATTCGCATGAGATCCAAACAATCTAACAGACCCACTTTTTCAGATCTAGCAAGCCTCAGATTTGTAACACAAGTGGTTGCACTTTATAATATTACCAAACAATCGGTCACTTAAAACAATATGGCTACCACCTATCACCTTATTGTGACACGTGTGGGCTCTCCATAATTATCACAATCCTAATTTTCAAGAGATTTAATGCAGCAGTTTTCATCATTATTTGGAAATAAACACATTTTCATAATTTTGCACAAAATGTACCTGAAAATAAAACTACCCAACTTCTCTTGAACAAATCTGAATATAGGAAAGAAGATAAGTTGATATCTGTCCTATGGTTCTAATAAAAAAAACAAAAACCTGCATAAAACCACGACTGCCATGCCACGTTAACATATGGCTTTTTTTCTTCCAGATATAACAGCTCGACATAGGCTGCAACAATACGCAAGCTTAAAGATTTTTTTACTTTCAAATACAAATTGTCAGCCACATTATATGACCGTCCTTTAATTCACATACAGCTGTCGGCTCTATTGCTGTGGCGTAATCGTGAATCTAATGCATTGTAACATAGTTCATTAGTGATATGAATACAGCTTTAGGCAATAAAATAGCTCATTGGCCCACAGTGGCTATCCTGATTTTTGGATCTACTTTGACCAATATAGGAAACAAGAACACTCGTGCAAATCATACTGTATTGGTTACGGGCACATTTATTTGTATGATGAGCTACAGAAAAAAATTAAATGCCCACTTTGAAAAAGAAACTCTCAGCTTGTAGATTTCTGTATTATCTTAGATGTTAGAACAGAAAAACATTTCAATGGGAATTTTACTTGTTAACCCTTTATCACAAGCAGTAGTCTGTGCTCTGCTCCGGTCCAGGGTGTGCTCAGAGCTGGTTTAGCTTTGCAATGCAAAAAGACTTGTTCAGATGAAGACTGAAGTGGCATCACCTTGCAGTACATTGTTTATTGAAGCCGTGGGCTTGCTTTAAAGCGTCGGGGAGGGGAGGAACAATGGAATGGGGGAAAGAAGGTTGTTAATGAAGGGTTGATAAACCGTATTTAATGTATGTGTCACTGCAGATACATGCTGATCTTTCATCCATTCCTTTCTAATTTTGATGGCATTTCGGTATTCTCAAAAAATGCCAGCTCATTCTATGCAAATACCCATGGGCAGAGTATTTCAGCTTGTTAAGATGTAAGAATATATATATATATATATATATATATATGTACACATACATATATATATATATATACACACACACACACATATGTAGATGGATAAATAGATTTATAGTTAAAGCGGCACTGTCACCGTCTGGGGGCTTTGCATCATTTACAAAGACCCAAATGGTGACATTGCTGCTAGGGGTTCCATTGTGGTGGGGGGCAGGTAAAGGTAAATTTAACTTATCCAAACCTGTCCCCTGTGGACACTGCCATCTGCACATGCGTGAAAGTACAGCATTGAGGTCTATGCGACAGAGGCTCAATAAATACAGATGGTGCATTGTAGAAACATTATGGTGTTCTAGGCTAAATTCTATTTTGAAGGACCAGTAATCAGTAAATGGTTTTTTTTTCAATAATTTCTAAAAGAACTATGTACGTGACCTCAAACAAGATGTAATCTTGCAATCCCACTCTCGTACCTAATGTTTCTGTGTCAAAAGAAAATATTTTCAGATTATATAAGCACTATTTTTTTTAATCTGATGTGTAATCCTCGCCCATCAATATTTCTACTATAAATGAACATATAATATATAAGATGTTCTAAATGTACTTAATTATGCATTTTGTCACTAGGGTATATCTAAAAACAGCTTGCACAAAAAGCTGCAGATATCTTGTTTGCTGCATTTTCAAGCCCTCCCCTTTTAACCCAGCTCAGACTTTCTGTGACTGTCCAATCATAGAATTCCCAATGCCGCTCAATGACAAGTCTTTGCAAGGCAGGTGCTCTGAGAAATTACTGCCTCTTGAGTTTAGCTCCACTAAGCTAACCAAACCATCAAGTAACAGGATAGTTGTCTGATTGACAGCAAGGAGGTGTTACAAGGTTAATTTATATAAGTGCCAAATTCTATTGAAATCTGCACTTTTTGCAAAAAATTTTAAAAAGAGGATATACTATTCACACTTGAGCAAGCTAAAGGGGGTCTGAAGTTTCCCTTTAACGTTTTTTGCATTTTTTTTTGTAGAGTCTTTAAGATTCAAGAGGCAGTTGTATTTTACATGTCTTAAAAGCAAGGCATTTCTGCTCTTATTTTTATGCATAAATGCTTGAACAAATGTGCAAACATGTTAGTAGCCATATTTCTCAACTCTAATTTTTTTTAAGTAGCCATACCTATCAAGGCCACCAGGAGGCCTACCATATATTAATTCATAGAAGACTGTGCTTTGTTTATCAACATGCCAGTTTGTGATTTTTTTTAATGAGTAAATATATGTTAATACATTGGAGAAAGTGTCCCCTTGTGAGTCTCTTGCCCTAGGGCTCCATGTGTTCTATATTTCTGTTTGTATAAGAACAGTACATATTAGTTAGTTCCAATTTAAAGCATATAATTTTACTTAAGGCAGCTGATTTCTCCCCCCACCCCCAAATCCTTCAATTATTTATTTAAAGCCCAAAGATCACTGCGTTTTAAAATATGATTTCTCTTAGTTTATACAGCCTCTAACAAAAATCCCAGTGTTTTTTAAAAGATTTTGAAGCTGAAGGACAAATTAGGTCTTAGGTCAGGGGAATAAGCTGTTTAACTTTGTAGAGTTTCAGGCACTGTTAATTTTGTCAACTAACAATTTACTCAGATTTTAGTTGACAAAATCTTTTTGAGATTTAGTTGACTAAAACTAGACTAAAACTAAAACAATTCAGATGACTAAAACTAAAATGACTATTTAGTCAGAAGACTGTGACTGAGGGGGGCGGAGCCTGACAGCCTAACTAAACGGTCCCAACCTCGGCGTGCTCCGTACTACAAAGCCAAACTTATACCCACTTCTGCACATTAATTTGGGATCATATCCAGACCCTCCGACAGGCTGAAGCATGATGGGCAGAAAACTTAAAAAACAAAAGCCGGAGAGGCCTAGATCGAGCATAAGCATAAGGGATCTGTGGTAGCAGGCACATGGCCTCATTGAGCCCAAAATGGCCTCCTACCTGGATGAAGGCTCTGATCTGTCCGACGACCTGACTATGGGACCAGAGGACTCATAATTACCCGTTCCACTGGCGCTGACCTAACCTCAGCCGGACTAATCTCCGGTCACAAAGGCTGTTATGCAAGACATACTGGCAGACCTTAGGCAAAATATCCAGACCGATGTGGCTGACATCCAGAAAGATATACAAAGCCTGACCCGCCCTATGGGGACCCTGGAGCAGGAATCCCGAGACAGTGCCCAGCAAGTTTTACACCTACACCAGGAATTGAAGGCTCTGAAACAGAACCTGGCATTTGAACAAATGTTTGCAGCACTGGAAGACTCACGGCGAAGCAGGAATCTTAAGATCTGAGGAGTTGCAGATACTGTTCCAGGCGCAGAACTGCCACACTTCCTGCGGCGCCTCACAAGTGCACTGATACTGCCTAAACAAGCCAAAGAGGTGAATGTGGACAGCCTGTTCCGGATTCCCAAAACCGGCTAAAGTACCGACCAATGCCTCCAGGGCCCTGATCGTAAAGGATTCCAGAACGGAAGAGCTAAAGCAATGATGATGGACGTTACTTGTGGCCGCACACCATAAACCTTGAAAGGCATGACGCTAACCTTTTACGAGGATCGGTCAGGAGGGACCATGGCATGGCGGAGGTCACTCCAATCACTCACCTCTCCTCCGTAAGCACTACATGCAATACTAGTGGCGCAAGATGCACATGCTAGTAGTGCTCTACGGAGAAGCCTCATACCCCATCAGGGATCTACAGGAGGCGAAGGCTCTTCTGATCACACTTGGGCTCCCACAGGACTCCTTAACGCTACCTCGACCGAGGCCTGCTACCAACCCTCATGGCTGGGAACTGTCAGCCATTACCCCGTTTGTACCACAGGGGCCTACCCTAGAGGCTTATGCAGCTGTCACTTCCCGACACCAACCTACTGAGACAGGCCTTATATACCACAAATCACCTTGCGATTACGTTAATTTGTTATGTAGAATTTTCTTATGTTTATTTTATTATTTCTTGTTGTTTTTGTACACACACAGGTCTCAATTATGATTCAGTCAATAGGTACATAACTCATCTCAGTCATTATTACTCGCAAGACTTGGGCAGAATGTAACCTGGAGGGAATAGTAATGTTGCTCCACTGCTCCCTGCTGGCACCCATCAGATGCTTGGCATATTGCCATTATTAGGCCGTTCCCCAACTAGGCAGAATTTTACATCGTCCAGGCATTTCAGGCGGCAGCCACTCATATCCCCCCCCCCAGTTCAGTGGTAATCTTAAGTAATGCCTTTGGCGACTACCGGCTATATATACACTTCACTTATTTTTGTTTTTAGGGCCACCCAATCCACCTGGGATATAATACTCATCGGCTACCCACATGATTTAGAAAATAAACCTGGCTGGACGCAGACCTACACGCAACCCTTATTTATGTCTCCCACGGGCATTGGCTACTCCGTTCTTGGCACCACAACATGTACACCTAACAGCATTATATAACAAGTTCCCGGGCGACATATTCCTTTTTATTTACTTTATAATTTTTTCCTACAGGCCCACGCCCAGTTTATCCTATAGCATAACATACTTCTGTGTAAGACATAAGCTACCATCATTTGCTCTTGTAATGTACTCCTTCGTTTTAAGTACTCTTCCCTCCGAAACTTTGATAGTTGAACATGACCCAGTGTTTTTTTTTGTCATCTGAAATCCCCACACGCACATGCAATCCCTCATAACTACAAATATTTCCTGTTTATCGATCTGACATGTAGGCTTACGTGTTAATCCTATCTACTCCCTCTATAACAAAAAGTGCAATGTTCTTGATGGCATACTAATATTATCATATGTCTAAGAAAATCTGTTTGCATCAGCTGTTGTGGCATTGCAGATCTGCTTGTTTAACCTATGCACACACAAAAAAAAAAAAACTATATTGAAATTTGCCACCAAAATTAACACTGGTGGGTAAGACACATTGGGATGGGAGGAGAGGAAATAATACACATGGGGGGCTGAGGGAGCACAAAGAGACACAGAGGGGCTGGGGAACGGGCACAAGAGACAAATAGAGGCTTTAACTAAACCCATTAGATTTTAGTCGTGGACCGTTAGCTCAGTTGGTTAGAGCGTGGTGCTAATAACGCCAAGTTGCTTTTACTGAGAAGGTAGTGGATGCATGGAATAGCATTCCAGCTGAAGTGGTAGAGGTTAACACAGTGAAGGAGTTTAAGCATGCGTGGGATAGGCATAAGGCTATCCTAACTATAAGATAAGGCCAGGGACTAATGAAAGTATTTAGAAAATTGGGCAGACTAGATGGGTCGAACGCAGGCCCGGACTGGCCATCGGGCACACCGGGCAAATGCCCGGTGGGCCGCGGTGGCCGTGGGGCCGAGGCCGGCAGGGGAGGTCCCAGGAACTCCCCTGCCGGTCTATGCAGGGCCGGCACTCTCCGAGCGCCGGCCCCGCTGTTTGCCACGACGGGCCGGCGGGCAGAGAGGGAGGGAGGGAGACAGCCAGGCTGGAGAGAGGACCCGGCGTAGCTCTAACTTGCAGCTCCGCCGGGTTCCTCTCGCGAGATCCGGCGCGTTGCCATGGCAATGACCGGATCTCGCGAGAGTGAACTCTAGCCTCACAGGCTATGCGGGCTAGAGTTCACTCACCCACGAGGACCACTAGGGAACACCGCCTTCCCGCCTGCCAGCGTGCCGGACCCCCCCTCCCAGGCTAAAGGTAAGAAGGGAGGGGGGGGGGAATAATGACTTTTTTTGTTTTGTTTTTTTTTAAATTTTATTTACCCCCCCTACACACACACACAATAACATTTATACAGCACTCTCACACCCATTACACACAGCACTGTCACACCCATCACACACAGCACGGCACTCTCACACCCATCACACACAGCACTCTCACACCCATCACTCTCACACCTCTCACACCCATCACACCCAGCACTCTCACACCCATCACTCTCACACCTCTCACACCCATCACACCCAGCACTCTCACACCTCTCACACCCAGCACTCTCACACCCATCACACTCACAGCACTCTCACACACACACACAGCACTCTCTCACACAGCACTCTCACACGGCACTCTCACACCCATCACACACAGCACTCTCTCACACAGCACTCTCTCACCCATCACACTCACAGCACTCTCTCACCCATCACACTCACAGCACTCTCACACCCAGCACTCTCACACCCAGCACTCTCACACCCAGCACTCACAGCACTCTCTCACACCCATCACACTCACGGCACTCTCACACCCAGCACTCTCACACCCATCACACTCACGGCACTCTCACACCCAGCACTCTCACACCCAGCACTCTCACACTCTCTCACACGCACTCTCACCGGCACTCTCACCACGGCACACTCCACACACTCTCACACACACGGCACTCTCACACCCATCACTCACACACTCACCATCACACACGGCACTCTCACACGGCACTCTCACACACACCGCACCCCTCACACACACACACACACACACCGCACCCTTACACACACATACTGCACCCCTCACATACACACAGAACCCCCCCAACACACAATACTTCAAAATATATATATATATACACACACACACTACACTCTTAAAGGACCACTCTAGCCACCCAGACCACTTCTGCTTAATGAAGTGCTCTTGGTGCCAGGTCCTTCTAGGGTTAACCCATTGTTTTATAAACATAGCAGTTTATCAATGGGTTAAGCCTTCCCCCAAAGCCTCTAGCAGCTGTCTCATTGACAGCCGCTAGAGGCGCTTCCGTGCTTTTCACTGTGAAAATCACAGTGAGAGCACGCAAGCGTCCATAGGAAAGCATTATAAATGCTTTCCTATGCGACCGGCTGAATGCGCGCGCAGCTCTTGCCGCGCGTGCGCATTCAGCCGACGGGGCGGATCGGAGGAGGAGAGCTCCCCGCCCGGCGCTGGAAAAAGGTAAGTTTTAACCCCTTTCCAGAGCCGGGCGGGAGGGGGTCCCTGAGCCACATATGCATCACATTACACCACAAACACAACACGACTAAAACCGACCTTATTACACAATACCACACCACGACCAGCTCACTCTACACACATGCAATACCACAAGCAGGCTCCAAACACATGCACAATACTCTTTCCTGGCCTTTTGTCTCCTGGTATCCATTTATAGAGACACCAGAGACAAGTTGCAAGGAAACACAGTGCAAGCATGTTATTAAATTTGCTTGCACTGTGCAGAACAAATACAGGACTTTTTTTCTCATGCTAGAACTCTTCAGCAGAGCTCTGCGCATGGTCTGCCCTGGAAGAGCATTGAACCAACATGCTCACTTTGAGGAGGCGTGTTTGTCATTGGTGATTAAAAAACACACCTCCTCTGCCCCGCCCCCTTTTTAGTGGGCCGCTGTGTTAAAAAAATGCCCGGGCCGAATTTTTCTCCCAGTGCGGCCCTGGGCGAACGGTTCTTATCTGCCGTCACATTCTATGTTTCTATGACTACAATCTACTGGAGATTTAGTCGCCTAAAACTAAAACAATTCAGATGACTAAAATTAAAATGGCTTTTTAGTCAAAAGTCTGACTAAAATTAAATTGAAATTTGCCACCAAAATTAACACTGATTTGGTGATAATTTACTCCCGTTCATAAAAGTTGCCTATAGCACAGTAAGAGTAACATACAAATAATAATATTTCTCTATCCTTAAAAGTAAGGGTTTCCATGGGGACAGATACTAAAAATCTAGTACATAAAAATATAATAATTTTCAATTAAGGGATTAAGTTTTTTAGAATTTCAAGTTGACAGGGTTAATTTATCCCTCCAATCCCTCCAGGGTTAATTTATCCCTCCAATCCCTCCAACGGACTGTTAGCACGGAGGTTTAAATTTCCAGGCGGTATCTCAGTCTCGTTGTGCCAGTGATTAAGTGCCATTTGGCATGAAATGCATTGGGTTGATTTTGTGGGGATACTTTAATTTAATTCAACACTTTATTGGAGGTGTGAGCAATGCTGTAAATCACCCCTTTAAACTTTTTTTTTTTCTTTAATAAAATTCGTGTTTTACATTTTTAAGCAGCTTTTTTTCCATATATTTTGCAATGACTATGGACATTTTTAGCAGGCAATACCACCTTTTGTTTTGCAGTATTTGAAGTTCTAATTTAGAATGTTCCCATGTATGATAACGCCCATATCACACGCATATAAGAGCCACTTTCAACACACCAAACATACATAAAACAATAGTCTCAGCGCAGATCAAATCAATAAATAGTGCTTCATTAATTGTGCCAGTATTTTAGCACAATGAAATCAAGCACTATTCATAAAATGTGGTCATGCTGAGGCATTTTCTTGTACATCTTTATAGATTGGATACACTGGTTTTTATAGCCTGCCTAAATATTTAAAGGATTGGATGATTTCCATTTTGTTACAGGAACTGTACGCAGTGGCAGATATTTTCAGAAATCTTCAAATGAGCACAGAATTTAGAACAGTTGGTAGTAATTGTTATTCTGATACGTGCGAACTTGGATTCCCAAGCAAAAATCAAATACTTTATGCTCAGTCACTTCTTATAAGTATTAGCTACAGCGCCTTTAACCCCTTAAGGGGACATGTCATGATTCCCTTTTATTCCAGAAATTTGGTAATTAAGGGGTTAAGTGAAAATATATAAAGCATCTCAAGATCTTGTGACTTAACTTTTGTTTGTAAAACTACAGTCCATTACAGGGAATATGATACATTTCTACAGAAAAATCTATTAGTGATATATAATTAGAGATTTAGAGAACCTCTTAAAGTCAGATAGAGGAAATTTTATTCATACTTACCGTAATTTTCTTTTCCTGGTCATAGGCCATGGCAGCACAACAATGGGTAGCTCCTCCCCACCCCTAGTTAGACAGGAACTAATTAAAACAAGGGTATAAGTACCCCCTCCTACCCCTCCTACCCTCAGTCTTGTATTCCAGCAAAAATCCCTGGGCAGGATCTTTGTGCTGCCATGGCCTATGACCAGGAAAAGAAAATTACGGTAAGTATGAATAAATTTTCCTCTTTCCTGGCCATATCCATGGCAGCACAACAATGGGTAATACCCAAGCAAAGCCAAGGGAGGGAAAAGAATACACGGACTCAAAATATTTCGTAATGCAAGTGTATTAGCACATCTATAAGTGAAAGCATACAAAAAGAAAGACATTAGTTGGATGCTGAAAGGACACTTTTACCAAACTTGTCCCACTGACCAGCTCTGACATCTATTTGATAATGTCGAATAAAGGTGTTCACCGAAGACCATGTAGCTGCTCTGCAGATAAGCTCTGGAGATACTCTCGCTGCGGCTGCCCAAGAGGAGGAAAGGGACCTGGTTGAGTGAGCCTTTAGACCGCTAGGTACTGGAACTCCACTGGCCCGGTAAGTCTGAATGATAGTAGAGACAATCCATCTGCTCATGGCCTCTTTAGAAGCTTGGTGACCTTTCCTAGCCTCATTCGGGATGATGAATAGCTGATCCGACGAACGCCAGCCAAGAGATCTGTCAATATAGATTCTTAAACATCTTACCAAATCCAGCGGAGAAGAACCTCCTTCTTGGGAATGTTCTTCTTGCGTCAGAGCTGGAAGCAGTATGTCATCATTCACATGAAAGGCCGTGGTTACCTAAGGGCGAAATCCAGGAATGGTTCTTAGAATCACCCTGTCTCTGTGAAACACTGTGAAAGGCTCTTTGACTGATCAGGCACTGAGCTCCGAAACCCTTCTCCCTGATGCTAACGCCACCAGCAAAATGGTCTTGATGGTAAGAAGATGATGAGAGATGGACTCCAAGGGTTCGAAGGGAGCTGACTTCATGGCTTGTAATACCAGGGGTAGATCCCATGGGGGAGCAAATGGCTTGATCGGAGGTTTAATCTTGAGGACTGCAGCAAGAAACCTGGATACATCTGGATTAAAGGCCCATTTGTGGTCAGTGAGAGCTGAAAGAGCGGAGACATGTACCTTTAAGGTATCGTAACTCAAACCCTTATCCAGACTTGTTTGTAGAAACTCCAAGATGTCTTTAATAGCAGGATGCTGTATGTTAACCTGCTTAGGAGAGGCCCAGGAAGAAAAAGCGTCCCAAATTCTATAGTAGGTAGAGGAAGTGGACCGCTTCCGAGCCTGTAACAGGGTATCTGTGACTGCAGCCAAGAAACCCTTCTCTAGAAGCCTTTCCCTTTCAACCTCCAGGCCTTCAGGTTGAGTGATGCTGGGTCTGGGTGTAGGATAGGACCCTGGTGCAGAAGAGAAGGAACTGCTGGAAGATCCCTTGGAGGTTCCTGACAGAGGCTCAGAAGAAGAGGGAACCAAAGCCAGCGAGGCCAGTATGGGGCAATCAGGATCATGAAAACTGGTTCCTGCTGAATCCTTCTTAGTAGAGGAAATATGAGGGGAGACGGAGGAAATGCATTACTCTTTGTGAACTCCCATCTGCACGATAGGGCATCCCTCTCCCGGGCCTGCGGTTCGTGACCCCTCGAGAAGAATCCCTGGAGCTTCTTGTTGTTGTTGGTGGCCATGATGTCTATCTGAGGAAGACCCCATTTCTTCACAATATCCTTGAAGACTTCGTCTGAGAGGCTCCACTCTCCTGGGTCTATTCTTACCCTGCTGAGAAAGTCTGCTACCGTATTCTGCACTCCTGGCAGATGAATCGCCACTAGCCCCGCAAGGTTCTTCTGTGCCCAAGACATCAGGGGAATCATCAACCTTACCATACTGCGACTTCGGGTACCTCCTTGATGATTGATATGTGCTACTACTGTAGCATTGTCCGTTCTCACCTTCACCCACTTGTGCTGTAGTAAATGCTGAAAGTGTTTCAGAGCTCTGAAAACCGCCAGAAGTTCCAGAAGGTTTGAGTCGGTCTTGTGTGCATGAAACTCCCACTTCCCCTGGGTGACCTCGTTCTGAAGGTAGGCTCCCCAACCCCAGTGACTGGCGTCTGTCGTTATAGTAATCCAGGGAATGTTCCCCAGGGGGAATCCTGAGAACAGAGCCTTCTTGTTCATCCACCATGTCAGGCTTAGATGGCCTGGGGTGGAAATCCTGGTGGGCTGGAGTAGATTCTTCCCTCTGCATTGGGAAAGAAAATTCCTCTGGAGTGCTCTCATTCTCCATTGCGCCCATCTTGTCAAGCCTATGGTTGATGACATTGATCCAAGAAGGCTCATGACTTTCTCTGCCGTGGCGACCTTGACTTGTCGTATCTCCTTCACCTTCCTGATGAGCTTTACTCCTCTTTCTCTTGAGAGCTGAACTGTCCCCAGTGCAGTGTTGAACAGGGCTCCTAGATAAAGCATGGACTGTGAAGGAATAAGGTGGCTCTTTTCCCCATTTATCTTTCAGCCGTGTTCCTGCAGGAACTGAATGCAGATCTGTCCCTGCTGCTTGAGAGTGTACCTGTCCTCTGACAGCACCAGGATGTCGTCCAGATAATGAAAAATGGCAATGCCCCTCTTTCTTAATTCTGCGATCAGGATCACCAGGATCTTTGAAAAAGTGCGAGGAGCTGTACTGAGGCCAAAGGGAAGGGCTCAGAACTGGAAGTGCCCTCCTTGTACTGCGAATCTCAGATATCTTTGATGCAGTTGAGCGATCGGAACATGGAAGTAGGCATCTTGCAGATCTACAGACATCATCCATTGCCCTGGGAAGACTGCTTTGATGATGGACTGAAGCAACTCCATTTTGAATCTTCTTACGTTCAATCGCTTGTTGAGAGTGTGAAGATCTAGGATGGGTCTCCATGCTCATGAGGACTTCCTTGTGAGGAATAGGTGAGAATAAAATCTGTGTTTTTTCCTCCTTTGGAACCTCCATAATGACGCCTTCTTGCTGTAGGGAAGAAATAAACTCCAGAAGAGCCAATCTCTTGTCTCTGTCTCCCGGCCATCTTGTAATTTGAAAACTGCGACGAGGTGGGGCATCTCTGAATTCCAGAAGATATCCTCTTTTGATGATGTCCAGCACCCACTTGTCTTTGGTAGAAGACTCCCATCTCTTTTGGAATAGGAGGAGGCATGCTCCTACCCCTCCAGGCTGGGAGATCAACCCGTCATAAAGCTCTTGTGTTCCTGCTGAATGCAGAGCCTCTGGATCTTCCTCCCCTGACTGAAGGCTGCCCCCCTCTCCAAGGCTGGTATCTTCTATATTCTCTACCTGGTCTGTAGGATTTGAAGTCCTGAAAGGAAGAGTGATCTGAAGGTCTTTTGGGTCGAAAAGATCTCTTAGGCCTACGATCTTGGGGTAGAAAAGCATTCTTGCCATCTGCCGCTTTCTTAATGCAATCATCCAGGTTCTTACCAAAGAGCATGTCTCCATAGAACGGTAAAGAGCAGAGGCTATTCTTAGATGAAGCATCTGCTGACCAGGATCTAAGCCACAAAGCCCTTCTAGCTGAGATGGAAAATGCCATGTTCCTGGCCACTGCTTTGACCATATCCACTGAGGCTTCAGTAGTGAAATCTACAGCCTGCTTAATGTCTTGTAGACTGCCCATGAGGTTAGATCTGCTTCTGCCCTCTTTGATATCCTCCTCCAAGCCTTCCAGCCAGATCTTCAAAGCTCTGGAGACCGAGGTAAGGGCTACCGCGGGGTGGAGGCCTGTGCCTGCTGCCACATAGGCCCTGGACAGGTTGGAGTCCATCTTCTTATCCATGGATTCTCTTAGAGATCCTGCATTATCCACTGGCAATGTGGTGCACTTGGCCAGTCAGCATCCACTTTAGGGGCTGACTCCCAGTGGCCTGCGTCCTTTTTGTCAAAAGGGTAAAGGCGAGAAATTCTCCCCTGATTGGGAAGTTTCCTCTCTGTCTTGGACCATTCTTCCATAATGATGCCCTTAATCGCCTCATGAACCGGGAAAGTAACCCTCTTTTTTCTGAGGTCAGAAAAGTATCGACTGGATGAAGAAGGCTCTTCTCTTGATCCACTTCGGTTGGGTCCAAAGTGTCAGGGGCGTGCTGTTTTTCCTCATCCGAGGAAGATTACGTCTCCCTATATGTCTCCTCCATAGAATCCGAAGAGTCGTATTGGGAGTAGTCGGGAGGATCTGGATATCTAGGTCTTTTGTGGGCTCTGACAGCCTCTTTAATGCCTTGGGATTCAGCATTCTGAATAATTTGCATCAAATCCGGGGTGGATGATGCGGGACATCCTGTGGCTGTAGGCAATCTGAGCATAGGTGCTTCCCCTCCAGGGCCCTCTTGTCACATGCTTTCTTATAGGGACCTTGCGGGAGACTTTCCTTTGGATGTTCCAGTTGTCTTTTTCCCTTTACTACTACTACTATAATAAGGGAAAAATATTAGCCAGCGTTCTTTTGTTTAGAAGAAAAATTGAAGAAAAATTATATGAAATGGCTTACCCCTGAGATATAGATAGTGACCTTTTACTTTGAAGTGATGAGTCTGAATCCATGATCTCAGATGAATTCATCTATAAAAGTTAACCCCATAAAATACTATAAGGCTTAAAAATAAGGTTCAAAAAACATCAACTGAATAAAAAACAAACCAACTGTGCCTTTAAAAGACTTACCTTCAGTCTGCACCACAAAACTGGGTGAAGACCGCACTGTACCGCTTTAAGTTAGCAAGGGACTGTGTTGGAAAGTTAAATTTCAGTATTGGCGCTTTAAAAAGGGTGCCCAAAATACTGAATGACGCAATAGGAACCGCGATGTACCGCGCATGCGCAACCAGCACTTCCGCGCATGTGCAAAAACGGCATGACGCGAACGCACTGTTTGCACATGCGCAATGGCGAAAACCGGACGCCAAGCCAGCAAGGAGACCCAAGGTCTCCCAACCTCTGCCAACCGCTAGAAATGTGGCGGAAATGCCGCGAATAGGGACAGGGGGAACCCTAGATCACCAGGGAAGCCCAGTACTCTCCCAGAAGGGAGAAATAAACACCGGGCAGAGAACTGTTGAATTAAAAAAGGAGGAATGCCTCTAAATCAGAGAAGGCAGGATTAACCAGGAAATGAAGGTAGAAGGGGTATATCCATACTGTTTATGCCTTGCACATACCTGCTACCCCTAGGGTCACTGCAGTTAGTAGGGTAGTGGCTCCTTATGCTTGCTACCCCTAGGGTCACTGCAAGCTTCCCCCGGTCACTTGGGGGTTCTCCAGGGGGACACCTTTGCACAGGGCCGTATACTGGAGCTTCCCAAGGAAGAGAGGCTTAACTCCCCTGAGGCCAAGGGTAAAAACCCTTAAAATAAGCCATAAAAAAATAGACTAATCTGTCCTAGAGATAGGACAGGAAGAAAAAGACTGAGGGTAGGAGAGGTAGGAGGGGGTACTTATACCCTTGTTTTAATTAGTTCCTGTCTAACTAGAGATGGGGAGGAGCTACCCATTGTTGTGCTGCCATGGATATGGCCAGGAAAACTCCTTTATAGAGGTTTCCTTTGCCAGTGTTTGTTACGGGGATTATGAATGTAATTGAATATTCAGGAAGTGTCTCAGAGACAGGTGTGTTAATAACTTTGAGACTACAGTGTATTATAATTCATTGTTTTTTATATAGTGAACAAATGGGAAAAAAAACGCATCAATCTAAATTAACAAACATCAACATTAATTCACCAATCTGCTTCTGGGTGCAAGGACTTTTAATATGAAAATAACAACAACAAAAAAATTAGTAAGGAAATGCATAGACAATTTTAACAAAATGTATACATTTGTATTCCATATATGTTTGTTCTTTAATAAATAAGACAAAATATAATAGTGTTTTCTGTAAAATAAAATGCCCTGTGCCAATAGTCCCCACTATGATGTCACTCACAGTACATGGAGCATTTAAATGCTCAGCTTAGGTGCTCATTTCTCCATAACTAAGAACCCGGCTTTCACTAGACTGAACACTCGCAATGAGGTTGTAGTGGTTCAAGAAGGTTCCCGGGCACCAGTTTATCTAATTTTGTTTAATCTGACACATGATCGCTCTGCACAGCTATTTCTGCGATATGTTTCTCAAGTTGAAGCTCTCATCCCAACAGCAGCTCCAAGTCCGAAGCCTGATCAAAATCTCGGATCACAGCGTAAATAGCTGGGTAGAGTGATCTGGCACCAGATTCAGCACTTTGTGGTTTAACAACTTGTTAACAGGTAAGACATTGCCCAGAGACTTCCTCGCACCATAATAACTTAATTCTGATGAAGTTGTCATGGTGCCTGGAGTGTCCCTTTAAGCTTTCATAGAAATAATTCCAAGCGTATGCACAACATGGCTTCCATCATCCTAACTTACTCTAACAATACCTCTCACTAATCACTCTGATTACATTGCCTTAGCTATCAGCTAGGGCACGCGATCACTGTTATTGGTTGCCAGAGAGATCCAACGGTCTTGGAATTAAACACTGTTGTTGGACTCCTTCACTAATGACGCATTCCAGCAATATTACAATACACGTCAATCTCAGGGCCTGTCACAATGCTATGCTACCAAGGTAATACTAAGATACTCATCAATATCACCAACATTTAATTTTTTCTGAAAATACATCCATTTTCCTAACACACACACACACACACACTGTATCTATTTTATCCACTATACACTCTCACACTGCATCTTTTATACATACACACTGCATCCCTTTCACAAACAATAACAATGTTTATATAGCGCTAACATATTCCACAGCGTTATACAACAAGAAACAAAACAGACATTCAATTCTAGTGGAACATGTATAACATACATGAATAGCAGGGGAAGAGAGCACTGCCCAGACAAGCTTACAATCTACATACTGCGACCACTATATACACACTACATCTCTTACAAACAGACACACTTTATCCACTATACAAACTGCATCCCTTACACACACACAGTGCATCCAGTATACAAAATACATCCCCTACACACATTGCATTACCTATACACATACACTACATTTCCTAAACACACAATATATCCCTTACAAACACACACTACATTCCCTACCACAGCTCTAAGTGCCTTTAAAGGACTCTAGTCACCCAGACCACTTCAGCTTAATGAAGTGGTCTGGGTGCTAGGTCCCTGTTGGATTAACCCCTTTTTTTTAATAAAAATAGCAGTCTCAGAGAAACTGCTATGTTTATAAATGGGTTAATCCAGCCTCCAAATCCTCTAGTGGCTGTCTCATTTACAGCTGCTAGAGGCGCTTGCGTGCTTCTCACTGTGAAAATCACAGTGAGAACACGCAAGCGTCCATAGGAAAGCATTGTAAATGCTTTCCTATGAGACCGGCTGAATGCGTGTGCAGCTCCTGCTGCGCGTGCACATTCAGCCGAAGGGGAGGAGAGGAGGCAGAGAGCAAGAGGAGAGCTCCCCGCCCGGCGCTGGAAAAAAGGTAAGTTTTAACCCTTTCCTTTCCCCAGAGCCGGGCGGGTGGGGGACCCTGAGGGTTGGGGCACCCTCAGGGCACTATAGTGCCAGGAAAACGAGTATGTTTTCCTGGAACTATAGTGGTCCTTTAAGATGGCGGGGGATTGGGGGACAGGCCCTCTGGGTCGGCCCAGTGTGCCGCCTTGGGGTGGGCCCCAGGCCTTAAGCTATGTAAGTGGTCCCAAAATGTCTGATGGCAGCCTGTTCACTACTGGTCTAGCACTTTATAGTAAACAGACAGCCCAATATAAGTCAATTAGCAAAAACCGCAATTTTAGCAAAAAACAGGTAAGTGTTTTTTACTCAAAAATGGTATTTATATCTTGTAGGTATTTCAATTATGTGCTTATTAGTCAAAAAAAAAATACCACAATTTCTTGCTCAAATTGAAAACAGTGAGCTTCACTTCTGAAAAAAATCAAATTTAGCAAAAGTTGAGTAAATCCACCATGTAATCTCCTACAGCTCGGAGCTGGTGTATTGGTGAGCAGAGAGCACATACTGAGCATAGGCCTCAAAAGTAAAAAAAATATACATATTAGTAGCAGCACACATGTTGGACACTGGTGTTGTTACTAGTGATATTATCCAGCAACATCTTCAACAGAGGAGCTGGAGGAGAAAGCAGATATGGATGAACATACAGTTCCTCAACATGACTCCCAGCCATACATCCGCACCTTTTACCCACAGCCATCCATCCAAATCCATTACTTTCAAACATCCATCCACACCAATAATATCATCCATCCATCTAGCCTTCTATACACATCCATTAAATCCCAGGCAACCTTCAACACCCATCAGCTCCACCCATTCATCGTACCCTCCGAGAGAACTATCAAAATGTTGGTCGGTTCCATCTACCAGCTCCTCAAAGTCAGTTCATTCAATGTTTGCTTTATTTTACTGCTGCTACCACTATCACAACATTCTTTTCATTCAGGAGTAAATCTTATTAAAATGGCTGCCGAGACGCACAATCATTTTACTACAAGACATAGAAACATAGAAACATAGAATGTGACGGCAGATAAGAACCATTCGGCCCATCTAGTCTGCCCAATTTTCTAAATACTTTCATTAGTCCCTGGCCTTATCTTATAGTTAGGATAGCCTTATGCCTATCCCACGCATGCTTAAACTCCTTTACTGTGTTAACCTCTACCACTTCAGCTGGAAGGCTATTCCATGCATCCACTACCCTCTCAGTAAAGTAATACTTCCTGATAAGACGTAATTCACATCAAAATATGTGGGGGAAAAAACCTTAACGCAATTCAAAAATCTTGCAAAATGGAAATAGCTTACTTCTTACTACATGGAGTAAATAGGGCTGAAAGACAACTAGTTTTCACATTATAGCATTTGCCTGTTTAATTCCGCGAACTTACGCGGCCCAGCAGAGATTTGCTACTGTGATTTGCACAACCTAATGATATATATCTGCCTCACTCAAATCATCATAGATTGTGAGCTCATTTGAGCAGGGCCTTCTTCATATCTAATATCACATTTATATCATTGCAAAGTGCTGCAAAATATGTGGACACTATATAAATGCTAATTATAATAGAGCTAAAATGGCTTAAATTTTCCACCTATATATATATTTTTATTTTTCAAAGAGCATATTAACTTTCAAATCCTGTACTGCATAATCAGCAAATTAAAACACTTACTTGCATAACTCCGTGAAATGTGGGGGTACCCTGATCTCAGTGTAGCATCGGGCCACATGGTTTGACCTGCCTGGAGCGGGTGGAAGTTAAGTTCCCCAAGACAAGCTGATATTTTTGTATGCTGAGGCAGGAGCTGGGGAGAGGGTATCAGACCGTCTCCACAGCACTCCATTGCACAGGGCAATAACAGAGTAGGGGCTGAATTAACCACAGTAGCCACATATAGCTATTGCTACCAATCTCAGGTAGACTGGACAAAGTATGTTCCAGTGTAACCATTAGTTTAAAGAAAACCTAGCCCTTATTCTAATGCTAATAACCTTAACCGCTTAACGTTTAGTTTTATTATTTCTCCATTATTTTCAAATTTTTAAAGTATTGCCTGAAACGGAGTTTCATGTTATATAGCGTACAGTTACAATTTCATCCTACATTACAAAGACTGAACCGTTCCTGATAATCCACAGTCGGAAGCTTACTGTTCATTAAACAGAAACCCAACATTGGCAAAATCTGTGCAGGTTGCATGCAATGAAAAACGAACCCATTACTACCTAAGCTAGTCAAACATTCTACTGAACCTCTTTTCCACCCTTGCTGTTCCTGGCGTCTTCTTTGTGTCATTGTCTCTACTTCATTTTTGTGCAGATAACAATAAAGGCAAAACACTGATGGAATCCCTTTTCCCTACTCTGAAAACCTTTGGCCAAGATGGCACCGTACAGCACTCTCCGAGATGGATAATGTGCCGATCTAAGCATCTCCCATGTTAAAAGGAATTCCTGGCACTTGTGCGGAGTGTTCTGTCTCAGTAACCAAGAGTTTACAGTGCATTAGATTTAAAAAAAAAAAATGTAATAAGAGCTTGTTCTGATGATCTGCCGTCAGGTCAATCTACACTAGATACAGGCTCGGTTCTCCCTCTTTCTACGAGTTTGTTCTGGCATTTCATCTCTTTTATGAAATTGTGTGAGCAGTTGTTTTATTTCACGGCTCAGCTGATGTTCTGGTACCCCAGGGAGAGAGAGAGTGAAAGGAGGGAGGGAGGTAGGAAGAGACAGGAGGGAGCGTGCGTGTGTGTTTGTATGAGATGGGGGTTGGAGGAGACTCAGTCTGAGTCCTATTATTTAAACCATACCTAGATCTCTACAGGAAATCAATGCATCCAGCGGAAGGGGAGAGTGAGGGAAAGAATGAATGAGGATATCACGGAACGATGAAAAGGAGACAAACAGACTTAAGCTGGTCCATGGAAACAAGACACGTTAACCCTTTTATGTCAGACGGACCTTTACCCATTTAAATATGGGGTGGCAGGGGGGTTCTGACAGAAATAGTTAGTTTTCAAAAATCTAGAAACCACAGATGACAGAGTCAGGATACAGCACATGTCATCAATAGCCACATCCCTATTGTGGGAATTAGCCCCCATTAAGAATTATAATTTTTTTTAACAACACTGAATTTTTTTTACATGCTCACACACACAAAATGCAATATTATTGTCCACATCAATGTGTGTATGTTAATGCATGCTAGTTGCATGGGTGATATATCTACCGTAACATGTAGATGTACACACTAATTATATTTAAGACGGTTATTATAATATTGGATTGGGTATGGTTGCTTAGCTAGGCTAGCACACATCAACGTTAATATATATTGAACATACTGACAGTGTGTAACACAGACATGGCGTGTTCTGCTGCCCCCATTTTTTTTTCATCTCCTGACACACAGGGTGGATCTTAATTGGAATACAGTACAGAGACTAATCAAATACAAAAAAAGACAGATAGACAGACATGGATTTACATTTGTCTTCAATATACACCTCCTCCACCCACACCTTACCATCTGCTAACGTCACATCTCTTTTTTCTATTCATAAATTCCTTGCTCTCTGTGAAAGAAGCAGATTCAGCTCCGCAGGGGGAACGTGAATATGCATGTATGTGTGTATGTGTGTGTGTGTGTGTGTGTATGTATGTATGTAGTATGTATGTGTGTGTGTGTGTGGAGAGGGGGTTAAGTCTTACTAAGGCAGTGCTCAGGTAGAGACAGCATCATTATTTAGGGAAGCACAAGGCCAGTGATTGACCAAAGTGAATGTGAGTGTCAGTGTCCAGTAAGCAGTGCCCCTGTTACACACACAGACACACAAGAGAACAGCCACTGACATGCTGACCCATTCATTGAAATTGTAAAGTTAATCATATATATATATATATATATATATATATATATACACAGACAAACAGACAGTGATTTTATATATATATATATATATATATATATATATATACACACACACACACACCTATACATACCTATATATTATTATCATTATTATTATCTATAAAGCATATCTATCTATATCTATACAAGCACACTTATAACACATAAAGTATATATATATATATATATATATATATAACACACACATATATATATATAAAGACTGACACGCACACACACATATGTATATATATATATATATAAATTAAAAAACATATATATATGTGTATATATATATACACACACACACAGACACACACACACATATATATATACATATACAATAGTATTATTATTATTCATAATATAAATATATATATATATATATACACACAGACACACAAGCACACACATATATGTATATATATATATAATTTAAAAACATATATATACACACACACACATATATATATATATACACACAGTTACATTATTATTTTATAAAGTATATATATATATATATGTGTGTGTGTATATATATGTTTTTAAATTATATATATACATATGTGTGTGTGCTTGTGTGTCTGTATATATACACACATTTACATTATTATTTTTATAATATACATATATATATAGATATAACATGTGTATATTGACACCCACACGCCTTGGATTTATAAATGTATGTGTAAGTTATCTTTGCTGTAAATCTCATAATACAGATGTCCCACCCACACACACACAGCCCCTCAAGACAGATATAGCATACCTGTTCTCTCCCCATGTAGACACACAGATGTGCACACACACAGTCAGCCATATACCCAGCACATACATGTCTATGTCATGTCAGGCTAACAGAGCCTGCTTGGGAGCCAACAGCAGCAACAAGACAGGAATATGGTCCATGCAGCCAACACCCAACATGCTAGGGGGTGCCCACCGCCATTCTTACCTCCTACGCACAGCAGAGACATTGTATTCGCCCTGAGCCCTGTCCAGAGCTGGCACGGGTGCCCCCCACTCCGACTGGCAGCGTTAGCTGGTCAGTACCCTCATAATGACTCTCACTCCCAGTGCACACAGTCTGCCATATTTATGCTTCAGCACCAAGGCTATGGAGAGCTCCTCTTGACGTCAGCCTGGGAGTGGAGGATGGAGGGGGGGAGAGAGGAGGAGTGAACACACCTGATTTGCAAACAGACAGAGAGAAGGCAAGTCTGGGGTGCTTTCAACGTCATTGAGAAAACAATTTATTATAATTTTTTTTATGTTTTTTTTTTAAGGTAAAATTGCTGCATGATAGGAGAACTGAGCTTAATGATGGTGTTAAAAAAAAAAAAAAAACAGTGGGAGAAAAATATATAAATATAAAAATATGAGAAGATGGGGAGTTATAGTTAGTAACCAGATATACTGAGCATAAAAAGAGTTGATACTTTGTAGCCAGATTAGGGTGTAGTTTTTATAGACACTGGTTGAAATGGCTCTATAGAAGCAGTTATATGGAGTGATTGCATAGTCCGTTTATATGGAGGGATAACACCAATAGATACGGATCTATTTAGAACAATGGAAGAATTGAGAAAGAATGTTAGAGAATGTGTGTAGAAAGTGTACATTGAGCAGTATACGCCATACATTTTACATCGTGTACAAAATTCTGTGGCATTTTATGTTTTCAGTAATAATCAGGTAAGTGGAAGTCTGTTACAGTCCATACTTACATTTCATTGAATGTGCTCTTATTAAACCCTAATGCAGGGACAAACTACACACCATCAGGTACCCAAATTCACTTTGTTTTGTCATTTTGGCTTAGATCACTATCTGGTTAAAGATTGAAATTAAAAAATAAATGGTGATTGATCTGTATAGAGATAATGGTTATCACTTGAATAAAAACTGATATTTTGTGTCTCATTTATTAATTACACATATATATATATATATATATATATATATATATATAACTAAAAGTATTTTCAGTTTATTTAATAAATAAAAATAAATGCTCAGTGTGGCTCAATATATGTATGCCTAGTATTTAAAACAACTCCGCCAATCCCTGCATACACACCCTAATAAAATTATTTGTTTTTAAATATGATTTAAAGTGATCATATACAAGTAGACTGTCAGCAGTCAAAGACATCTATCTACTCTCCTTAATTTTATCACTCATGACTGTGGTGGGAAAAAAATATTACTTTTGCCCACATCCCCTTGTCACCAGTGCCCTCCTCATCCCAATAAAAATATAAAGCCATGATAATTCTACTTCAGTGGGATCAGTGATATCTTTGCAGAGGTACTTATTTTTATTCTGAAAATTTGTTTCATTGTTTTTTTTTTATATACATTTTAGAAATTAGGTTTATATATTTTAATGATTAGCGTTTAGTAGGAAGTATAGTATCTTTTTAGTATTTGTTTTGATCAGAGCTAAACATGCAAATAGAGTGAAATAAAACTGACTGCTAAAATGCAAAGAATTAGATGGCATGAACAAGTCACTGAGGTTGAACATTAAAGGACCACTAATTAAATGACCACTAAAGTCAGACCACTTCCTCTCAATTACGTGGTCTGGTTGCAGTGGTCCTGTCCCTTAAAAGGAACACCATAGTGTCAGGAATACAAACATGTAATCCTGACACCATAGTGTTAAACTAAGTAGGTACTTTGTCCTCCTCTGATCACATAGGAAAAGTGATTTTACTCACCTGTTCTCCATGGCTGAGATCATCACTCTTGATAATCTCTGCCAATCCAATGCTTTCCCATAGGATAGCATTGGGAGGCTATTGTTCATGCGTGGCAAAATATCGCGCTGTGCCAATCAGCATCTACTCATAGAGGTGCGTTGAATCTCTATGGGGAACATTCAGTGTGGAAGCGCTGAACATAGGTGCTGCACACTATGCAGCACTAGACTAGGAAGCACCTCTGGTAGCCGTCTGAGTGACTGCTACTGGAGGTGTCCCAAGTGAGCAATGTAAACACTGCCTTTTCTTTGAAAAGGCAGTTTTTACATGAAAATGCCTACAGGGGCATCCAGTAGACACCAGAACAACTACATTAACCTGCAGTGGTTCTGGTGACTACGGTGTTCCTTCAACCCTGCAGTGTAAATCATTACAGTTTTGCAGAAACTGCAATGTTTACATTGCAGGGTTAAATATACCTAAAGTGCTTTTTTTTACGGACAGCCATTAGAGGTGCTTTTTCCTCCAGAACCGAGTGAAACACGGTCCTGATTAGAGGAGTGTGGTATTTTGATGCGCATGCATTCTCCAATTCAATGCTTCACTATGAAAAGGATTGGACAATATCACTAGTGATGTCAGCTTGATGACATCGACAGACAAGGAGCCAGAGGTTGCAACAGAGCTTTTTATGGGCTTCATAACAAAGGGGGTGAATACATACGCACATGCCAATTTTCTGTTTTCTATTTCTAAAAAATAGTTTTATGTATATATTTTTCTCATTTCACTTCGCCAACTAGACTATTGTGTTCTGATCCATCACATAAAATTCAGATTAATAAAACATTGAACTTAAGGCTGCAATGTAACAAAATAGGTAAAAAGTCAAGGGGGGTGAATACTTTTGCAAGGCACTGTAGATGGTGAGTTAGGTAGTTGGATATTTATGTTGGTGGTTCGACAGCCAAATATTTCTATTAAACCACATTTGGGTGTGGTAAGGAGGCATGTTATGTCAGACGTAAAATAATTACTTGAAGAATGGCTAAATGTTCCACATGATATACCCTTTGCTGTCTACTTTGTAAAAGTATATATATATATATATTCTTTCAAGGCAGCAATTTCAAACTGTGAAACTATTAAACTTCCCAAAATGAAACATGGGCCCAGTGATATATGGGAACTGTAATGTGCAGTTACTTGAAGATGCAAAACATCTCTCTTGAATACATTAACTGAATGGAATCAACAGTTACAAGATAAATATTACAGCATATCTGGCAGTGATTGAAACCAAAAATGGTGGCATACATGGTTTAAAATGTTATGTCCACGAAGGGTACCACATGTATTATTTCAACATTGTCATGCAGAACTTCTGTCACTACTTTCTAATTACTTTCTGCTGTAGTATTTATTTTTCCTCTGGAGTGTTAACGTTTAAAAATATATATTTTTGGAGAGGAATTTAAAATGGGGTTGTAGTGGAATGGACGCTTGTTATATACTTTTTATTCCCTTTGTTCGGCTGTCCGTACCTCCCCTCTCTCCCGTTTGTTTACCGAACACCATCTGTGTAGTCCCTGTGTTCGCATCTCTTAACAATCGACCACCCCTGGCTGTTAACTGCAGATTGCTTGTTAAGGAAAGTGTTTCCCCTGTGTGGCTGTCGTTCATATAACCAAACGCATGTGTACAAACAAATGGCGGCCATTTTGTCTCTCAAACGTGGCCAGTGGTACATCGTCGTCGATGGCATGGAACTGTTTTTGGCTACACGACCCCGCGAACATCCGGTAAACTGATGCCGCTGCCCGTCCAACTTCCCGAACCGTTTTGAGAATGCCGTTCGGGAGACATAGACTACAGAACAGGTTGAACATTTGAATGCTAACAGCCAGGGGGAGCATTCGTCAGTGTTCATGCAAGAACCCCCGAAAGATGACTGGTCGTTGCCTTATTTTCTCTGGAACTGTTATGGGGCATCACTCAAATGGCGTTCCTGAACCTCCAAAGGGATCTGAGTGATATTTCGGCAAAGTGTGCGCTTAGATCCAAGCTATTCGGTGATGTGACTTTTGCGGGGTTCTGAAATATTAAAATGTGTTTTGGGGGTGTTTGAAATTATTGTAGATTTTTCTGTACCTGATAGATAGTTAAGTTATATATTTCTCTAACACAATTAGGTCTCAGACACAGATGATCTTGGGAGGAAAAACCCTCTAATTTTGTGTGGGAGACACCATGAAGGGGTCAGTGCATAAAAAGCAGTGTGTGACCAAATAAACTGAGTTGACTGCCATAACTGTGTGTCGTCCAGTTACTCGGGGAAAGGTGTCTTGGATTGTTCTACTGTCTCTTCTAGCTATGCGGACTGCCCAGCGGAGGTACCTATGCTAGGTATTGGAGGTCCACTACAGGGGTACTCTAAATGAGATGTAGAACCAGAAAATCTTGGAAACTGGAATGGACATGTCCAAAGTATGCTCAGAAACAGACATATGAGTAATATCCTCATATAGAACATTAGCAGAAAATACAAACCCACAATGTACTGTATGATTGTGAAATATACAGAACAAATTGTTTTATTGATTGGCGACACACATTGGCTCCCTAGAAAGTACTAAAATAAACCATATTAAATACACCTAGGATAGTCTACTTTTGGAATCTAAAAACAATATTTGAACAGTCAGCACCAGCAGTTGTTGAAACATGACCACACTTTGGTTTGGTGGCTGAATAAACTTCTTTAAAATGTACTTTTGGAATTCTGAGAATCCACCCATAATTGCTATTTTCTTGGAGATTTCTGATCACACCTGCTCTTATATATATGCTTCTCTATTTTGAGGCTTGCCACAAATCACATGTATCATTTATCCTTTTGAAATCTTCCTAGCTTTTATTTGCATAATTTGAACTTAAATGGTTGCTCCAAGCACCCTAACCATTTCAGTGATTTAAAGTGGTTATGGTGCTTGGAGTCTGTATGTTCAGTGTTTCACTATGATGACACACTGCACATACAGAGATCTATTTCTGGCAGCGTGCTAAACAAGAGTTCCAGGGTAACTAATGTCAATTCTGTGTAGAGATTCCTATGTGCTGCCCAAGTCCTCCCCAGCTCGTCTTTGATGAGATGCCTCCCTTTCTAGCGTGGAGGAGTAATGTCACCAGAAGAGGATCAAATTGGCCTTGGTGCTTAAACAGAGATATGTTTTAGCTGTATTCTTTTTTTAAAATGTATTTATTTTTTTAATTTTGGGGTCCATACCAAAACTGTGTTTTATTAAAACACCTATTTTTGGTTAGAGTAACCCTTTAAGGCTGCTAAAATGCCCCCAAAACAGGCATGTGACGAAATGCCTTTTGTCCCTGGATTGTTAGGTGACAAGCTGCCCTTTGCCCCTGGCTTTTGGAGGAGCCTGATTGCC